CCGTTGGGCCAGTTCCCTGGAATGGGCCGACAAGACAGGCCAAGAATGGGTGATCTGGTTCATCTCACATGTTTCTGTGTGGCTTGAATAGTTCTATGTCAATGGGCCGGAGGTGATACGAGTCACTGATGTGACTCTATATTGATCTCGGCCAACTTGTCGAACACCATCGGTTGCTGTTGTTGGCGCACGGTCGATTGAATCTGTTGTGCCTCTCGGTGAAGCCGTTTATAGTGGGATTATGTTGTGATGAGAGAGTATGAGATATTGAGCCAGCCAAATCGACCACTAAAATAGCCATTGTCGAGGACTAACATCACTGACCCTTGCGGACCTGGGTTTGATCACTCCGCAAGGCAAAGAAGTCTGGATGCAGGATGAGCACTTCTTCTAGGATGCTCACCCAGTTGTTGTTGTCGTCGAAGTTCAGTATGCGTGATCCTACCAGCCAAGGTCTCAAAACACCTCTGTGCCCTGGGTGGCAGACACAGCCGCAGGCTCGCTCTTCACCCACTTGATCTATACTGGTACACATTCATGTTCCCCCTCATCGGTATTGTCATCGTCGTCTTAATGGCATTATCATGCCCTTGTTCCATGACTATACAATGGAAGCGCTTCCTTCTTACTGTCGGGTAATACATGAGAACCTCTTCTGCAGATTCATGTAGGTATTGTCAATTCCGGAAGCATGGTCAGCGAGACGATGACATACAGCACCAGCACAACGCTAGGCACCAGATCCAGTACCAATGTAATGAGTATAGACTAAGATGGAAAACATCCTTTGCTTGCTTTTAAATGAATGTGATTCTATGCTTCGAAGCAATATATTTAAGTCAGGAGGATGGTAATAGTTGAAGGGGAAGAAAGAAGGGGGAGGATGGAGGCGGTAAGAAATGAGATATATGTACTTCAGGACCGCACGTAGAGGAATCAGTGGGAGTCTCATGGCCTTCCGAAAACTGCGTCAAATCGTTGGCAAAATGGAATGCTTATTTCTCTTTTGCTCGATGCAAAACCTACACCAAACTACAAAGGGCTTCCTTCACCTGTTTCATTTTGTTGTACGAAGCAATACGAGTGATCATTTGCTTTGATAACACCAACATCTCATGGACATTAACGCCAGTAGCCGTAGTATACCACACCCACTAATTCCCTGTTATCCCCAATCAATTGTCCTGGCTGTGACGTTGCCTGAGTAAAGCTCAGGGATTAAAATGAGTGACGGCGTGCCAACATTGTCATAGTGCGGCAATCTCACTCGACCAAAACGGAAACAGAATAGTTACACAAACACGAAGCAAGAGAAACATGAGCCCGCATACTATATCACGTCTCTGCCATAAACGCGCAATCTTATGCTACACACATGGTCTGATGCTGCGACTTGAACATGCACTGGCTCTGCAACCTGTGTCACCCACAAACGACAAAAGCATCATCAATAAACCTCATATCACCGCTTACAAACATTTAACTTGGTCTAGCAAAGTAGCACCTGCATGCTGAGCAATGATTCCGGAGCAACTGGCCTCTAGACAAGTTGCATGTCCCGAGTTTTGCTTGCAGACAATTGTTACACCTCACATCAAGTCACATTTCACTGCATCAAGTCTGAATAGGTAAATTCCATCTTTTTGCAACAAATAACATGGCCCCAACAACCATGCTCCGATAAAAAAACATGCTCTTATACCTTCTTCGCTTCCCTCTAACCACCCAATGAATATCCCCCTTATCACTTTTACGAGCCTTTAACCCCCCCAAGTGACAATCGTGATTCCAGGATAAGAAAACGAATCGTAAATAATCACATTACTGCCACACTTGTACGGTATGTCTAAAACCGTGACAAAGCTTTCGATACATCATGATCCTTTCAACGCCCGCTTTGCTTCTGTTGTTCATCTCTAAGCGACCGACGCGATGACTAGCGCAGCCACATTCTCCTCTTCGCTTCGCACCGTGATCTTTGTCGTGACACCAGTTTTTGATGAATAAGCCATCCGTACGTTAGCTACCACCCGACCTCCACCGACTGTCTTGCCGAGAAGCTTGAGTGTGTGAGTGGTCTGGTTGACGGGCACATCGGTGCCTTCGAGAGGCTGGAGCGACAAAGCCTTTGTGAGTTGCTCTGTAGCGTCTGTGAAATAGTCAGTGCCATGTCTTCTATGAACTCGATATTCGACTTACCCGCAATGCTCTCCATGCCGCTCAATTGGAGGGTCTCTGTGACCTCCTCTCCAGAAGCACCAACCTGTTCCCAGATGTGGCTAAAGTTGCCAGCGAACGTGGGGATCACGTAGTCACTACCAGCAAGGTCGAACTCGGCCACCTCGTACTCATCATCGTAGCCAGAATCCTCGGGCTCGCCTGTTGAGGGGTCGATCTCCTTGCTGGTGAACTTGAGGACGTTGGAGAAGGTGGAAACGGGCAGAGAAGCCTCACCGCCAACCTTCTTGAAAGCGACATAGACCTTACCAGGCTCATCAGTCGCGAGCTTCTCAGCCTGGATGATGAAGACCTCCTCGAGCTCGTCATCGTCTGCGGGAGTAGCGACAACGGAGACGTTCTCAAGGACAGTGTCGGGCAAGGTGTTCTTAACCTCATATTGGAGGACAATATGCTCCTTGAAGATGTGCTTGACCAGGCTGACAACGTACTCAGTCTCGGCCTCAGTAAGCTCGATAATAGGCGAAGACTTGAGGACACTGCCAAACTCCTTCATCTCGGGGATCTCGAGCAGCTCCTGGGCATACTGCTGAGCCTGAGCAGAAGCAGAAGCAACAGCCTCGGCTCCGGTAGGCTTAGTAGGGCCAACCTTGGGAGCCTTGAGTGTAGGGGCAGTGGCAATCAGCTTCTTGGATCGGTCCTCAGCGTCGGCCTGCTCCCGAGTAACCACAGGGATCTTGGAAATATCGAAGGGACTATCGAAAGCGGACTTGTCGTCTGATGTGACGTACAGGACAAGCTGCTGCTCGAAGTAGGGGAGGGAGAACATGTTCTCTGTTTGCGCATTAGCGGTGATCGACAGTCAGTGGTTAATTCATGCTTACCATTCTTGACGAATCGAGCAGCCATCTCATCATCCTCCTCATTCATGAGCTTGAGGTTGAGGGCAGCGCGATCACGGACCTCGTCATCGACATCATCCAAGCATCGGGTGAGGAGAACACGGACACTGCTCTTAACCTCGGGATCCTTCTGTCCAACACCGAACTTGGCGAGGGCAGTGACAGCAGCAGCTCGCACAATGGCGTTCTCAAGAACCACTCGGTTGTAAATATATCGGATATACTTAGTAGGCTGAGCGGTCTTGGGGCCCTCAAGGCCAATAAGGTGAAGGATTCGGACAGCCAGCTTGGTGAACTCGCAATCCTCAATAAATTCGCAGAGATGGGCAAGCGCATCCTCCTTGGAATCAGGAACGAACTTGATCAAATCGAACATGCTCTCCACAACAGCCCTCTTGAACTCATAGCCACCCTCATCACGCAGAATACCGCTGAGGAAGGTAAGCATACCAGCCTGCTTGCTGGGGAACTTGAGGCAAAGGGTTCGGATGGCCTCCACAATCGTAATCTTGAACTCGTCGGTAATCTCGGACATGAAGGTGGAAATCTGCTTCATTAACCTGTCGACACTGGCCTCGTTACCGGTCTTAAGGAGCGTGGTGATGGCGAAAGTGGCAATGGATCGGTTGCTGTTGGAGATGAGAAGCTCGATATCGGGGTTGCATGCGTTAACGGCGGTAGGCTTGAAGCTGGCAAAGTTGTGGAGGATTCGGAGAGCGGCGAACTTGGTAACAGCGCGAGGAGAGGTGAGGAACAGTTGAAGAACGTGGACAGCTTGCGCTACCTCAGCATCGGTAACATCTCGCATATCGCAGATGGCCTTAGCAGCCTCGAAGTTGACCATTTCGCTCTTGTGTCGCAGCCAGCCATCGAGGAGCTGCATCATGGGCTTCCTCAATGAAGCATCCTCCTCAGCGAGCTGTGCAGCAAGTCGAACCAGCATGATGATAGCAGCGGGGTTCTTGAGAGCACCAGCAGCGCCGAATTGCTGAACCATCTTGACAAGGGCCATTCGATCGTGCATGCGCATTTGATATAGAAGTCCGACAGCGTGGTATTGCGACATGGTCGAGTGGTTCATGGGAACTTGGCTGCTTGAGGTAGAGAATCCAAGGGAGAAGCCACCAGAGGACTTGCTAGAGGCAGCAGCCTCTTGGGTCTCGCTCTGCCATCGTCGGACGACATCCTTGGCGATAGGAAGAAGGTGGTATGAGGAAACGAGAGCGGCAGAGGATACCGAGGGGTTCTTATCAACAATTGCAGTCTTCATAACTCGTTCGATCGATTGGACGGTCGTGGCCTTTACAGTGTCAGCATCCAGGGGTGTCGGTGTACCTGCCAGCAAAGCAACCTACATCGATAATGCGGCAGAGGGCGCGAATAGCATTTGGTCGGTAGATAGCATCGGTGCTGCCGCCGGTATCCTTCATAATCGTGCTGGTAACCATAATAATATCCTCAGCTGAGTTGGCAAGCTCCTTGATAACAAGGTGGACCATCTGTCGGAGACTGGCATCCTTGTTCTGGAAGAGCTTCGAGATACCGAAGAAGAGAGTTGTAGCTTCGTTGGTAGGGAACTTCTCTCCTGTGTAGAGAAGGAGAGCGATCTTGGTGAGTAGAATGCGACATCGTCGAGGCTGAATAGGAGAGCTGTTGAAGAGTCGTGCTGTTGGACTATTTAGCTTGACTGTGGGGGGGAGAAGAGGAATAAGGCGATTGAAAGAGACGGACCTTCTTGGAAGACTTGAGTTCGGTCAACCTTGACTAGCCCGAGGTCGGCATCTTCGTCCTTCTTGCCGTAACTCATGTTGGGCAACTGGGTTGGGGTGAAAGGTTTGGTCGAGGGAGACTTGAGGTTGCGGTCGAGGCACTCCTAAGGTAGAATCACCACGTCGCAGTTACGCTTCAGGGATGAGTGGTGCCGCATCACGTGATCTTATCAGCCCCTTATCGGACGGGGATTCGTGTCAACTTTGGCATTGGCTTCAGCTTGAAATGTCGACGGTAGGAATTCAATTGCTGATTCTTCGATCTTTTGCAAGGGCTAAGCTTTCTCCTATGTCTTTCATATCTTCTGCTCTCATACGATTGGCATTTTATACCATTGTCCCGACTGGTATGATCATGGTACTTAGGCAAGGTTGCTGGAGAATGGAGCACTGCACCTTCAGGTACCCGCAACCTTTCAGGTGCTCAATTAAACATACATTGATACTCTTAACATATCTTAATAGGTAGATTAACTGTTAGAGATTGCCCTAGATAATATGATCATCATATTTAAATGTCAAAAAAGAGTTCCTGGAGCACTTTTCATAGCTCTCACCTTCAACAAGTGACATCATGTCGACCCTGAATCCACCCACTCCGAACTTCTAGCCGGACCCAATTTTCCGGCTCGCATCTTTAAATCCTCCAGCTTGATTCTCTCAACCTCAATCCACGACCCAATTCGTCGCCCAGAATGAAGTCTGTAACACGGCTACCACTTCGCATCGCGCCTCGGCTCGTCCAGCGCCCGGCTTTCGTCCGTCCGATTCACTCGACCGCTGTCAAGGCCGCAAATGTCGCTCCGGTGGTCGGCACCGGCCCGCCACCAGAGCCGCCGATCCAGCCCGCCGAGAATGTCCATCAGCGAGTCGCCAGGCGCAGGAGGCAGGCTGAGATGCTCAAGAATGCTAAGGAGCTTCGAAGTGCTAGTGCTGGAAAGGGAGGTGGTGGTTTGAAGAAGCGATTCTGGAAGGATGTTTCTGTCAAGGAAGTTGATGGTAAGTAAAGATACTTACCCCACCATCAAAGCGTATACTGATGAGATACAGGTGCTCTTCAAGTCTTCCTCGATAGCCGACCCTTGAGACATCCTGTGTCAAAGGAGATCGTTCGAATTCCCGTCACAAAGCCCGATCTTGCCTCCGCTCTCGCCCTCGAATGGGATCTTTTGACTTCTGCCCAAGATGCTACAAGACATCACTTGATCCCTCTTACAAGTCTTACCTGCCGAGCTCTCGATATCGCCGCGGCTGATAATACCCCTGGAGGTGAAATTTCAGAAGTCCGGAATGCCATTGCCACAACGTTGTTGCGATATCTCGATACCGATTCTATTCTCTGCTGGAACCCTCCTGCAGGAGAACACGATCTCAAGAATGAAGCTGGAGAGTCGCTACGAGACGTACAGAAGCGCACAGCTGAGGAGGTTGTGTCTTTCCTGACAACACATGTTTGGCCAGGCATCACCATCAACCCTGTCCTTGACGGCCATTCCATCTTGCCTCAGTCACAGGCACCTGGAGTTCGCGAGATTGTTCAGGGCTGGATTACTGGTCTCGATGCCTTTGAGATTGCTGGACTTGAACGTGCTACATTGGCTGGAAAGAGTCTCATTGCTGCCGCACGATTCGTCGTCGAGTGGACTGAGGGTTCAGTCGCAAGGGGTCATTTGAATCCTGGTAAGAAGTTTGGTGTTGAAGAGGCCGCTGTTGCTACCAGTCTTGAGGTGGATTGGCAGACCGGACAGTGGGGAGAGGTCGAGGATACCCATGATGTCAACAAGGAGGATGTGAGAAGACAGCTGGGCAGCGTCGCTCTGCTGGTATCTGGCACAGGTTTGAAGGCATAAATAATATGAGGCTGGATAAATGGCACGACTTGTAAAATATAACGACATGTAAATTACCAGCTAGATAAAAAGGCTTTGGAATACTTTAGATGGGCCTCATAAAAATAAACATATTGATGATCATCTTAGTCCCTTATTTTCACTGACTTTTCATCATCAAGTCGTTAGCCAAATTAAGCCCACTGATGGCCCCCAACCACACTCCAAGAACATGCTGTAACATCGAATCACAGTGAGGCCGCCGATTAAGAATTACAACCTAGAGACTTGAGTACCATTATTAAGGAGCAAACGTCGTTGTACATGGCTTGCTCATGATCAATGCAATCTTAAAAGTCCTATGTCTTACCCTACATCAGCTTCACGAACAAGGATTCCACGCCAGGGCTGAGAGCCATCAGCCCAAATAAAGTAAAACAGACACACCAGTGCATTCGGGTAAAACTCTGATTGTCGAGTGGCAGGCTAGGATATGCTTGAGAAATGAGGTGGGGGATCATCGAACGTTACTGTAGATAAACTTCCGATCATCTTTTTCTTGCAACCATAAGAGTCGGCTTCCGTGAGCTTAATTTCCACAAGCAACAGGGTCAAGTTTGATTGTGTGTCCAATCGCTTCACACGTTTGCATCCAACGTTTCACTTTCTATGCGACTTAGAATAAGCATGCTATCGTATTTCTCCCAAGCCTCCCTCTCTAATTCATCAAATGCCCGTTCTTTGATCTGTGGCACAAGGCGCAGAGCCAAGGGACGAAATCGCCACGGGCTGAGATCCCTAATCCCAATTGAGCTTCAAAGACATCATCCGCTGCAAAAGGCCGCGCAAGCCCCTACCCTTCTGATTTTTAAGCTGAATGTTAGTCCCGGGGTTTAAGGGATCACCCTCTCTTACTGCATCCTTCAACTGGCCAAGGCACTATAGTGATTGCCGTGTTTCTTGTGATCAGGAAGAAGACGAGTCTCATTGGGAAATAACCGATGATCTGCTTGGATAGGTTTAGCCTGGTTGCTAGGAAGAGAGGCGGAGTCATGATAAATGAGCCAAGCTGAATGGATTACGCCTGTAACGTGAGACATGGGGGGCTAGCGAGCCTTGAATTGGCACTCTGATTCAACGTAAAGAAAGACATTGTTCGACAGAGACAAATAATAGCTGTCTCTTGTTAGGAGAGATTCACTATGCAGAACACATGATTTGAATAGAAACAGGTTACACAACTGAAGACAACAGAGCCTTCTCATGCGCAAATTAACGCCCCAAAGCCCAATTATGCAGGTCCAAAACCCCTACGTCAAGGACTTTTCAGCCGTACCGTATTACTCAACGTCTAAGCAAACGCCAAGACCGCAGCCAAGCACATCCCGCTAATTCCGTCCCTTTGATCCTAGCACATCCACCAACCAAGGCGCAGCCCGGGGGTGAGGTAGGCAGGGAAAACGCCACTGGAAGGCCTTGGAGTTGTTAGTTTAAAGACGAGGTAGCCTCTCCCCCCTGGGGGCGTCGTCGAAAACCGTTGTAGTCTTCTGCAAAAACAAAACACCACAGAAGTCATCATGAGGTGGACTACGATAACTACAGCCGCGGCTCTGCTCGGCAGCGTCGACGCCGTTAGCTTCCCGAGATCGAAGGCTGGTAAAGGTTATCTGTCGATGCACGTTGGTACCGTTGAGCGAAACAAGAATAAGCAGCACGATAAGCGTCAAGACGGTGACGCTATCGCCGTACGACTCGAGAACAAAGATTTCTTCTACGCGACAGACGGTATGTCACTGCAGCCTCCATAATTAACTACAGTTGTTAATACTCTATAGTCGAAATCGGTACTCCTCCTCAAAAAGTCACAGTCCTGCTTGATACCGGCTCCAACGAACTCTGGGTGAACCCCGACTGCGAAGAGGCTCAATCCGCTCTCCAATACAACCAATGTCTCGACTTTGGACAATATGAACCTCGGAAGTCAAAGACACCACCGATCGGTCCTTTTGGTGGCGAGACACTCAACTACGGCGACGCGTCCGACTCATCGACGCATACCTCTGCGACGATTCGATACTACACAGATCTTATGACATTTGGAGACTCAAAGTTGAGGAACCAGACCTTTGGTGTTTTGGTTGAGAGCAATGGTATTTCACAGGGTATTCTGGGTCTTGCGCCTGATCTGAGGGCTGGTTTCGACGGCGATGAGCCTTATAGCTTATTGCTCACTTCAATGGCTGATCAGGGACTTATCAACAGCCGCGTGTTCGCGCTTGATCTACGACATTCTGATGATACCGAAGGTGCTCTGATCTATGGTGGTATTGATCGCAGCAAGTACATCGGCAAGCTGGAGACACGGCCTATCATTCGCGGCGAGGGTGGTGAGTACCGTCTCGCCGTGGAGTTGGATAGCCTCGGCGTCACAATTGGCGGTGATTCACAGGACATTCGTGTTTCGAGTTCTGATTCCAACGTTATGCTCGACTCTGGAACTACTCTCACCCGCATGCACATGTCTGTCGCGCGACCAATTCTGGAGGCTCTCGATGCCCAGAACGATGGTGAGGGCTTTTACATGACCGACTGCGAAAACCGCGATCTCGATGGCACGGTTGATTTTGGGTTTGGCGATAAGATCATTAAGGTTGCCTTCAGCGACTTTATTCTTGAGCTTGGACCTGGAACGTGCTACATTGGTCTTGTACCTACTAGCGACCAGCAGATTCTTGGTGACTCTGTTCTGCGAGCCGGATACTTTGTCTTCGATTGGGATAACAAGGAGGTTCATCTTGCTCAGGCTGCTGATTGTGGTGATGAGGACATTGTTGCTGTTGGATCTGGCTCTGATGCTGTGCCCAGTGAGACTGGCAAGTGCAAGAGTTCCGATATCACAGCCACCGGACGTGTAAGTCATGAAACCCTGGTACTCCTGCGTGATAAAACTAACGATGTTGATAGGCGGCTACTGCCACTGGTACAGGCCGCTCGTTCCCTACCTCCGCGTACACCACCACTTACACCATCACCTCATGTCCCGACTTCGAACGCGACTGTGTCACAGGCGTCGTGACGACACAGACTTTCAGCGGTCGACCAACCGTCACAGTTACTGCCGGAGCCGGTAGTGGCGGTGATGATGATAATGCAGCATGGCAGCCTACGCCACTAAGCTGGGTGTTTGCCGTCATTGGCGGCTTTGCTCTCGGAGTCAACTTGTTGTAGAGGGAGATATGACTGTACATATTTTGATGACATCTCTTGGACATGATGATTGTAATTGATAGACCGCACTCAGGGTATACATGGTATGAAACATACGGCGGCGTTTGATCTTTGCATTATCTCACTTTGTACCCATGACTTACGTGACTTGGAAATTGCCTCAGCTGTACTGGGCCTCTCCGCGTGTATGCTGTGTACTGCAGAAGGGAGCACAGCATGTCATGGCTTCACAATCGGGAGATACTTTCGGAGAATTTCTTCCCTCGATGTAGACTTTTTGTGCTCCCATGGTGTTGGATCAATGCGCTCTGCTCATGGTGCCGCAACAGCTGACAGCCACATCTTGCGCAACGCGGGAGGAAGACTTCGGATATCTCGGGAGACACTCTGTATCCACCAAGACTTGCTCGTGTCTGTGTAATCATAGGCGCGGTAGTGGTTTGAGTGTTTTCTTGAGAAACATCGGCGCTCTGCTGTAGAATGCAGAATCGCGACGGTCGATGAATGGCATCTCTTTTGAAGCTCTCACAAGGCTGTCGTGTATTGCCAGGGAATTGCGAGATTTCTGAGTCAGAGAGTTACATCGTGCGTCCCTTTCAGAATTATGCTGCGCAGTAGCTCTTGGCGGTGAGCAGGAGACTACAATTGTGACTCTGATTAGATCGAAAGTTAAAAGAATTGTCGCTATGACTGGACGAAGTGGTTACTCTGATGAAAGCAATAGAACTAGGGTGTCGGAGCCATTTTCATCAACACGCTAAAAGAAATACATGATGGTCTGTAATCAGTAGCCAGAGCCAAGTGTGTAGTTGCTCTTGATGAGTAAATTCGGTATCTGGACATCATTCTCTCTGCCTTTTTAGGCAATCTGAGTTGATCCTAACTGGTGGACGTCAGCGCGGGCAGAAACGTGCAACGGTAAGCTTATCTGAGCTTAATTTGACTTTCGCTTGTAACAAAATGGTCTAAGTTGTTCGCGTTGATACAATACAGCATCTCCTCATGCCATGGCGTCGATGATAGAGTCGTAATTCATGGTTATATGTGCATTCTCATCGAGGGACAACGCTCCTTATCGAGACGGGAGACGTTGGACATGGCGGAACTAGGGCGGAATTCATGCAAGCCACTTACCGAGGCATCAAGATACGATACGGTCCACTCCCTCTACCCCAATTCCTGCAACGATAGAAGACATACAGAAGCTACTAAGCTCAAAAATACAATACCAAGAAATACTGTCAACCTTAATTTTTTTTAGTCACATGCACCTTTACTTCAGCTTTGACCCTAAACAAGATCTACGTAACCCTATGGCAACGACCCTATTCATCTACCTCGGCTGGCACCGAGGTCTTGAATCGCAGCTAATAGGGCCAAGATTGGTGTAATGCGGAGATGGTGGAAATCAAATGGCGCTAAATTGGGTCTTCCCCAGATTTGGAGGAGGCCCCGAAGCGACAAGGAGGAGAGAAGAGCAGGGAACCAACTACGTAGTACATATTCAGCTCCTCATCTTTTTTCCCTTTCCTTTCATCTATTCTCCTCATTCTCTCCTCTCCCCTCTATTCTCTCGATATCCTCACTTTAATCCCTATTCAAGATGGTCTTCTATCCTCCTCCCTCAGTTAGCCTGCCCTTTGGTAAACTCACCCTGTCGTTAGTTTCAGCTTCTCTGCTCACATTCCTTAGATCCTCCTGAGTCAATCACCATCCCCGACTTCATCTTCAGCGATAAGCACGCTCGTAAACCCATTGCTCAGTCTAGAAATCCCTTCACATGTGGTATCTCCGGTAAGACGTATACCACAGAAGAGGTTATCCAGCGTGAGAAACTTCTCGCGCGCGCTCTTGCAAAGCGTCTTGGCTATGATGTCCACGATGGAACAGAGTGGGATAGAGTAGTGGCGCTGTTCTCAGTCAACACTGTACGTTTGAGCTCAGTCACACAAAAACTCAACTAACGTATAAGATTGACTACATTACCATGACCCATGCTGTTCACCGTTTGAATGGAATCGTCACACCCGCCAGTGCCGCATATTCCGCCCCAGAACTCGAGCATCAGCTTCGCTCATCCGGCGCCAACGCACTTTTCACTTGTGTTCCTCTTCTTGAGACCGCTCTCACTGCCGCGAAGGCAGCCGGTATCCCCGAGGATCGCGTCTTCCTTCTACCCGTGCCCGGCTTTGAGTCTAAGCCACCTTTCAAGTCAATTGATGATTTGATCGCAGAAGGCAAGGATACACCTGAGCTTCAGCCTCTGAATTGGATCAAGGGTCAAGGCTTGAGGCAAGTTGCGTATCTATGCTACTCCAGTGGAACATCAGGTCTTCCTGTAAGTCTCGCCGAATTTTGATGAGAAGAATGCATGAATGGCTCACAAATTGTAGAAAGCCGTTGAGATCACGCACGTCAATGTAATCGCAAACGTTATGCAAATGACGGTCCAAAATGAGGAGGGCCGTAAAGCAGCGGGAGTCGACACTCAGGTTCAGCTTGGTCTCTTACCACTCAGTCACATTTACGGCCTCGTCCCAGTCGCTCATTGGGGTAATGCCATCTCACTCTGTTCTTGAGTCTCACTGAACTAACTCGTACCAAGGCATCTACAATGGCGATGAAACAGTCATTCTGCCCAAGTTCGAGCTCAAGATGTTCCTTGCTACCGTTCAACGCTTCAAGATCGAACAAATGGCCCTCGTCCCTCCCATCATGGTCCAAATGCTAAGTCACAAAGCTGAATGCCAAAAGTACGACCTCAGCTCTGTCCGCTTCATCTTCAGCGGCGCTGCTCCCCTTGGAAAGGAGACAATCTTTGGCTTGAACGAAATCTGGCCCAAGTGGAATATCTGCCAAGGCTACGGTATATCTCCCTTAATCACGCGTCATCTCTCATCACTAACTTTGTAGGTCTCACTGAAACATCACCCGTGGTCTCGTCAACCACCGAACTCGACATCGACCCCGGCTCCTCAGGATCTCTGCTCCCTGGTATCAAGGCTAAGGTCATCGATGCTGAAGGCAAAGAGGTTACAGAATACAACACCCCGGGTGAACTCTACGTCCAAGGCCCCAGCGTCGTTTTAGGATATCTCAACAATGCAAAGGCCACAGCCGAGACCTTTGTGAACCACAGCGATGGCCGCTGGATGCGAACAGGTGACGAGGTTATCGTTCGCAAGTCACCTAAGGGCATTGAACACCTTGTCATCGTGGACCGAATCAAGGAACTTATTAAAGTCAAGGTAAATTTCACTATCTCAATGTCTCTGCTCAACCACTTACATACTTCACTAGGGCCACCAAGTCGCACCAGCTGAGCTCGAAGCACATCTTCTCAGCCACCCTCTTGTCGACGACTGTGCCGTCATTCAAGTCCCTGATGACCGAGCTGGCGAAGTCCCCAAGGCCTTCGTCGTCAAAGCACCCGAGGCCAAGGGCAAGTCCGACGAGGAGGTCACAAAAAGCATCAACAAGCACGTCGAAGAGCACAAGGCGCGGCACAAGTGGCTCAAGGGCGGCATCGAGTTCATCGATATTATTCCCAAGAGTCCTAGTGGCAAGATCCTGCGACGTCTGTTGAGAGACAAGGAGAAGCAGGCCCGAAAGGAGAAGGGGGCCAAGCTGTAATGATATGGTGTATAGAGAGTGTAAGAAAGAGAGGGAAAATATTATGCGCTTCTTATGAGGAAGCGGAGCGATTAACGACTATTAGATGCAGTTTCCAGAATCACTCGTGAAATCACATTGGTACAAGTCCGAGCATTCATCAAAGCACTGAGACGACTGCCTTGTATTAAAGAAAGTCTAGTTGAGATATCTATAAAGCGAATGGAACTTTTGTATTACATCAATGCATTAATCTTTACCTGAAGACTCTTAAGATCCTCCGCCCCTTTTTTATCTAGTCTTCTTCACACGTCAGTCCAATAGACCTCTTAGAAGACCATGCCCTTGGCCTGCTTGCTCTGAGCATCCTTCTCCCTAATGTCAATGTTCCTCCACATGAAGAGACAGACGATACAGAGGGGGATGAAAGCGCAACCAGCGTAGATCATCTTCTGCTGCACATAGTCATAAGCAGCAATAATGGCGTCTCGCTCAGGGCTACCAGCAGGGTAAGACAACTGAACGTTGATGTCGCCATATATGGTAGCAGTCATGTTCTTGGCAGACTCGGGAAGCTGCTTGGCAAGCTCGGTGGGGAGCATGTTTGTCCAGATGCCACCAGCAATAGCCACACCGATGGAGGAGCCGATACCACCAAACATACCCCAGATCGCCAGAGCGACGGCGACATCCTGATGCTTGACGGACGACATAACTGCGATACGGGCAGTCAAGGACCAGATACCACTGTAGATGCCGTTGAATAGCTGACACATGACGAGCCAGTTGACGGCGGTTTCAGGGTGACGGAAGTGGATGAGAAGAGCGGTACCGAGAACCAAGAAGGGCACACCAACGAAAGAAGGCCACTTGAAGCGTCCCAGGTATCGAATGGCGATACCAACGAAAGGGCCAACGAAGGCAGCCATCAGAGAGAACGAGTTGAGGATGTAACCAGAAGTAGTGACACTCTCAAAGTGAACAACCTGCAAGTAAGAACCGTAATAGGTATCCCAGCAGAAGATAGACGCAAACATGATGCCATAGATTAAACAGGCACCCAGAATCGTACGATCGGCGAGTAGGTGAAAGGGGAAGTAAGGCACGGGGGCGAAGAACTTTTCCCAGACGACAAAGCCGGCAATCAGAACAACACCAAGGATAGGCATGGCAATGATATAACCAGTGGCCCATCCATTGGGGGCAGTAGCAGCGATGCTGAAAGGGAGCAGGAGTAGAGCCCAACCGGCACTGGTGAGGAAAAGACCAATAACTAGAATAGTGTTAAAGACTGTGCGTTTAATGTGGATAAAGATTAAGCTCACCATCGAACTGCACAAAGTAATACTTGAAAGACTCCCAGATAGTGCGGTTGTGAACCTTCTCAGGGGCAAGACCAAACTTCTTGGCCTTCATCTCATTCATAATGAAGATGACCATGACGGGAATGCAGAACGCCAACAGGATAATGCAGAACGAACCAAAAGCCCATCGAAAGTTGACATTCTTCAAGAAGAGCTCAGCAATCTTGGGTCCAGCGAAAGTGGAGCTGATGGTAGGCGTGTAGTTGATACCCATGATGATCAACCGGTTGCGGAGAGTAGTGGTGTCAGCGACGACAACGTCAATGACATAGATGAGACCGAGATGGCCAACCCAGTAAAATGTATGAGCAGCAGCATACATCTCGACACTGTTGCATGTGGCCTTCATGATCATACCGACAACGATCAGGAGAACCATGGCACCGAAACCCCAGACTCGACCCCAGATGTCAATGATCTTGGCAAGAGTCAAGTTCCAGACGGCACCCAGAATCGAGGCTACAATACCAGTTGAGGCGAGAAGACCATGGGAAGCGAAAGCCGAGGTGACGTAAGGAATGAGGTTACTTTGCACATTCTGAAGAAGACTATCGACGAAGGAGACGAGGAAAAGGCTGGAAAGTCTAGAGTCAGTATGGCCATGGCAAGGCAAGCTAACCACTTACAAGACAAATGTGGCAATCAGCATCTTCTTGGTCCAGACGCTGGTGATGGCCTCGGCTTTCTTGACACCCTGCTGCTTGAATTCATCATCGGAGAAGTCCTTGAGATCCTCATCGGCCATGATGTTGTTGTTGGCAGGAGCCTTCTCGATGTCTGGAACAGACACATCGTTGACGGGCGTGGGCCCGTTCATGGTATGAGTCGCCATTGGAACGAAGGATGTTGGAATCGTTCCAAAGGGAAGAAGTGCTCAATTCTGCTCAATTCTGCTCAATTCTGCTCAATGGAGCAAGGGAAGAAAGAGAAGATTAAGCTGAAGGACTGCTCAGTTGATGAGGGGACTAGAAGATCGCATTGAAGGGGAGAGAGCACCCATTAAGTACCTTGCCCTACCAGGCCAAGATCGTAGCTCACTACAACTCTAGCTACATAGGAAGCTCTCACTAGAGCGAGAATTGGGAACGGGATAGGCGATGATCATCCATGGCTAGATTTCACAGAACGAATCCTTCGGGAGGCTAAAACGGTAACTGGTCTCCGATGGGTAGACTTCCTAAGCCCACCTATAACTGGCCGCGGTACGTTTGCCATGAACCAGGTAAGGATTAAGCTCATTGCGACCCTGGGCAATCAACGGCAGAAAGCCCCTGTTCGAGAAGAGCCCTCTCGCAGTAGAGACGTCCCTGGTTCTTGGCTGGTGAGAAAAAGACGCACTAACACCGATCATCCACGCTCTATTTGCTTGGCCCTACGAGTCTAACCTTTGGGAATAGCACCATAGATGTGCCAACTGGAGACCTTGCAGTATCGAGAGCACCATCTATTGGACAAAGCTTATTTCCAGAAGCTATCCGCACATCGACCGGGGTGAGTTGGCCGAGAGTGGCGTCGCTCCAACTGCTTGGTACGGTATGGCGCCGTTTGGTGTTGACCCCCAAGAACACCAAACGCAAGTTTTTCAGCGCTAGTCGCATATCTGATCATCTGATAATCTGATAAGCAGCATCACCACCGAAGATCGCACCTCTTGGCCTTTCACCTTCACTTTCCAGTGTGCGGCGTAGCATTGGCACATCAATTTCGTCCGTCCTTCTCCGAGTACAAGCATGTGATGGAAAGTTCACTAACATTTTTGCCTCAGAAAAGGCGAGAGTTCCTCCAGGGTTCCCTTGCATGTCGCTTATCATCTATTGCGAGACAGATGGGATCGGTCGTAAAACCAACAACCAACAGCGCGTTTATGGCGTTTCTTTAAACGCAGCACTGCATAATAGGCCGTGGGGCCGTATAAGATTATTTTCCGGCAAGTGGGCGCTGGTCCATAGTAAGAAAAGCCAGACTCCGATTTGGCCCTGATGAGTTTTCAGGTCATTTCTAACCAGGAAGGGCAACAGAGGCGCTTTTTGGCGTAAATAAGGTCGCGAGCCTTGCTCTTGGCATCAGGCAATCGGAGAAAAAATGGGCAAGCCACCAGAACGGGATTCCGAAGCATAGTCTTAGGTCCTGGGCCACATCTCGAGGCTCTGCGGGCCGGTGCTCTCTTCTTTGTCCTTATCAATCTTACCGTGATATAACATTACAAGATCGAGACTTGCCCCAGTGGCCTGGAGCTCCACAGGCCAAAGCACGTCTAACTGATTTCGGATTCACTGACAGAGCTGTTGAAGATCCGGCCAAAAGGAAGTCGATTGTCAACTTGAGGCAAATTCTCTTCCTCACCGGGGCCTTTGGCGTTCGGTTCAACGTCTTGGCAAGTCATCTGTCCAGTCTGGAAATAAGCCTTACATCTAGAGCTTGTAATGTGGCTCGGAGCCATGATACTGGGTTGAATCCACTGTGGATGTTGAGAATTGGATTGACTGCTGCCTGGCCAATATGTTTCGTTTTCTTAACCTGCTTGTCGTACTCATGTGGGGGTCCGGTGATTGATAGGCCGATTCTGCTGGACCACATCCGAGGAATGGTCTTGTTTGATGTTCTAGACAATATGAATGCATCGCAAGAACAGGCCGTCCGGGTGACATTTTCCATAAGGTGGGCCAGAGAAGTCCTTGTCGTAAAGTTAGAGGCTCTTGGCGCCGGGGAGCAGCAAATCGTCTCCCAATAGCATCGCAGTATATCCGAACTACTGTAGTCTTTTTTGTAAGCAGGAAAGAGCCTTGTCTTTCCTGGGACCAAGAAAATGGTGTAAAGAGGCCGAGATGCACGGCCGATCTGAAGTTTGGCAAGGAGAATGGAGTCTTGCGAACCTCCCGATTTGATCCGCCAAAGCGTTCCTCCAGTTGCCGAGGATGTAAATGCACTTGGGATGGAAACAATCACTCGGAGAGTATCACATCTCATGATAGCACTCTGCGAGGTGAATGATGTCCCGATTCAACGGCATCGAGGGCTGGGTTGCGTTGCATCGCCGATCTGGTGTTTGCCACCAACTGTAACTGATTGATTTGATAAGATTAGATTATCTTGAAATGCTTAAATTGCCATCATGTCTTGGCATTAGACCCTAGTGGCGCTGCGAATCCTTCGAGTGTCGTTGATCCATGATTTTTGTGTGCACATGATCGGAGAAGCTGCCGGTCGTCTTACGACATTTGGAATGTACATAAATCCTAAGGAAGCAAACGATTTGAGGAACGCGTGGCCAAGCCAGGGGAGGTAAGAAAACTCGACATCAGTATCACAAGTGACAGAAATACTTGGTTAACTTTGGGATAGCCTTGGACAGCCTTACTTTGAACTCAGGAAGCTTAGATCAGATAATTTAGTATCCTGAAAGAAGGCCTTTGAGCTTTCTTGATGCCAAGGTAGAGTAAAGCTGAGGGCATCCGTATATAAAATGCCCACCATGCCGATATCGCAAGTTTCTATCATCGAGCTCGAGAGGCCCTGAGACTTTTAACAAGGATACTCAGGTATTCGTGGGGGTTTCCATGCTGCTTACACTTGACACTATACATTCTGTGTAGTCGAACAAGGATGCTATCAATGGCGACATCCCTCTATCAGTAAACCATCTGTAATACCGCTGAAAATGCTTGGCCTCCTTGCTTCGAGAGCGTAGAGGGATATGAGGTAGGATGGGGATAATTTCGTAAAGAGTTTGTACCTCATGTTCCACGTAAATTTGCGAACGATGGTAAAGTCTTCCTTGGGCGTCGGTGGCAAGTTGATCGCTGTCAAGTCTGTGGAAGAAACGCAAAGTTTTTCCAATGACCAGAAGATACGTGCAAAATGGAACAAGAAATAGAAGCGGAATGTCAATGTCATAATGTTGTCGAGTGGTGATTCTCAGAGAGGGCCCAGAAGAGTGCTATTGAGTAGGTGCTGCCTTCCATCTTATTCGGTTCTCGCATGACATACAAAAAGGTATTGGTCTTTATCACAAACATATAGAAGCAAGAAAAGACGGTTGAAAGAACCATGGTTCATCATACGGTCCTTGACAAATGTTCTGTGATGTTGGATTGGCATTGCTTCGATTTGATTTCAGCATGTTTGCGTTAATACTATGGTAGGTGAGCTACCTCAATGGCAAGTGGCTTCAACTGGTAGTGTGTGTTATTCAGTAGCCAGCATTTACATTCTTTAGACAGCCAATTGTGCTACGAGTTGTCGACGGTCGATAGAAGCGTAGTCACTACAGCCAGTGGTAAGCTGCCGAGGCTTCTTCAGAGTCATCAAATGTACAAAATGATAAGCCATTTGCAGCTTCACAAGAGAGAAATACTTCACGAGTAAAAACATAGGCGAGCATTGGGAATTGATTCAAACAGAAATAAGTCGATATTAACATTAAACAACCAGCCAGCGGGTATATATGCTTCTGTGCATCTCGGCTCAACTGGTAACTTCCCTTGCTCTTTTTCTTTTCTACTTCATTTTTTTCTTCGACCTCCAGACTTGATGTCACATGAGGATCCGGTCAGTACCAAGTTTCCACACTAATGCATAGTTCGTAAGGATCGTAAGAATGATACATGTTTGATGAGCGCGCTGTCTAGCTTCCCTGGAAGCCCAAGCGGTCTCGGGGTACGGGCGTACATAGCATACATACAGGTCCCGCCTCAGGTACCAAGACCTAATCTATAAACAACAAGGAAAACAGAGATGATGTGCGAAGCGCATCATGACCCTTACAGGGCAATGGCAACAGCCAGGATGGCGGCGGCGATGCCCATGCCGTTGCGAGCGGCACCAGCAGTCACGGGAACGCCAGTAGCGGTGGGAGCGGGGAGACCACCGGTGCCGACAGCAGGCTTGCCGGTGATGAGAGTCTCACCAGCGCCGGGAGCCTCGTAGCCGGGAGCAGGGGCCTCAGTACCAGCAGCGGGAGCGGTAGCAGGGGCAGTCTGAGCAGGGATGGGGCCGTTACCAGCAGGGCCGGAGGTGAAGCCAACCTCGGGAACAACGATCTCAGTCTCAATGGTCTTGACGGTGGAGGAACCCTCAACAGTGGTACCGCCAGCGACAACGGGCTCAGTGATGGTGGTAGCGACGACGACGGTGGTGTAGTGAGCAGAGGTGATAATGGTGGTGCCAGTAACAGTGATGTGCTCAGTGACGGAGTCAGCACCGGTGGCAATACCGGGGTTCTTCTCGACGTAAGGAGCGCAGATACCCTGGAAGAAGGAGACGGCCTGGGCGACAGTGTCGTCGTTCTCAGCGTGGGCGTAGAGGCACTCGAAGACGTTGTCAACGAAGTCCTTGGAGGGGCAGTAGCAGGCAGCATCAGTGTTGTCCTTGCAGTCGGAGACGTAGTCAAGGAAGGTGTTCAAGCAGCTGGGGACGACATCGGGAACGTTGTAGCCATCCTCAGGAGCCTTAGGAGTCTCAGGCTTCTCGTCGGAGCCAGTCTTCTCAGGCTTAGGAGCCTTGTGAGTGATGGTCTCAGTGACGGGGCAAATGGTGGTGGAAACGGCAACAGTCTCGGTGACAACAGCAGGAGTTCCGGCGGTGACAGGGCAGTTGGTGACCTCAGGACCGCAAGAGGTGATGGTCTTGACCTCAGTAGAGTAGATGGTGGAGGTGCTGTCGTAGCTGGTGACAATGGTGGTGTGCTCCTCGGGAACATCAGTGGTAGCGTTGGGGGAAGAGCCCTCAGTGGTCTTGGCAGGCTTCTCACCAGTGGGCTTGTCGCCAGTAGGCTTCTCACCAGCAGGCTGAGTGTAACCGGGCTTGTCACCACCCTCAGTAGGCTTGGTCTGGCCGGGCTTGTCACCGGTAAGAGTCTCAGTGACAGGGCAGATGGTGGTGGAGATAGCGACAGTCTCGGTGACAACAGCGGGGGTACCAGCAGTGACGGGGCAGTTGGTAACCTCAGGGCCGCAAGAGGTGATGGTCTTGACCTCAGTGGTGTAGACGGTGGAGGTGCTGTCATAGACGGTGGTGATGACGGAGGTGTTCTCGCCAGCGGGGACGGTCTTGGTGTTCTCGCCAGCAGGGACAGTCTCAGTGTTGTCACCAGCAGGGGCAGAGGTGGTCTCAGAGCCAGAAGAGCCGGAAGTGGTCTTGCCGCCAGCAGGGACAGTCTTGGTCTCTTCGCCAGAAGGAACAGTCTTAGTCTCCTCACCAGCAGGGACGGTCTCGGTGTTCTCACCAGCGGGAACAGTCTTGGTGTTCTCGCCAGCAGGGACAGTCTCAGTGTTGTCACCAGCAGGGGCAGAGGTGGTCTCGGAACCAGAAGAGCCGGAGGTGGTCTGCTCACCAGCAGGAACAGTCTTGGTCTCCTCACCGGCAGGGACGGTCTCGGTGTTCTCACCAGCGGGAACAGTCTTGGTGTTCTCGCCGTAAGGGACAGTCTCAGTGTTCTCACCAACGGGAGCAGAGGTGGTCTCAGCAGGAGAAGAACCAGAAGTGGTCTGCTCACCGGCGGGGATGGTCTCAGTGTTCTCGCCGTAAGGGACAGTCTCAGTGTTCTCACCAACGGGAGCAGAGGTGGTCTCAGCAGGAGAAGAGCCGGAGGTAGTCTGCTCACCAGCGGGAATGGTCTCAGTGTTCTCGCCGTAGGGGACAGTCTCGGTGTTGCCACCGGCGGGAGCAGTTGTGGTCTCCTCACCAGCAGGGACGGTCTTAGTGTTGTCACCGTAGGGGATAGTCTTGGTGTTCTCGCCGGAGGGGACGGTCTTGGTGTTCTCGCCATAAGGAGGGGTGGGAGGCTGAGGCTTGTCACAGTCGAAGTCGATCTGGGGAACCTCGACACGGCACTTGTCCTTGGGCTTGTTGGGCTGCTTGGGGTAGACGAAGCGAACATGCTTGGCACCACCACACTGGGTGTTGTAAACATCGGTACCGTCCTTGGAGCAGTCGGCCTGGTGCTTGCAGGTAGAGCCGTCAGGCATGTCATAGTGGAACTCGAGACGGCAGTCAAACTCGGGTCGGACGTGGAACTTCTTCAGAGAGAAGGACTTCTCCTTGCTGCCAGCGCCGCAGCCGAAAGAGGGAGCCTCCTCCTTGGCGGAGCCACAATCGGCAGAGATAGACTTGCCAAAGTGTCGGCCAGTGAGATCGCGCTTCGACTTGTCGGTTCCACAGGTCCAGCCCTTGAAATCAAAGTCGTTGTACTTCTCGAACTGGCCGACCTGGAGGTCATCCCAGTACCAGCCCTTCTTCTGGTTCTCCTCACACTTGTTGTCGATGGCACGGGGAGGAGTGTACTTGGGAGCATCCTTCCAGTTACCCCAGTGAGCGGAGACCTCGCCAAGGCTGGCAGTGAGAGCCAGAAGGGCAAAGTTGGCCTTCATGGTGAAAGATTTGTCGGGGGTGGTAATAACTAGTTGTATGTGTAGCGAGTGTGTTATATGCAGAACAGAATATTAAGAAATGGAGTCAAAGGAAACGAATGACTTTGACACCAGAACAAAAAAGAGAGAACTTTGATGTAAAGAAAAAGGGAAAAGAAAAGAGGTGAGTGATAATCCAAAAGAAAGAGTCGAAAGAGGTGGGAATGAGAAGCATCTATATACCCACGAGTCTCTCTATCTATCAAAAAAGCTGGAGGAGTGCTTGCCTGCGGAGGCAAAGGGCGGCCAGCCCGGCATCTGGTGCCAAACATGGCTGGTCTCCTCTATGGCCCATGCCTGGTGGAGATACTACCGGCGATGGGAACCCCTGATACTCAACCAAGTCAGGTTGAGCACCGGTGGTCGGCTGAAGGTTCGAAAAAGTCTCTCCAAGAATTCAGGTCCGTCCGGTGAGGTTTGACACAACGGTTCGTAGTCCAGGGCGGCTCAGGGACACTGACAAGGATGAGTATCCGTGACAGGGACCCATGTCGTTAGAAGTTTCTCCATCGACAGGGGCCTTCAACAGCGGCTCGGTGCAAGCCCAATGATCTGTGGGAGCATTGTCCAGGGTGTGTATCTCTCTCAGGTCTTGGCTGTGGATGGACTGATGAGCGAGCTTGCTCACACCATGCGAAGCGCAATGCCCAACGGTAGCCAATGCGATGCTTGTGCCTGGCCATGGATGGGAAGCAACCTTGTCGTTACTCGCCTTGCCGAAGTGGTATTCTTAGAAAGGTTAACATAACTTTTTGTTTATGCTTGACAGGGCTTGCTTCAGCTGGTCCATCTCCCGCTGCTGGGCTGCGCTTGAAGAGGCCGCAGTGCATATCCTGATCTCCAGGCGCTTGCCATGAGAAAACAGTGCAGAATGTGAACCAAAAGGCGGTTATGCATATTCTGATTAAAGCTCCGAGGCGCTACTGCATGTGTTGATGACCACTAGCAGAGCGCCTCTCAGTAGGCCAAAAGCGAACAGAGCCTCTAGCCAGTTGCCGAGGTGGGCGTTTAGAGCATTTTTGCGGGGCATCGACCGCGGGAAAATTCACACCCCGCTGTGAGGCTTGCACTTGGACGCTGAGATAGCTGTTAACTAAGACAATGAGGATACCTCCTATCAAGCAAGGAACAGAGACAATTCAGGTCATGGATGTGTACCTCACGTTACAGTCAAGTACCACAGACGCATAATACCTGTCATAACTTACAACGTCAAAAGGGGTTCGTTCTCTTTCCCTGCTTGAGATGTTTCTTTCCTTTTCCCCACGACAAATTGCTCCTTCCGCGTCTGCCGTCCATTTCTTGGGTATCATCCATCTCTACGAATGGGCAAGTGCAACTGATGAATGAAACGCTGCGCCACCTTATTAGAACATGTTAAGAATCAGGGGCATCGATGGCCCGGGCCCGTTAACGTCCCGCACAGGCTTCTGCAGGTACAGGTACCATATCCGCCAATCGCGCAGCAGCGCTTGCTTGGTGCCCTGGCGGTTGCCAATTGGTCGTTTGGGTATTTTTCGGCGAGCCACTAAAGGTGCTGGATCAAGGCATCAAAGGCACTTGCTTTTGTTTTTTGTTGCGGATTTTCCCCCTAATGGGAGTATCGTAGTCCGGCGCTGTTTCCCCAGACCGCCACCGCAAGCCACTGACGGTTTGTCGCGACAGATGGTGCCAAGGAATCCTCGCTTGCAGTCAGACCGTTACCGACTCGCTACTGGGAAATAACGTTTGGCAGGTCACTCACTTGCTCGTTCCCTGACCTGGAAGGGTCACTTGTTAGCAGCGAATGGATGCTGGGAATTATCGCGATTCCATTATCAAGATTGGAGAATGTTTCTTGACAGATCCTAAAAATAACATCGCCATGTGATTAACCCTCGCACTTGTTCCTCTCCGTGGATCTACAGCAGGCCTCCGAAGAAACCACGATTGAGTAAACCTTACACCTTCAGCATGTCAATATGGTTCAAACGCGGGTTGCTACGTCAAAAGAGATTACAGCACCAAGGGACTTGGCCTATTTTCCCTTTTGCAGCATCTCGCCGATTGATAGGAGAACGGAGATATTGTAGGGCCAGTCCATATATCCACCGTTTCCACCGGACTTGACGGGGATGCAAATCACGGAAGCAGGCCATTTATAACGGACAAGGTTCGTGGAATAAGTGATCATGGATCTGGCTAACACGGCCAGACGCAGGCTTGGCATAACTGATGGCCTGACTGATTGATTCCAATCGCTTTATTGGTACATCATCTCGAGGCCTCATTTGCTGTGATAGCTCTGAACAGGATGGAAGCTCCAATTCGCCGCCTATTGCTATTCATGATCACTGGTCTTCCTTAAGGCTAGACTATCCCCAAGTCTTCCAGGTACTGTGATTACTGGGAACTTGTTAGTGGACTACGAAACATGGCGCTTGCGTACCACTCGAGATCTATGCATAAGAATCACAGTAGGGTAAGGAAACGTGATATAGACTCTCAGCTATTACTTTCATCATGCCGAAGATGGCCAAAATTAACAACGCCGAATGGTCTCGTGGCTACCCAGCTTCCATCTCTATCTTTAGCACGGAGGTACTGGCGTTCATTTTTAGCACCTAGCGCTACCACCCGTCCAGTAGCATGGCGAGACAGATCCTGGGCGCGTGTGTTTGACGCCAAGGAGTCTCAGGACCAGGCCGCCCTAGTCTGTTTCAACATCAGGGCAGCCAATCATCAATTACTGAGCAACGAATCTGCGACGAGGCCAATGTCTTCCAGCCCTATCACCCTTCAGAGGTTTTTTCCTTCACTATCTTAGCAGATCCTATTCTGGACCTGAGAGCATCCCAAAAGAGAGGTCGCAAGGGAAGAGCGACTAACAAGGACTCTCGGGTCAGAATATCGCAAACCTACCCGTCCGGTGTTTCTCAAGTCCGGAACGATCGGCAAATGCTTGTTTGTTTTGGCAATCATGAAGTCCCGGGTAGGTTTCGGCGATACAGGAAAGTATTCGCCTGCAACTGAAATCGAAGCCAAACAACATCCAGACACGATGCGATTCATTATGGAATAATTTGTCAGGTTGAGGTGTCATCTGAATGTCTTCAATAGTCAACTGAATCCCATACCAACCACGTTGCAATGTTCTGTCCCAGAGAGAGCTTTGAAGACAACAATTATCTGTTTGCTCTTACAATATCAAAGTTTGAGTTACCAACCTTGAAACTATGCTTACTTGGCTGGCACCAGAATGGGAAGTGCACGGATTGTTTCATTCAAAAGTTAGAATGACGAAAAGGGCAGCTTGAATAGCCAGTCGCAACTTGTGGTAGCCCTGTGCTTCACCTGAATCCCCAGTCTGCAACCGGCCTTAGTCAACAACGATAATTTTGATCTCGCCGGACCACACAAGCTGACTGATTTCCTATGTCGTCGAAATTGCAGCAATACTTGCCAATACTGACTTATCAAGTGACTAGCTGCAATCGCTTACAGGATTTCGACCGCACACTCCACCGACTTCCGCGCACTCGAGATCAACGGAACTATTGATGAAAGCTCCGGTGGCTTGCTCGCGTCATGGCGTCCATGAGCATTAGCCTACGTGCGCTACCAATCGACATTGATGGGGCCCCATCCAACGCCTGTTCTTTAGCTTAAAAGTTTCTCTGTGATGGTATTCCCGCAAATAAGAAACGATGTCCCATGTTCACAACGGCGAAAAGCGGTATTCCAAAAATGGTTCAAGTCAATAACCAGGTTGAGATCTTTATGGAGTCCCTGTGCTGGTACTCCTGATAACATCGAGAAGACCATGTCGGTAATCTTGACAACGTACCATCGCCGTTGTCGTTTCGTTTTCATCCCGGGATTGTCATATTGTCGATAGCTTGACTAGCTTCTTCTGTATGCCACCGCGTTCAGTCGCCTAAAGCCCAGGCTCGCGGAATAAGGTCGAACCATCATCGAATGTAACGATGCCCTGAAGACCCCTGAAGACAGAACGATGCAGCGTTACAACGCGTGTTCTTGGGCCGGACAGGGGAGATCCCGGCCGAGACTAGTTCGAGTGTCCTGTTGGGTTCGACTTAGCGTTTTCTCTTCTGGTCGTTCCATGTTTCGAGTTACGGCCGTGGCGGCTTTGGATGAAACTTGCGATCTGCCAGACACTACTCTGTACACAAACGGTAGTTGTATTTTTTGTTTTGAACGTTGAGGTGACATGGTTCTTTGCTTTTTTAGTAAGGTCAATTAATTGTCACCAACAAGTAACAACCAGAAAACGATCTTGAGAGCAGACCCTTGCGAGGCACCCAGTGACCAGACCGGTCGTACGTTTTCATGATAATATGTTTCCGCAGCAAACGAAATAAAATTATGCTCAGGCTAATTCTGCTGCAATATGCTGATCGTTAGTCACCTCATCTTCGATCGATTAGACAGTGGATTTATCGTTCAGGTGGTCGATCAGCTCGCGCCAAATAACTCCACTGATCGTCATATCCAAGCGTTATTCTTCGACCTCCGGGCGTTTCACGGACTGTCTCCAGCTTACACGGATCACAGCTGACTCACCTTGCAGCAGTTGGGTTCAGCCAGGAGAAAAAGACTATCACATTGGCGTCGAGCAGAGTCCTGGCATGTGTGTCTGCTGTTGCATTTCAGTTGGTTCACTTGTCAGTTTCCTTGCAAGCACTTGCATGGGTATGGAGGTAGCTTTACAACCTCTCAGGGGAACCAAAGGTTTCTATGACAATTCACCTCCACCAACCCTGATTGAGTTCACAAGACCCAACAAAGGCTCAGACTTGCGAGCGTACCTGCATTTATCTTCCGAGTTCCGTCCATTTAGGGACCGGACGGATGCTGCATTGGGTTGTACAAACCTGAACTTGGCCGATTCCGTTACCACTTCGGGGAGCTAGGAGGTGGCTGTGAAGTTTAGAAGTTTCCATTTCTTTGCCTTTCTTCCGAGCTGAGTGGTGGAATTCTTGCCGGGTTCACTCATCCTGGTCCTTCTTCCGGTCAACAACGGAGTTAAGCAATCACAGTCCCATAGTTCTACCGTGAACTGAGAAATTCCGACCCAATCCGCGTATCACTAAGCTGGGTTCTTCATCACTGGACTATTGTGATAAGTAAGGTGACCAAAACCTGTCGAGAGTGAAAGCACAAGCTTTACAAAAGCAAACAGAGGCTTTCATGTGACAATCAGTAGCTATTCTGGAAATTGACCGGGGCCAGTTTCACCATGGAGAGCCACTTGAGCACGAAAATCCCATATTGCTAACTTTCTCAATGAGTTAAGCATTCAGAGTGCGCATTGGCCCTCTTAAATTCGAAACGACGATGTTGAAGCTGAAGAAAGTCAAACACTGGCCTGCCGGCCTGTCGATGTGACTGGGAGGGAGGCCTTTGAACGCAGGAAGATCTTCCACTTGACCTGTCACCTATCTTGGAAAGACATCTGGCACGGGAAATTCATTGCTCAATACTGGATATGATCGTTCCGATGCGATCTGAATGAATTTCTTGATTTCTATCAACGGTATCTAAATATCATATATCCCCTGATCTATATATCACCAATGACGAAAGTTCAACCCAATCGCATGGGAACATTCAAGTTCAGTATCGCATAATGAGTTTCCCTCGTCAGATCCCTTTTAATCCAGGAGTTTACGCTCCCAAGCTTTCTCTGCAAGAGGTAGAGCCCACTTACTCATCCACTCCGATCGCAGTACCTGATCAGCTGTCATCCGTTCTTCTGGTCTGAAGCGTAGCATCCCTTTGATCATATCTAGAAAGGCGTGACTCTCATCATGATCCATGTGTTCCGTGCCCTCTTCCATTCTCGGTTCCTGGATATTCATGTGAAAGCGCTTTTCAAGCGACCAGAATTCCCTTTTCCCTTTTGGCTGCCCGTCTTCCTCAAATTCATTCAACTTTGCCTCCCACTTCTCCCACCATTCCTGTGGTAGTGGGCCAAGTGCATCGATCTGGTCAGCAATTACCTCATCCCAATTGAAGAGAAAGCTGCTCATAAATGGTCCATCACCCATGACCTCCCATACCATAAGTCCCAGGCTCCATATATCAGAGGAGAACATGAGGGGTTTCGTGGGATCAAACTTAGCTTCTGGTGGCCGGTTTTGCAAGTGCGTATAAGACATCAGTCTGGTTTCCTGTAACGGGTTGAAGGCTGTTCCAAAATCGGCGAGCCACAGCTTGGCTTCGGGCAGCAAAACCTCGTCGCTGGGTTTGCCGAGCCAGTTTGGCGTATAGACTTTCTTTGGCACTGATGCTGAGGTAACCGGCTGACCGTCGGTTCTAGCCACGGGGTAAGGCTCTGGCTTATAGTATTTCTCATACACCTGTTGGATGGAGAGGTGGTCGATCTCAGATCCAGGCAATTGGAGCAACACATTTCTTAGATGAATGTCTAGAGAGGATCAGATGTCGTCTGAGCGACCCAAACACGTGGGTTGGGTACTTACCACCGTGAACAAAGCCGGCCCGGTGGACGTATGCCGTTGCCATGATGAGCTGTGCAGACAGTGCCCTGGCTACGTCAAGTCGGAATGAGTTGTATCTAGAAGTCTTGATCGATTCGGCCACGCTACATTTGGCCGGTGCAGTGACAATGCAAGGGTGTGTGCCGTTAGGCCCATTAAGTGTGAAATGATCAAGTACTCGAGTGATGAGGTGACCAGAGAATTCGTTGGTCGGATTGTCAGCCAATTTGAGGAGAACGTCTCTCTCTTTGGAAACTTGGTCAGCCGTGCCGACTTTGACGGCGACGTATTTATTGAGCTTCTGGTCGCGGGCAAGCCATATAGTAGAATAACCGCCCTTGCCCAGCTTATCGACTATGATATATCGCTGATTCAGCTTATCATTAACCTCAATGGGATGGTAACCTCCAGGACAGTACCTGTCGATATTTTCGACATTCCTGTAGAGCTTGTAGGTTGGGAGATCTGCAGTGGTGGTAGACATTGCTCTTTGAGACAGATTGCGGTAGTGGTAGTAACGCCGTGTCCAGGAAGTGCAAAGCGGTAATCTCAATTGAGGCTCGTGAAAAAATCGGTAGCTCCGGTGAAGCATCTCGGATTTGATTTCGAACTGGTGAGCTTATATGATATCTCGTCAAAGTCTCAGTGAAAGCAATGGGCGTGCGAGACCTGCACATGCCGAGTCCAATACTCAACTGGTAGTGGATGCCAGTGGAGGCGACCGGCTGCTTGAAACCGTAAGGTGCCAGAGCAGGAAACTGTCTTAGTCAGCAGGTAGACTTTTTATAGAAGTGATGCCATTGGAGGCAATTACATGGTGTGGCTTAGGTTTTCCACTCAATTGAATACCGCCCGTAGTAGCCGCCTGAGCAACTCCACCATGGTCACTTTCTGATCAACAATAAATATGATCACCAACAACATCACCAACAGATGCTCTTGTGCTCATGATGACTGGCTGCAGTTATTAGTTACATATGCGCGCGCTTCTATGTGTGCATATTGGCAATGCCTCTGGCGGTTACTTGATATGCTAGCCCGAAACCTTGACGGCCAGGGCATGGATGATTCTACAATTGAACCAACATCGACAGCGAACGTCTTATGATGGGCGAAGTAGATTACCATAAACTATAAATTCAACGCATTTCTCCGACTCAATTGTGTTTGGCAAACAATCAAACGGTCTATCTCATCTACATCACAATACTCCATCACAGCTCAAAACTTGAACCACATCTAATCGTCCACCACAATGTCCACTGTCAACCGAGTTAAATATTTCTTCCACAAGAACGCAAGGCTCACGGAAGAGAAACGAGAGGCACTAGTACGTCTGGCTTACCAGACAGCGACTGCAAAGAATCTGTATCCGAGAATGGTCTTCATTAGGTACGTCCTGGGATGTTTTATTATTGTCACTCGAAATTCTGACTCCCCGACAGGTCTGATATTCACGACACTACCATAATCAATGGCAGATACCAGAAAGACCCCCTTGGCGATCATATAACTATGTGTTTCAAGGACGACGAGCATATCCGTGCAGGCACCCATATTGCTTGCCATGGTTATGTCGACGACAAAACGAGCCTGGAGTTTCGTGAGACCACAGACACCCCAGAAAAGTCCGACTCTACCCTTAAAAGGAACGATGAACCTGTGTGGCCACCAAACAGCAAGCTTTACGAGTACCCCCACGATGGCTATTACAGTCACCTGGATGGACAGAAGAAGAAATAGCCTGTAGTTAACTAGAGAGGTGGGAAAGGTTATGGGCTGCCGGACGTGTGTAGTTAAATCGAAAATAGTCATTGGCTTTGTCTCGGCTTCTCTTTCTGGTAAAGGCCGTGTCAACAGGTCAGTGGCGCAAGTGATCAGTACATAAGATGCATTTTGTCCCTTTCGTAGAACCACATGTAGACATAATCAAGGGCCAATTCAAACACATATAGGTACCCCTAGCATGAACAGACATGGCCTACTTCCATCTTCCTAAATCCACAATTTTATTCATCAGCACCATACTATACAAGGCTGCCATAGGTCAACCGATGTTTTGTGCAGAAACTACTTCTTTGTTTATGGCGGTGATTGTTCTTGCGGGATGGCACAGACTGGCCTAAACAGAGCTTATCTTGTTGTCATCTTTCCCGAAAGTGTGTTCGGTTCATGAACATACTAAAGTGCCCAAGAGAGTCGTAGGATATATATACCTTCCTGTATATCTATTTTATGATATTCCGTTCTACTCTCTTACATCGCACATTGTTCTTTGGTGATCGAACTGAAGACAGCACGAGAAAACTAACCCACACGACACAATCTTTCAGTATGGCTCCAACCAGGACACGCAAACAGGTCCGTTTCAGGGATCAATATGAACGCCCCAGGAATAAGTTCTCCTTAAATGAGAAAAAAAAAAAAGTACGGATGGCATCAATATTCTCACCAGAAAGGATGAAATATGCCGTTTCATTACCGGCGCTCTCTCTAGATTTCTCAAACCCATTGAGATTCCCACCAACACCCATCTCATTGAGCATCGGCCCTGGGGCGCAGGAGGTGTATATACCGTTCGATCTGTTGAGCCTATTCTGCCCAATACTCGGTATGATCTCGCCACGCGTGTCATTATACACCATGAAATAGGGTGGGTGCAGGTGATCTTCTCCATTGCGAGAGGTTTGTTTGATAGAGTCTCACTTCCTCCTGTGCAATGGCTTGAAGTGCCGAACATGGAACTTACGTTGAACAATGGTATGAAGGTGTGCGTTCAGATTGAAGACTCTATCCATGGACAGTTGTTGGCTTCTTATCTCAAGAAGTTGGACTTGCTTGAGTTGCTAAGGAATGGACCTGCTGATTTGGGAAACCCGCAAAGAGACAGCGGGGGAGATATTGAGATTGACTGAAGAGGTTACGGTAGTCATACAGATTGTAAGGTATTTTGGAGTTAGGAGTCACGGTGGTGGAGTTGGACTAGGTTGCAGCCATGGCCTGGTATGAAGGACTTCACTGATCTCAGTTGGTAAAATTGACCTAGATTCCATATTTGCACGTGTTTTCCCATTAGACTGTTTATACACGAATATTTGTTCGTGGAAGGTTTCTGAATATATAATCGTTTATCATAAGCTATTACGCATAATATAACAAAAGGTGAAGATGAGAAAACGCCAAGAGACCCTGAATTCTTAACAATAGGAGATTGTGCCGGGTAACTGAGACCACAAAACTCGCAAAAAACTCCTTAAACTAATGGACCTTTGTCATGCATCGATACAATAGAACCATGATGTAGTATGCAGTGGCATTAGTATATTCTGAATATTGATCCATTATGGCACTCAAGCTTATCCGCTGCCTTGCATCCTCCGTAGTCTTTCCTCTGCAGCTCGTGCTCTCCTCTCACGCTCCAACCTCATCCTCATCTCCGGCGTTAAACCTCTCTCCTCTGCTTCCCTCCTCTCCTGTGGTGTCTTCTTGAGCCCCGCCACCAGAGCATTTCCCTTCTGTTTTCGTCCCTCTGAAACCTTTGGGCCTTCAACTTGTAATCTTTCCTCCTCGGCGCGCCGACGCTCAGCCTCCTTGTCACTGGCTTCCTTCTTCTCTCGCTCGTCACGCTTATCGGCTTCAGCCTTGGTAATGGCTGGCGGCACCTTGGCATCATCCCAGGACCACTTGGACTCCCCAAGCTCGGAGCGGGCAACCCGGAAGGCATCCCGCGTTGAGCGTTCGCCAGCAAGTTCGAAGGGTGTTTTCCCGTCGCTGTTCTTTATAGTAGGATCCGCGCCACCACGAACGAGAAGACCCAGTACTAATGGTGCAGCGTTTTGCGCAGCAGCGAGATGAAGTGGTCGTGGTGCGTGGTGATTCTGCTCCACAGGCTGAAACTCGAAATCGGCCGATATGTTGTTATTCTTGAGATATGAGAGCAGTGCGGGTACTTTCGATCTTCGCACAAACGCTTGAAGTTGAGACGTGTGGAGCAAAGCAGTCTCTTCCTCTTCTGTCAACTTGGGTTTTGAGGGCTTCGTACTCGTCTTTGTCGGGGTCGCAGACTCCGTATCCTTCTTCTGTTCCTGCACAGGCTCTATCTCGCGGACTTTGAGTCGTGTCAGCTCGATAAAGGATCGCATGAGTTCATTCTGCGTCGCTCGCCGCGTGCTGAAGGGAAAGCCCCGCAGTCGAGTATCATTATGCTTCAACACCTGTCCCTCATATGGACCGAAAAGCGTTCTTCGATTTGTTACACCTGTCGCTCGGATGAATAGCAACTCTGATGTGTCGATGAGGGCTTTCCAGTCTTGGAGAAGGGTCCTCACGTCCTCTACCAAAGCTTGTTCATTGTACCGTCGCAAACTTGAACCAGCTGAGTGTGCAGCACCCTTCGCATTATCGTTGGCTGATTGAGAACCACCTTGCTTTCGTCGGGTTGTGTATCGATGGAAGGTCTTGTGCGCAAGTACTGTCGCTTCCCGATTCATGGTCGTGCCGCTCTTGTTGGGCCGTGGGGCAAGAGATACAACCATCGCCGCAAAATGACCACCTCCAATCATGCAGAGAAATATGTGAGGGCCCTTGTACGCGACCTCTGGTAACGCACCCTCCTTGGGAATCTTGGGCATGGATATAGGCTCGACCTGCTTCTTCTTCAACACCTCCACCAGATCCTGGTTTCTTTGTTCCTCGCCCGTCAAGATTGCGCGATACATGCCGAAGTAGGTCTTCTCTGGAAGCAGAGGAGAGCTGAACCATACTAGAGGTGGTTTGCCGCGACCTGGTTTTCCTGCAGTTTCGTCCTCATCATCTCCGTTTGCATCGTTCGCCTTATCAGCCAACCTCGCCTGCTTCTTCAAAAGCGCAGTCAGTGTTGACTCTTGTCGGCCATCTTCCTCCTCCTCTTCTGACTCGTCTGAATCAGAACCTGACAATGATTCGTCTAGGTTGCCAACGAGCTTCTCGAATTCTGCCTCTGACACGGGTTTTTGTCCTCGCAGCTTTTGTTTGAGGTTATAGTGGTGAAAATCAGACTTAAGATGCCCCCGCTGGTCAATCACTGTTGTGAATGTGAGACCGCATAAAGAGCACGCTTGTGTCCCAACGAGAGTCGTATCTGACGATGAGGCGCTTTCAGAAGGAGATGTTTTCGTGGATTCGGCAGCAGCAATAGCTTCGGCTTCGGCATCTGTATCAGATTTGAGTACCAAAGTATTCAAAACCTCGGCGGGCAGATCATAGACTGGTCAACACGTTAGCACTTTGCGACACTCAGACACGCCGATCCATGGCGGGGGAGGGGTCTGAGATGAATACATACGATACAAGGGCCGCCGAAGAAGATCCTCGTTCGTCTTAGCCATGGCGACTGATATATGTACTTGTGGGAGTACAGAGAGCCTGGCGGGAGAATTGGAGTTGTTCTGAGCTGATGTCTCTGTCGCGATATTTGAACTTTTTAACAGCCCAGCTGAGGGCCATGCGTCTGCGTCATAGCGATTGACTCTGCGCCCCACCAAAGCTTGAGTCAACCGGCCAGACAAGAACCCCGCAAAGCCACAGAAATGGCCGCACCGCCTCAATTCTCACAGTGTGTCAACTGCTAGAAGTGGAGAACTCTCTATTGAGCTCTATTGTCCACACCCAGACATCTACCATTTTATTGGTCCAGAGTTAGAGTCCATTAAACCCTCCACTAATGACACCCCTCCTCTACAGGTCCTCCCCAAGCTCTTCTTTTACAATTCTTCTTCAATCTTCATCGAAATCTTTTTGCTGTGCAGTACAATTGTCTTCAATCTTTGCCCTCAAAACAATCATTCCAGCAATTAGTTTACATTCACGTTTCATCCCAATTCTCTCATCTTTCTTCATTGTCTTCTCCAGTCCATTGCACTCAAGCTTCACAATGGCTGCAACCCTCGAATCTATTCTCAGCACTGTCTCCATGATCGAGCATGAGCTTGCTACTCGTGAGGACCTTGCAGCTATCAACAGTGCAAAGCTTGACGCGGTCAAGAGTTCCATCAAGCAATTCTCCAACCCCAAACCTCAACTTGCTGGTAATAACCCACAGCATCTTAAAGATGTGATGCAGACTGAGCAACTCTTGCGTGCTGCTTGCCTCCCTAGCAGTTATCAGAGAGCACATGCTGTTCAGTTTCACGCCCGGGGACTGCCTAAGCAGGCTGTCGCTCAAAGGGTCAATTGGACTCAGCCTCTAACTCGTGCTGCGACTCGCGTCAGAGCTCGTCAAATATCCGGCAAGTCCCCTTGTACCGACACCCGACACCCAGCCCCTACCATCGTTCAAGCCCGAGAGCTAGTCAGGTTCATCAAGTCTTCTCCTCATGCCCGTCGCATGCCCCTCTCTAAGATCGCTGCTACCCTCGGATTGGAAAGTTCTGAAATTGCCATTCGCAATGCTCTCGGTCGTTACGGGTTCAAGTTGTACCCGGCCGTCGTTCGTCCCTACATTAACGAGGAAACCCGAAAACTCCGCCTTGAATTTGCTCTCAGCCATGTCAACTGGACCATCGAGCAGTGGAACAAGGTTCTCTTCACTCTCGAAGTCCGAATTTCCCTTACAGACGCACATGAACCCTTGGTCATTCGACAGTCCGAAGAGGAATTTCACCTTGACTGCATCAACGCTGAGCCTGCTGAGCCTTCAACCTGCAATGATACTGAGCTGTACTTCGCCCACTTCTCAGGCCTCACGGGTAAGGGTCCTCTCATTGCTTGGAGCCGCGACGCGGACAACAAGTTCGGCCCCCTCAGCCCTGAGAATCACTACAAGGTCATCTTCCCAGGCTTCTCCAAGTGGATTGACGGTCAGCCCTCTGGATCCCGCTTCGCTATGCGCCCAGATATGTGTGCCCACGCCGCTGTTGCCGTCAAGGACGAGGTGCGAGGACGATTGATGCCCATCGAGCACTTCCCCCCCGCCTCACCCGACCTGAACCCCATTACCGAGATATTCAACTGGGCCAAGGCCAATCTCAAGAGCGACAAGGACAGCTCTCTTTTTGGGGAGGTCGCCGAGTGGCGTATCCGGCAAGTTGTACGAGGCACCTGGAACAACATACCTCAGGAGCACATGAGAGCACTCATTGAGAGCATGCCTCACCGATGTCAGGCTGTCATTGACGCCAACGGGATGTATACCCGAGACTAAATATAACAACTACGACTCACAACTTCACGATTACATGAAAGAACTGCATTTACGCTGACGACCAAAAAAGTGACGACGATACGACAACAAAAAACGGCGATGGTTGACGAGAGATAACCGGCATGACTGGGCATCAATCGACAGGGGTTATGAAAGGGGGGCAGGGACTGAGATTATGTTTATGATACCCATCTGTTTCAATAATGCTACACATTTACTTCCAACAATCTGCACTGTGCTTATGCAGTGATTGTGTAGTCCCTGTGATATCATCGCCAGTTAAACGTTGGTCCAACTGCGGAGCAGAGCTCTCCATCCATAGCAAAGCTTACCCCGCACGTCAGCGCTCCAGTTCAACCCTCCAGGCGGTATACCACCCTAAAACTTGGCACGCGAGCTTAAGCTTTATGCTACCGCCGCACCTTATCTTGGTCTGGCCATCCCTGTCGAGCTGTCCACCAATACTTTTTGGTATCAACGTCACTGCACATCATTTTTCAGCTGTGAAAGTACGATCCCCCGGTCTCACGTACATGTCCTTGTTTTTAGTTGCGTCAGTGGTTTCTTTGCCATACAGTGAATCAAGAATTGCTCCTTCCCCCGCCTGATGTGCTGCGTGACTAGTCGTATAAAAGGGAGGATCTCGTCCGCTTCTTGATCTTTCCATCTTCATACTCATCAACCTACATACTCCAAATTCCAACCTCGAACTCAAAACTCAAATTATCATCATGGATTTCGTCAAGAACCTTGCCGGTGGCAACAACAACGCCAACAAGACTGAGGGCCAACAGGCTCCTCCCGAGGCTGGCGGTAGCTTCATGGACAAGGTCAACGGAATGGCTGGCGGTGGCGCACAGGGCGAGAAGAACGAGGACGGTCTTGACAAGGGTAAATATCTCCATCTAAATTCCCATATATTTCTATACTAACAACCTTTGCAGCCGTCGATTTCGTGCAGGAGAAGTTCCTCGGTGGAGGCGACCAGAGCAACGAGAACGCCGCTGAGCAGGCCAAGGACGAGGCTATTTCCGATGCTATTCGCGACCAGTACAAGACCGCCACAGGCAGCGAATTCCCCATCTCCGACAAGGACAAGAAATATGGAGCTTAAAATGGTGTCGAGGATCACGCGAGCTCTGAGGCAAGAGCGAAAACAAACAATGTACGATTAGATGATGACAGCACCTGAATGATCACGAAACCTATTACGTTCTAATGAGACAATCCTTTCCTTGTTGATGTGAATACTATTCTAAGCTATCCCCTTTTGTCAAGTAGCCTCTTACCTATTCACCATTGTGAGAAATGCCACCCTTTCATCACCTCAAGTTCATGCTGCCTTGATGCAGATCGCCACCAAAAAAATCTCATCAGCCATTGAAAGTGGTCGGCGCGAAGGCCATGTCCGAGTTGGAGGAACATCCTCATCCTTCGAATATCAGACCTTTCAGTCTACCAACTTACTCCAGCAGCTTCAATGCCTTCATGCGCATGAAAACAACCGTCTGCAGATGATCAATTGCGAGAGGCAAGTTCTCGCTGGCAGCCAGGATTCGAGCTGTCTTGACGGTGCTCCTGATCTGTCGGCCATTCAGAGGCATGCTGGCCAGTTTCGCAATCGCATTACTGTCTTCAGCCAGCACCTTGTTCTCTCTGACGAGGAAGTTGTACCAGATCTTGGCCCGGGAGGCTGGCTCCAGATCCTGGAAGACGAACGAAAGATCGGCAAAGTGAGAGGCAAATCCGGAAGACAATTGCCCAACAGCATGACCTTGAGTAGCAGAGCGGGTTTGGCTTAAACAGAATACACTGAGGGAGAAGATTGCTGCAAAATAAATCCGAAATCAGACATCTCGTACTGTTTTCGCATATCTTGACTAGGTGCCTTGTCTTATACTGTGGTGATCCACATCCTGAACATCAAGATGATAACTCTATGCCCAAAACTATTACACAATTTTCATTCTTCTATTGCTGTTACAACAAGTCAGCAAGAAAACACTTTTCCTGTAAGCTTGGCCTTTATGCTTACTGCTACTCCCCCCACCACTTCAGCTATATCAGTCATACGCCGATCCAACAAGTGGAGTATCACAACATGATGATCCCATAGCATCCGCAGAACTCCAATAATATTTTCTGAAGTAGCACAGGTTTAAACCACTTCGAGTATCATCCTGAAATTATGATCCAATCCTGTCAAAGACACAAAGTCGCCCTATGGGGTTCTTAGGGACGATAAAAATATCCGGCAGACCGGCATAATCAAGTGGATGAGATGCTGCCGAGTTGGGAATGGAAGCAAATATCTATTGGCTTGTCCAAAAGATCTGCTGTTAATCTTCAGTTTAACTTAGTCGCTAATGTTAATAAGAGTGTCGGGTACTTCCTTCTTGGTCTCGCCGGACACCTTTCCGTCTTAGGCTGCTGCATCTAACGGCAGTAGCTGGGCTGACGCTATTTAAGTGACCGCTTCCCTGCCTCATATCACAACAATACATCATTTCAACGACGATTGCATTCAATCTTCACTACAATGACGCGCTGCAATGAATCAGAAATCATAGATGATCTCCGCCAAACTGAAAGTGCCACTAAGAGAAAGCACACAATTCGCCAATTCACAAAAGCCTTACGACGTGAAGACCGCTTCCAGCCAGCATGGGACGCTGCAGGAGGAGCTTCAGGGCTGGCCCGCCTGATGGCCGAGTTCAGCATTCGAGACGTTCGTGATATGTGCAAACGTCTAGGTTGGACGGCCTCAGCTCAGAAAGCACAGCCTCAAAGACGTGCAGCTCTTGGAGAATTGGTCACGATACTCTACGAGGGGCGAGAAGATGATAGGCCTCTGGCCAGCTTCTACCAAGACATCATCCCGGCGTGTAACCTTGAATTGGTACAGAAGTTTGAGAAGGACAGGAGGATCGAATGGACCCCTCCACAGACCAAGCGTCTCTTCCTAGGTCATCGCGAGCAGCACGAGGATAAATTCCTTGGTGAAATCTTCTCCAAGGACAAAAATATTAGGTTCTACCAGCATAGAAGGCTTTTCCGTGGCAACATCGGATTTTGCGAAAAGATCTTGACAATTCTTCTCGCAAAAGAAGGCAAGGTCCACGTACCATCTGATTTGATCGATGAAGTGGCTATGCCCGTGCTTAGGCGCCTTCTCAAGAGCAGATATGACGACGGAACTCGCATCAAGTACCTTAGTCTTGTACTCCAATGTGTCCAAGAACACGAAGAAGAAATTGCAGGGCAGCTTGTTCTCAGACAAGGTGGCTTGCTTCAGTACACTGTCGATCGGTGGGCCAAGGCTGCTGATGATAGTGAAAGCAAGCGACAATATGAATCTTGTTTGGTACAGGCGATCGAGCTTTTACCGAAAGAGAAATCACCAATCGACTTGGAGAGAATACGCCAAACTTTGAGGGTTCCCTGGGAGCTAGATGTCGATGGCAGATATGACTTTTTTCGTCTCTTCATTTTGCATCACAAGGACTATAAGATCGACATCGAAAGCGACTCGGAACAAGATCTTTCCCGACTCAGGAACCTTCCTGAAAGATCTTGGCCCTCTGACCTGTTTTTCACCATTAATTACAAGAAGTCGTTGCGTCTTTTTGAGAAGCTGGAAAGCCTATTTCCCAAGAACGACTTCCTTCAAGTTGCGAATCAGAGCGGAACAATACTCAATCAGTCTCAGGGACACATCAAGCACAGTGGCTTTGGGGACGTTGAAATTGTACGAGCTTTGCTGATCTGCAAGTCAAACACACAAGATGAGCACCCAGGGTGGAGTGATCGCGCCATTGGTCTCATCAACGAGAGGAAAACGAATGCCCAACAGGCTCGTGAGGCTGTGGAGCGCGCATACTGGGCGAGAAGTGCTTTGAATCTCTGCGTCGCCGTTGGAGACCTGCAGACTCTGAACGACACTATTATCTGGTCTCGGCGCTTCATCAAGGACTCTCTCACAAGCTATAGTTTGTTCAGTGTGAAAGTCTTCAAGACAAAGGAGATTGAAGAAGTGTTGGGTGCTATGCCAGATGAGCGTGTAAGCTCACCAGAAGCTGTGGTATCGTTCACATCAGCCCTACGCAAGAAGTACATTGAGTTTGCAGACTATGTTCTCATCAACATCGTTGAGACTGCAACACTCGCAGTCGGAGAGCCCGGATTCAAAGTTCAGAATTGGACCTGGCTGTTCAATCTCGTTATGGCTGTGACTGGCCAACGCATGAGCAGACTGGAAATGTTCTTCAAGAATCTCGCAAAATGCTCAGAGGCGGATCGTGAAAGATGTCAAAGGTACATGATGGAAATCGTCTGGAAGCCAACAACGGATTTGCTTATCGAAGCTGGAGCTGTAGTTCGAAATCCAGCTTTAGCGACCGCACATGGCGGCTCGCTCTTCGACTCTCTCACCACTTCATCGAATCGTGAGTCTGTCAAGGGTAGCCACGTATACCGTTTACTTTCAAGAACATCTCTATCGCCTCCCTTGCTTGCAGAGCTGGCACGATTCCTTATCGATAGGATGAGGGAGCGACTGGGATCTGAAGCCATACGTGCGCAGATGCAGGATATTGTATTCGTCATTGACCGTCTGGCTTCTAGCGATCAGCCATCACTGGCGTGTCCCTTCATTCGTGACTTGGTCCTGGACAATGAGGGCGCCAAAGAAAGCTCTTCTTGGCACCGCCATCTTCTCAGTGTCGGCTTCCTCTCTGTCCTCCCTGCCAAGGCTGCAAAGGAAGTACTATACACTATGGCCAGTGCGATTAAGGAGAAGATGCGAGAACAAAACCAGAACACGGACGCTAAAGAAGAAGCAGAAAGATCCAAGGAAACCACTGAGGACGCATCAACAGATCCCAAGCCCTCTCAGAGACCGTCCATCAAGGTTACTACTGTCAAGATGCTCGCCCAGATCTTGCAGTATAACCTCTTCATGGACCCCTCTTCATCCTGCGAAATTCTGGTTGGTCTCCTTGCGGAAGCACGGCATATCGATATCCGTATCACCATCACAAACAGTCTCTTTTCAATTTTGGAGGAACCTACTTGCCCAGCCACTCTACGAAAACGAATTCTTGACGCGCTTGAGGAATACATCATTCCAGCAGCCGCACAGCTCAACGAGAGACGCGGACTGACTGAAGCTGATTGGGTCGCTGCTTCGACTCAAGACACTCCATTGCCTGAGATTGGCAACGAAATTCCTCTTCTAAAGCTCTTGATCTTGAAAGTTCGGGGGCAAAGTTTGAACGAAGAAGACAAAAAGAGGCTCGCGTCACTGGTTATGGGTGCAATAGAGCAATCGGCTGTCAACAACACCCGCTGGATGAAACTCTTCTTGGCTAAGAACAACTTTTCTCTCGACGAAGAGATTCCACATCTCCCCGTACATCTCACTACAGTATCTGCTCTTTATGGGCAGCTCCAGCCCTACACACCTGTATCAGTCTTCAATATGGTTCGCTCCGCCGCACTAATCAATATCGACCCCAGCCCTGGCATACAACACATCACAAAGGCCATCCAAGAGGACCCGGAGCTCGTTAACTCAAAGGCAGGCAAGCATTGGGTTTCACAATTTTCCAACCCTGGTCGCGATTCGTTCAAGTTCGGAATCTTGCTGTCTGCGGCAATGGTACAGCAGAGTCCTGCCGACCGAGACTCTAAGCTGGCTGAGAATGGAGTGTCTTTACAGATGCTCCAGTCCTTTGTGATAGAGTACACCAAGAGATTGCTCAAGATTGGCCAAGCCGATATGGTGATGACGCTCGTCATGAGACTTGGCGGCGGACGCTTCGAGGACCGACAGAATTGGAATGAATGGAGGGAAAACTCGGTGCCCACGATCAAACAGATAATCTCGAAGACAGAAAAAGTCCAAGAACTTATCCGTAATAAGGAAGTCGAACCTCGCAGGCTACCCAGTGTGTTCCGGATGAGACTAAGAACGATACCTGTCCCCCTGTCCGATGCAAAAGCCGAAGAAGAGCAGACATTCTTAGAAGAGCTTTACAAGCTCATCGGGGACCTCGGAGGACGTCAATATCATCCGTATCATATGGACTTTCAGAAACTCAAGGAAGAATTTGACTACTGGCCCCTCACACAGTCATTCGGCCGTGTTGCACTCAACTTGGCAGAATTACAGGACTATGATCTTGCTTCCACAGAACAGCCAACACTCAAGGATTATCTCTGCTGGGAGGTCATAGGTCATATACTCACCAAGGCAAAGGATCCAAAGGATGAAAATGTTGTTCAAGATGTCAGGCAGTTGATGCGGAAGTGGGAAACTTGTGAGGATGAAGCAATGAGGTCAATGGGGATGAAGTTCAAAGGATTGCTGAAAGATCATGCCGAAAAGACTTGGTATAAGCGAGAATAAAGAAATAATTACGAAATTAAAAGATGAATCTCGATCAATTATCACTCCCTTCTGAGTCCAAACGGATAGGCATAAACTCAACAGATGCCGGTTATGGAGCGGCGTGACCTTGAATCACCTACCTCATGGAGGCTGGTAATGTTACAAGGGGTACCTGGCCAATTCTGGCTATTGGTTCTTATATATTACAGGCTCACGAAGTCATTGTAGTGTCTTTTCAAGTACAAATCGTTCAGAAACGTGTCATTGCATTTGGGTATGTTGCTATAACAATAGAAACTACAATAGTATCATGCCATTTCACGGGTTTCATCCACCACCATCTACTATCTAAACCACCAATCAATACAGATTTCTTTGAAACAATGCAAGGTCTTTAAACTGCCACACTACCCAGGCACCCAGGCTTATAAACACAAGAAAGAATGTAAGTCATAGCATCATATCAGTAGCCATGAAGAATGTTGCCACAAACACCACCAGAATAGGAAAAATAATCGACGACTGTGAGGGTCTCTGGGCTTTTGTCGAGTCGCTTGAAATAACGAACGAAGGCTCGGGCATGCCTGACTGGGTCGGAATGTCCGCTTGGACAACCGATGCCGCTGAAGCAGCGCTGGGTAGGGCAGGGATGTCATCCGCAGCAGTGTCATTTTCCTGACCATTCTCTTGCCTTCGTTCTATGTCAGCCATGGCACGTTCCTTCAAATGAGATGGTGATGAGTACATTGAAGGGCCATTTGTCGGCTAGACTGTCATGACCTTTGTTGCTGTGCTCTCTACTTGCGTTGGTATAATTACTGTGATGACCTGAGGTCCTTCATGGGCGCCGCCAACAGCGTTGGAATCGGTAGGATGAGGGGGTCCTGGTTGAACAGGAAGTCCTGGAAGCTGAGGTGAAGCTGCTGGTGCAGGCAGAGCGGATTTCATAGGTGGTGCCGTGATTCTTGGTGTTTCGGGCCCGAGATCACCGTTCCCGTTTCCGTCATCACTGTTGCCACTTCCTGTACCGGAGCCTTCCCATCCAGCGCCATCATCGTCATTTGTAGGATTATCTTGTGGGCCGCTAGGGGCTTGGCCTTCTGGAGAAGTTGAAGGCGGAGGCGCAGGAGGAGGGTTAGCTGGTTGTGGGATTCCTGGGTCACCATTTCCTGGACAAGAGCCAGGTATTCCACCGCAAGAGACCCCGTTGTCAGGAGAAGCGTTTGTATCTGGTTGAGAAGGAGGGGCAGCTGGTGATGGACCTACATCGGGAGGAGGCACATTAGGACTACTCGGTGGCGGAGGGTGTTCAGGCAGGTTGCTAGATCCTGGATCATGCCCACCGTCACCTCCTTTGTTACAAGGTGAGTTTTCGTCCCCAGGGCAGTCATTTGGAACAGCAAGGGGTGCTGGCTGAGGAGGCGGCTGGGGCGATGAAGGCTCAGAAGAGCCACAGCCAGTGTTCGCGTTGGGATCCGAGCACTCATTTCCATTGCTACCATCGCCACTTGGAGGCTGGTGAGAGGCGGGGCAGTCTGGTATGCCGACCTCAGCACCACATGGAGGGTTTCCTTGAGCAGGGACGGGACCAGGAACAGGAGCGGGGCTTTGGGGACTGGAAGAATCCGGTGCTGGAGGTTGAGGTCCAGGAGATCCAGGAGGTGGCTGATTCTGGTTGGCACACTTTGGATTGTTGACATCAAAAGAGCAGTCCACTGAGCCGTCAGTATTTGGAGGAGAGGTTCCAGCAGCATTATTTCCAAGAGAGTTAGCATCTAGCCCTGGAGGCGCGTTCTCATCACAATCCTCTCCCAGGCCACCAGTTCTATCTTGATTTGACGCTCCTTTGCCTCCATCAGGGCTTGAGGGAGCTGGTGCAGGGACAGGAGCGGGTTGAGGTCGTGGATGTCCTGGGTTATCTTGGTTGGGATTATCAGGTGAATTATTTCCATCGGCAGCATCTGGTCCTGGAGCAGGAGGGGCGTTGGGCTGGCCATCCTGCGGGGGACTGTTGTTTGCAGGCGAGTTGGCAGGAGCAGGAGCTGGAGCCGGAGCTGGGGCAGGCTGAGATTCGCCACCGCCGTTGCCAGATTGTGAAGGTCCATTATTGGAATTGTCTTCTTCGCAATCGGCGTTAGGATCTGAGGACTCAGCTCCATCATTACCACCGCCTCCTCCAGTGCCTGTACCTCCCGAAGGGCCACCTTGACTGTTACCCGAGCCTGCTGTGTTTCCTGGTAAGGGCCCATTGTTTGAGCCTGTGGCACCCCCTGTTGGGCTTGCTCCGGCATTAGAGTTGCCATTCCCAGCTCCTGGGGAGGCAGAGGAACCACCATTGGGAATAGATTGGTGAACTGAAGCGGTGGGTTCGGGGAGAGACAATGTAAGAACACCATCAGAGCCGGCTTTGCAGTCGACAGACAAGCTAAAACGACTTTCAAATCCGAAGCTGGCTGAATCAGAGCGTGAGACGAGAGGCATGAAGTGCCTCGAGGCAAGACTTATATGTTGTAGTTCCACTGGAAGGAGATTACTGATGGAAGCACCATGATGAGAACAAGTGGAGATAGTATGTGCCAAAGCTTGACCATACTGATCAGTGCAAGAACTGGCTAGACATGAGAATAGTTCCTGTGGATATAGTCAGCAACCATCACTCGATGCAATAGAAGCAACCACCTACTCGCTGAACGGCCATGTCATAACAGAGACCCTCAACAGTAGAAATACCATGATAGTGCATAAGTTCGCGAGAGCAAATGGTAGCACATTCTACAATCTTTGTCAGAATATTCATTGGCAAGAAGGCTTAGAATCCTTACCTGGTGTAGGTGTATCGAGGCTGTATGTACAGCTAGCTAGGCTCGATAATAAGCCAGCGAACAAATGAGGCCGCATGGCTGTTTGAGAAGCGAGAAGTTATTATGGGGGAAGTGTGCAGAAATCGGGTGCTGGTTTAAACGACAGTACCAAAAAGTGAGTGAGTGATCAAGGGATGGGTTCCAAAAAGAGAGTGAGATGCGTTCCAAAAACGAGCTTGAGCTGAAGCTGAAGACAACGGATGAAGATGAAAAGTCAAAGATCGAGGGCATCTTCAGGGATCAAGAAGTAGGCGGATGTTCTGATGCATAGGGGGGAGGTGCGGTTTGGTGATGGTGAGGGTAGGAGCAAGCGTCAATTCTGGAGGCAGCCCCTTCCGTACAGGAGAGATCATCTACCGTAGAATGGAGAAAATGGAAAGTGAGATGGTATCTTCTGTATTGTGGAGATAAGCAGTCTAGCAGGTAAGATCTATAAACAATCGAGGGTAAGTCTCAAAACAGAAACAGCTTCATAGCATTCAACTTTTCTTGTGTCAGGGTATCACATCCATCTAATAGAACAACAAAGCCAGCGGCTTCTTCTCATCACCGTATCTGTCCTTGAACTCTTTCTTGGATAAGAAACGAGCTAAGGGCATCATGGTATCCTTCATGTCCATCACACCTCGCTTCTTCTGGTCGATATGCGAGGCATCAACGACTAGACGCTTCAAATTATCCAGGGAGAGAGCGCCTGTTCAAGTCAGCGCCTGCTTGTAACTTTGAGGGCGATCGAAAAGGGAAGGATTGATACCGAACTTACCGTTGTCGATGAGATCCATAAGTCGGGCAGGCGTACCGACACAAATGCCGGTTTTGTGGTTCTGGAGGAACTTAACTTGTTCCTCGACTTTCATATGCTTGGCGAACTTGCATGTGTTAGCAATATTGTTCCCATTCATCTTGAAGAGAAACATACCAATTTCGCGACTGAGTTCTCTTTGCTTTGAAACTTGCGCATCGACCTGCCTATAATCAGTCTCTTTCTCTCAAACTGGGTCGCAACAACGTACCTGACAATATCGGCAGCTCTCAAACCCGCTCCTGCAACAATGAGGGTATGAGGTGAGCCCTTCTTCTTGGGCGCCTTCTTCAAACCCTCGGGATCCTCTGACACCTTCTCCAGGAAGTCGGGGAACTTATCCAATGTTCTTGACTCTTGCCATGAGGTGGTATCTTGAATCGCGTTGGCTGGAAATTGTGAGTGAGATTTTCAATAAAAAGGCAATTGGCAACATATATTCTTACCTGATACAGTCATATCAGAAATCTCAACAGCGCTCAAGTCGGTGCCGAAGCGTCCCAATTTCTGGGCCAGATGATCGGCCAAGAGCTGGTTGTCCATCTTGGTAAAGAGTGTGTTGAGACCAAGCTCAGTATCGAGCAATTCATCGTCGGGTGCATTCGCCTTTCTCTTTTTACTTTTCTTTGGCTTTGGCTGAGCGGAAGTGTCCTCTGCTTGGCGCTTTTTGGAAGTCGACATGATGAAGGCTGTGTCTTGATTATGATGTTGTTGAATTCTTTCGTTTAAGATTTCTTGAGCGTCAACAAGAAATTTTGCGATGTACAGTGCACATATTGATCATGGCTCGAATTCGCGTGATTATTAGAACATTCGCACTGTATTAAGCACAGTATACCCGGTCAATCAGCTCCACCAGCCATGATGAAGAGCGCCTCATGAGAACCAGCATGGACTGAAAATGTTCAAATTCTATCGGCATTGAATTTAAATATCGGCTTCACGGGTATTGCGCCAATCATTTCATATGCAAGCAAATCCTTATCTTAGCAGCGGTCATTTAAACTCCTGTATACTAAACTAAGACTGACCACAGGCTCAGTATCGTCCTGAGATACTTGTCTATGAACCTTTCGAATCCCTAACGCCCAGTATATGCGCCCAGTGACTTAAAAGCAAGCCAATGCATCTTTCCACTGTAGAGACTCTAGAAAATGCTGTTGACGATGTTTCCTCCGATGGTGGCACCAGCACCAAAGATAGCTGCGTTACCCAGCTTCTTACCAAACTTCTTGCCGTACTCGTTGACCTTGTTATCCTTGCCGTCTCCCTCCTGTCCCTGCGGTTGTCCAGATCCCTCGGCGACAGCCATAGGTGGCACATGCGAGTTGTAAGGATTCTGTTGAGGAGGAGGACCCTGAGCGTAAGCAGGGTAGCCGTACTGAGGCTGGGGAATAGGCGCCACAGGTTTCTTGGTCTCCTGGTCGACGAGAACGTAGTTGCGGGGGAAGATTCCCTCCTGTCCTGTGCGCTCGTTCCGGCCCATCCACCAATCCTGGTTCATGTACTCGTACACGGCGATACGATCATCCTTCTCGAATCCCAGGTCACGACCGTCGGAGGCAGCGTAGCGGTACAGGGCGCGGGCGTTGGCAACAGTAGGCTTGATGTTGCGGGGGGGAGGACCAGGAGGAGGTGTCTGATCGTAAGCGGGTGGCGCGGGCGAATGCGACTTGACTTTGAGATCCTCGAAGGCCTTGGTAGGAGGCGCGTGAGCGGCCGGTGCGGGAGAAGCGGCCTTAGCAGCGGCGGTGTTGTTGTTCTTGTTGCCGGTCGCAGTCTTGAGGGGGCCCGAGAGGGAGGACTCGGCGGGAAGAGCGGTGTTGATGGTATCGTAGACGGAGTCGTCAATCACGCCTCGTTCAAGGAGGTTCTCGAGTTCCTTTGTGGTGTTAGTTGATGTTCAGTAGGAAGGCCTAGAAGAGTATGGTGGCGCCAATGGAAGTTCCGATGAGGAGGATGCGAAGGCACTCACATTTTTGATATTACGAAGCGACCGGTTCACTTCAATAATAGTCTGGCGATCTGAGGCCATGATTGCGGATGGTGCGGCCGAAAGGGTCCGGACTTGCGATGCGGGTATAAAGATGCGTTTAACGCTGATAAATCAATGCAGGTTCTGATGGGTTTGGAGACACTGATACAACGTGACAAAGGTACAGTAATGACAGGATGTCAGGTTGAAGTTAGATGCAGGAGGAGAGTGTTTTGACCTGTTACCAATGCTTCTTGGGATTCGGAATTCGGCCAAGCACCCAAGCCAAACCCCTACCAAATAAAGCGGGCATTTGAGGCGGTGCTGCCCCTCGCTCAACCCGACCCAATCACGAGATTTGATAGTTCGTAAATCGCTGAATATGGCTGCGGTGCAACAGGCAACCCAGACGCCTTTTATTACACGTGGGAGTAAGGAAAGGTGCTCATAGATTCTTTCATTGAAACTTGTTGACTTTTTATATTCATTGGTTCATTTTAGGCGTGATATTTTCATTCTATCCAAGCCATACATAGCCTTCTTTGGGCTTTGCGATTAAATATGCGTCCTCCACCTCTTCCATTCATAAATTCCTTTATTGCACGAACTTGCTGCTCTCAACAGTGTATAGATCAACATACTCATCAACGGGGGTAGACTCAAGCTTCTTGGCGTCCAAGTTGAGCTCCACAAGCTCCTTAACGCGGGCCTCGGGGTAGTGAGGGCCAAGGTGGCGCTTGTACTTCTCGAGAATGACGGGCTTGGCCTCCTCACGGCGGAGACGGTGGCCAAGAGGAGCCTCAACAGCGACCTCATCGAGGACAGTGCCGTCGTTAAGCTCGACAGTAAGAGCGTTGGAGATGGTTCGGAGCTTGGGGTCATGGTAATCCTTGGTGTACTGAGGATCCTCAACACACTTGATCTTCTGGCGGAGAGACTCAACCAGAGGAGAGGTGGCAGCCTCACCACCGTCGACGTAGTCAGTGGCCTCAAGACGGCCGAAAACAAGCATGGTGGCGCACATGTACTGGATACAGTGGTCACGGTCGGCAAAGTTGTCCATGGGCTTGAACTGCTTGTCAATGATGCGGATGCAAGCCTCGTGGGTTCGGCAAGTGATGGACTTGATGTCAGCGGCAGACTTGCCCTGAGACTTGAGGAGGTGGTGAATCTTCTCAGAGGCCTCGACGGCGGTCTGAGAGTGGAACTCGGCTACTAAATGTTAGACCTATCTCATATATACTGACTGCGGTGATTTAAACTTACCAGGGTAGGAGACCTTGAAGAGAACGTTCTCCATGACATAGCTGCCATAGGGGCGCTGGAACTCGAACTTCTGTCCCTTGAAAAGGACATCGTAGAAACCCCAGACGGGAGCGGACAGGACAGTAGGAACGCCCTGCTCACCCTTCAGGACCTTGAGAGCCAGGTTGACGGCACGCTGGCAAGCATCACCGGCAGCCCAGGACTTTCGGGACATGGTGTTAGGGGTGTGGCGGTAGGTTCGCAGAGACTGGCCATCAACCCAAGCCTGGGTAACAGCGTCGGCAATCTGCTTCTCGTTGAGGCCGAGCATCTTGGAGACGACGGCGGTAGAGGCGACCTTGACAAGAACAACGTGGTCAAGACCGACCTTGTTGTAAGAGTTGAGGAGAGCCAGGCAACCCTGGATCTCGTGTGCCTTGATCATGGCCTCAAGAATATCCTTGACAACAAAGGTCTTGCCACCAGCGAGGTTACCACCAGCCTTGTTGGTACGGTTGATCCAGTCAGCAACAGCGAGAATAGCACCCAAGTTGTCAGAAGGATGACCCCACTCAGCAGCGAGCCAGCAGTCGTTGAAGTCGAGCCATCGGATCATAGCACCAATGTTGAAAGCGGCGTTGACGGGGTCAAGCTGGAAGGGAGTACCAGGGACCTTGGGACCGTTAGGGACAACGGTGCCAGGGACAATGGGCCCAAGGAGCTTAGAGCACTCCTTGAACCTCAAACCTTCAAGACCGCAGCCAAGGGTGTCGAGAAGGATCCATCGAGCAGTGTCGAACTGTTGAAATATGAATTAGCAATGGATTTTAACGATTGAGTGCCATTGAGTTCTCGTGATAATTTGTTGGTGTTGAGGTTAGAAGCTTCGAGGCGGGGTATTTTGCCGGGGTGCAAAATCGACGCCTCGGCAGATTGACAAAACTCACAGCAAGCTCAGAGTCAATGGTCTTGTTGGCGACATAGTCGGCAATATCCTTGATCTCAGGATCGTATTCACGGTCGGCGGAAGACATGTTGGGCGCTCCTGATCGTCTAGCAGCAGAAGTTGAAAAGGCGGCACCGTGAGAAGCGGGAAGAGAAGAGCGAGCGGCGCCGAACGCCGAGCGGGCCACGAGAGGGGCGGCGACACGAAGACCCCGGGGAGACTGGAAGCGCAGCTGCTTGGAGGCCGTTCGGAGGGTCCGGTTAACGGCAGACATTCTTGGGGATAATTGGCTTGCTGTCTTCTTCCTGCGTAACCACGAAGAAGAAGGACGAGGTCAATTGACGTGGGTGATGATGAGGGGTATCACAAATGCAACGAAGGAGGAAGGGTAAAGAGAACAACCTCTGCAGGGCCTAATATCCTAGAGATTTTTGTCTTGGAGAAACTTGGTAGGTATTCATATTTATTACGCTCGGCTGTAGGCGCTTCAGTTTGCCGTAGCTTACCGCAAAACTCCCTCGGCTAGCCGCCGGCTGGACTTACTCGTGGACATTTGTCATATTCACACTGTACAAACGTCGAGTATTATGATAGAGTTGTACGGTGCGAACAGTCCAAGATCTCCAATTATCACGATCAGAAAAATGAAGTCTTTCAGGGGCTTTTCTAGTGAGGGGAAACTCAAACCCCATATACCAGCCAATCAATGCACTCAATTGTTATCTTTTGTTGAATTGGCTTCAGAGTCTTGTCCTCACTGACCAAAGCTATCCACTTGAAGGATCGTTGGAGATACTATTTATTGATCATATGTTTGGCTTCATAGGGAGACCAATATGCCTGTGCGTTTTTCGTTATTCGTGTCTTGGCCTGGAACTCACGCAGTATCCATCAGCCGAGCTGTAGTTTTGATAAGATCGATGGCTGATATGTAGCAAAACGCAGGGCATAGATACTCACGATCACAAGCCTCAACTACAACATTACATTTACCTTAGTTGATACCGTTAGATTGCTATCCCTACGTATCTCAAGCCAGTGCTTTCAGTGTTCTGTATACCTTGGTAATACAACGCCTACGGGTTATAGGTAAAAGCTAATATTAAGAATTATCTATTAAGGAGGAAGCCTCCTTCAACTATCTTTTTAATTGAACCTGTTCGTGATTCCCCATCTCTACCCCAGCTTCCCCTCGCCGAAAATCTGGGGTCGTTTTCCCCACGCTCCGTCGTCGGACAAGATACGCGGACATACGACGATGTGTCCGACACGCTCCGACCGAGGATATCGTTGCCTTCGAGTTTATCATCTCGATCCGTCGGTAACTGATGGGTATTGAGGGTTCTGGCAGTACTCGGTCGGTTCAGACATGGCTGTTCATATCATGCATGTATCAGTCAATAGCCTACCCGGTAGGTTGATAAAACATCCAGATAGCATCAATGACGAAGTCGGCGTTGAACAATCTGCGACAGGGTCTCAGTGATATAAATTGTACATTACCATTGGTGGCCCTATGGTTGTGAGTATGAACCAATTGAGCTTTGTGCCTGAACCAAAGTTGCAGGCGATTTTTTTTTTGGAGATCTCGATTCAAGAGAAATATGACGAACATCGCTTACATGTGTAGTTATGTCGTTGGGTCGTTATGCATAAGAGACATCTGCATATTGCTGCGAGGAGAATCTGACTGCAGGAAGGATAAAGACGATCCGAAGCCTTGTCTCAATTATTATATGAGCTATGAGCCGAATATACTATTGCCAGCGTTTTGATATGGTCATATGCAGCAGCTCATTCGTAGCGGCTTATTTTGTCTTGTAATGTCTGAATAGGCTTTGTCAACTCAGCTATCTGAGTTCTATCCACATCTTTGCTTCGTGGAGTTCCAACGCGCGCTTCAGTGAGACATTGTGACAACCCAAAAGAAAGCAATAATGCACCTCGCGAATATCAAAATGTCGCGAGCAAGGCCGAAGCCTTCAAGCGCCCGTTTATGCGAGTCTGGATACCATGACATGGTAGGCGTTTTTCAGGTTTTGACCGGTTCAACATCGTGGCGTGTAGTATTGCATTTCATGTTCTAATTACGACTTGGTCTATCAGAGGGCGTGTCGGAAAAGATGATCCAATGCAGATTCGCATGATCACACGGAGTAAGTAGAGACTCAGGATCGAACAAGATCGTGACAGTTGAAAATATATTGATACAGGGTAGCTCTAAGTTAACTTGACGTAAGTTTCTTAGACTAGAAATATGATAGAATCGATAATTAGAGATTGCCCATGCTAATCAGGGCCTAAACTCCTTTCTGGATCATTGGAAAACGCTTTCTAAGTTAGCTCTGAGTAGAGTTCTTGTGTATGAACCCTGATCTTCATCGCAACGTGCGATGACTTCACGATAGGTCGACGAAAGCGCGTTAGTAGTGGCGATCCTACGCGATCTCAAAAACAGTCCAGAGAGTGTCGTCATGAGCGATGTCATGCCCCTGACCGAAACCCACGAATAGCTCAGTGCAAAGCAGCATCGCGATGGAGTATCCAAACAAGAGAACATGAGCTGGTTTGATACCTGCACATTCAAGAAATGGGCTTAATCGTCGTCATCATTGCGCAACTTATGCTGCAGTTTCAGGAGGATAATCGAAAGGTTGGTTATTTCTCTGAATCATAGCACTGGCTAACCTGTTAATACAGGAAACACAGGGAGATTCGTGGTTTCAAGACGCGTGTGATTCAGTTGCATTGATTCACGAGATGATTCTGGGAAGTCTTGCAGCTTGTGGCTCGGAACTGGTTGCGACAATACCCCGGTCGAGGTTATAGTGAAAAGCTTGGCTGTGATCTGCTCTGCACTCAACTCCGTTGGCCATCGGAGAAACACCGATTGGAAATCGTTGCATGTGGGCTTTATGCAATCAATTATTCACACGACATTGTTAAAATTTGAGACACGCATGTTGCTGAGACGGGAGAAGGCTGGTCCAGGCTGGGCAGCAAATATCGGGTTGATTGATGTGTTTTGGCATATGAGAAAAGCTGGTGATCTTACGAAAATAACTTCTTGATATTTTCTAATGGGAAAACCAGAAACTCTATTCATAAATGCCGTTTGAACTACCGTAAACTCAGATCAAACAAATTGCTTGCTTGCGTGCGAGCGGTAGAGCCATCATCAGCAAAAGATATGTAAGAGAGCCATGAGCCCGATCGTTGGGAACGCACGCTATCAACGGTTATCGGAGACTGGGGTACCTTTGATGGAAAAAGGGCTGTTTCCCATGTCGGTAGAAGAAGAAAAAGAAACAGAAGAAAAAGAAACGAAAGGCAAAAAAACATCAGGCCATTTCGGGGGAACACGACGCTCGGATTGATTGGTCATGGATCCATATGGACATGGATGAACATGGGCCAGAAAATGGGTCTGAAAACTCTCGAGTCTGGACTTGACTTGACAGGATCTAGAACCCCCTTGTTCAGCTCGATGGGCGTGTGTTAGCACCCTACGTGCAGATCTGAGAAACGGGAATCAGTGATGATGTTGATAGCCGGGCTTGACAGCAATTGATTGCTGCATACTCGTGATAGTTGCAACCATTGCAGTGAATCGTGTACCAGATCAATTTCCAAAGCAACTGCATCAACTAAAACACTTGAGTCCAATTCACGGGTATTGAAAAAGCCCCCATCAAGTCGTGATGTCATTGATCGGCTAAACTGGTTGGACCCTGATTTCTCAGAGACCCTCTCTCGATCACAGTCAAGCTCTCAACCATCACCACGATCACCAACACAGCAGAAGACCACAGGATACGACACGCGGTACGCCACAGAAACTTGACAGCCCGCAAAGGATCCATTTCTCACGAGGTCTTGTCCCGCCCCTTGTCGTGTCTCAGAACGTTTGCAGGCAGCACAACACAGCACAGTACCAGTAGTCAGTGTAACAGTCGTACACGCCCTCGCGATGGCGATGATAATGTCGATAGCCATGCCGCTGCATCGCATCTCAATCGTTGGCGCGACACCAGATCACGTCGTGCAGATTTGACACACAAGACAAGGAGAGGAGAGAAGTGAGGCGGAGACAACATTGAATACACGTACGCAAGTAGTAGGTGAGGCTTGATAGGGGGGAAGCACAACAGTCAAACGTTCATCCAGGGCGAGCAAGCTGTGATCAATTTAGACATGATTGACGGTTTACGGATATGAGGTTTCTGTTTATGGAAATCTTCCCCTTGTTAAGTGTCAGCTTAGGAACGTCAATCATTAACGGTCTAGTTTTTGCTAAGTTTGGTGAAGTTCTCACCATCAAGCCCAACCCCACTTACTGTGCCTGAACGCGACGAGACGAGACATGAGGGCCGAGCCTGGTCGGACACGCCCTGAAGCCCCCTGTAAGCCTCCAGCTCCAAAGCAAAAGAACTTGAGGATGAGGTGCGAATGGATGGATGCAAGACTGCGCGTCGTCCCGCCCCAGGCCAAGTAGAATCACCTCACCTTGGGTTGCATTTGCTGAGGTACCTAAGGTAGGTAGGGAAAAAAAGATCATCGCTGGAGCGAATAAAACTTGACACACTTTAAACTTTTTTAGCAGCCTCTTTCCTCCCCATCCCCTGTCATTGCTTCTGCTGTGGCGTCCAATGGCTTGAGCCCTACCCTTAAACCCTGTAGGCTAGAGCTCCCGTCTTTGGTCCGATCCAGAGGTTCGTTGTCGAGGCATGGGAATCGACACTGGATCACGACAAAGCAAAGCGCATCGTAGCAACATAGCAAAATTTACAGTCAAATCATCATAGCAATGGCGCGCCTCCGCCGCAACAACCGGGTTCTCCGTCATGGGCCGATCAGGGTCCAAATGTCGATTGGTCTCTTTACTTTTGCTTTATTTTCTTTTTGTTCCAAGTTCTGAATTCCTTTCTTTTTGTTCTACCGGTATCTCCATCGTCGTCGCCATCACCTCTTATCACCGATTTTACCTATTTTGGACCTCGCTGTGGCATCGTATATCGTGTTAAACAACGAGATACGGATATCGAGCTACCCTTTTAAATCAAAAAACGCGCTTTTATGATTGTCCCGAGCTTCTAGACCTGGACAAATCGGAGAGTTATTAGTGTATCGATCACTGCATTCTGCAGGTCCGGCCCCTTGAACGAAAAAAAAAACAACGCCGTGGCCTAGGAAGGAGGATCTCCATTCACCTCCTGTACCTACCTAGTCTAGATTCTATTATCATCGTCATCATCTGCATTCAACTCTCACCTTGTTCTCTCACTCCCCCTGTTACGATCTTCTCTCCACTACTTCGGTTGGTTGAAGTTCATATCTATCCTTCCACACTCAACTCTCCTGCACTCATTCTCTGTCTCAGTCTGCCTTTCAGCTGCAGACACAGACACCCTCCTCTCAACCATCTAGACTTGGCCTCTTGAGTCAAGTTGAGCTGAACCGGGGTTCAAACAGCTTCACTCCCGCGTCTAGGGGACCTGAATGCCATCATCATATCCACTATCAACTACCAGAAGAACCCACCCGTCACTTCACTCACGCTAGGCTCCCGCCTAGCTTCCTCCTTCCCATTCAAGGGTCGCGGGCAGGCGATATATACACCCCTGTGGCTACATCCGCATCGAGGCGACGACGTTGCTTCACGGTATATCTGGCTAGGAACCGTTGAAGCTGTTAAACTAAGCTAAGACGAGCTAAAGCTATAGTAGTAGCCAGATCCCAGGTTCCGATATCCATGATCTAATTGATATCTTCAGTATCCGCTGGTTCCCCTTCTAGTCAGACCAGATTCACTTAGCTTTGTCTTAATCACTTACGCAATACCTACATACAACCCGACCCGCTGCCCTTCTACCTTCAAGACTCTTCTGTCGAGTTACCAGACTCGTTTGCTTCTGAGAAGTTTCTCTTCCTATCCAGCTTTCGTTCAACTTCGTTTAGCCATCATCGCATTATATCTTCACAAGTACGGAGTCTAAACCCTTGTTAACGCCCACAAATACAACCACTTTCTACTCAGCTGCTGCTGCTGTTACTGTACTGTACACGGCCCAACCAAATACCTCCCACACACTCTCCCCCATCCGTTTAAACGAAATCACTCAGTGGCCCGAATATTGAGCCCTCACCCCATTCCAAAACTAGGCCCCTCCCGCACAACCACATAGTGGAAGATCTGACAAAGTCCGCCATTTCAAGATCTCTCCCTTCGGATCCGAAACCAGGTCCCTGAACTACATACCATACCATAAACGCCCCATTTACGCCTCAACTTGTATTAGGATAACATCATTGTAATCTTGACATCATGGCTGGGAATAAACTCCTCGTCTATCTACTTCGACGCGATCTCAGGGCAACCGACAACCCTATTCTTCACCACCTGGCCACTTCTGACCATGGTTTCACCCATCTCCTCCCCATCTACATTCTTCCTCCCCACCAAATCGAAACCTCAGGCTTCGTTGCTGAAGGACAAAAATCCCCTTACCCCCCAGCCCGAAGTCAGGTAGGCCGCTTCTGGAGATGTGGCCCCGTTCGAGCCAAGTTTCAAGCTGAGTCTATCTGGGATGTGAAACAACATCTTGAGGTCATCGGCAGTGGCATGTTGGTTCGTATCGGAAACTTCGATCACGTCCTAAAGCATTTGATCAAGTCCCTGCATGATAACCATCAATCTGTCGATACGGTTTGGATGACCGAGGAAGTATCGAAAGAAGAGGTTGATGATCAGAACGCTGTAGCATCTGTATGTTCTGAGAACAACATCAACTTCAAGCTTTGGCAGGACGAAAAGTATTACATCGACGAGTAAGTTCAGCTTATCACTCTTCTTGAGTGACAAGAAGTCTATATTGGATAACTCACTGATGCTTGTGAATAGCCGCGACACTGGTTTGGATAACCCCAAGGAGCTTCCAGATGTTTTCACAACCTTCCGCAAAACTCAAGAACCCCTCCGTGAGCGCCCTCGCGCCTCTCTCCCTCGTCCGAATGTCGGATCATTACCGTCTTTCCCTTCATCGTGGGCACCAGCTCAGGCATCTCCGTTTCAAATTCCTGACAACTACAATGACTTTGAACAACGTCTCCTGGAGCCCATCAACAGTATGGTGCCTGACCCTCCTGCCTATCCTGATGATGCTAGGACTGCACACCCATTCAAAGGTGGTGAGAAGCCTGCCTGGAACCGTCTTCGCCATCTCATCAAGTCAGGCTCCATGACTACTTACCAGGAAACCCGCAATGGCCTACTCGGAACCGACTACAGCACCAAGCTTTCAGCGTACCTGGCACTCGGATCTATCTCGGCTCGCTCTATCCATGAGGAACTTGTCAAGTTTGAGGATGGCCAAGAACAATCCTACTCTCGAGCTATAGGTTTCGGACAGGGCGAGAACGAGGGCACCAAGGCTGTCAGATTTGAGCTCTTGTGGCGGGACTACATGCGATTGTGTACCATGAAGTTTGGCTCACGTCTTTTCAAGCTTGATGGTTTTAAGGGAGCCAGTGGCAAATATGATAAAAAGTGGAAGACAGCTCTGAAGGAGGAGGCCGACGCCGATCAAGATCCTTCACCTGAGGAACTGAGTGATATCATTGACAGGTTTCTTCGAGGAACAACCGGTATGGGTTTGATCGATGCCTCGCAGCGAGAGCTCTATCATACCGGCTACACCTCGAACCGAGCCCGACAGAACGTCGCCAGCTTCTTCGCAAAGCATCTTGGCATTGATTGGCGATATGGAGCTGAATGGTACGAAGCCATGCTGGTAGATTATGATGTGTCTTCCAACTGGGCGAACTGGCAGTACGTTGCGGGTGTCGGTAACGATCCCAGAGGCGATGCACGTATCTTTAACCCAATAAAACAAGCATTCGACTATGATAACAACGGCACATATGTTCGAACCTGGGTGCCTGAAGTCAAGTATATTGAGAAACTGGAAAATGTTTTTCAGATATGGACGACTGACGACGATGAGCTCATCAAGTACGGCATCATCGATGATATAATGGTCACTCATCCCGTCAAGAGGATCGATTTTCAGGTCGATCGAAAGCCTCGTGGTCCTCGACGACCTTACCGATGGAGACGGGGAGGACATGGACGTGGTGCCCGTCGAGGTGGGGGCCCAGGAAATGGTTCTGGTGACTATAACGATGGCCGACGATCCTACCACAATGGGCCGCCTTCACCTGAGAGCGATCGCCAGTTTTACCATGGAGGTGATGTTTACCTGCAAAGCAGTGGCCAGCCACGAAATGGCTGGCCTCAACGGGGAAACCAGATGTCGTGGCGAGGCAACTCTAACGGGCACGGTCCTAACAACCACGGACCTTCTCCTGGACGAGGAGGCCACATGGCCCCTTTCCGTGGTAACGGGTTCCAGCGAGGATTCAATACCAACTCCTTCAATGCACCACCTCCCAGGCAATACATGCCTAACCCTCCTTGGCCTCCTCAGCAATTTGCTCCTCAAGCCTATCATCACCAACTTCCTCCTCACCTTGGACCCCATGTCTAGCAGACAGGGGCCAGGCCACTCTCCTTCCCATCACGGTGGGCTTTTGATCCCGTTGGGCAGCGCTGGTATTGGAACCAATAGACAATGGACTATTGGAAAATGTAATTGTGCGAAATTTGGATTCTCTCTCTTTTGTCGGTGGAGTCAAGCGATAGTGGCACACGATACCTGTTATATTGGACAAAAGTTGACGTTGCAGCCAATAGAATGGATAAGGTTGCAAAGGCATATATGTATTTATAAGAAACATCCAGCGGGATCATGGATGTCCTTCGATAGGACATGTGTGAATACACACAAGTCTGTTTGCTTTTAACATTCATCACTTCAAATACCTTGTGATTGGTGATAATTTCGAAACCCTATTCATTATGATGCCAATTGTCGTCTAGCTCTTTCTATCATTACAGTGTCTCGTTCCAGGGTCTCCAGGACTGTTTATCCCAAGTTGGCATACATCTCACCTGCTCTGGTGGATCAAATACCCAATCTATCGCGCTATCTTCTTGACCTTCAACTATGCCCGACACATAGCCCTTCAACTTCTTTATATCCGCGGCCTTCTCATCAGAATACTCAAGATTCACACTCGGCACAACTGCAATCTTGCGGAAACCCCTGTACCACATATCCTTACAAAACAACTGGGGTTCGCCCTGAAAACACTCTCCTTTGCGAGTATCTCGAAACCGAAGACCATGTAACAATGGCGCTGCAGTAAACGCTGTAGCCCCGTTCCAGCAGGCGAAAACTTGAAAAGGCTGTTTTGCATAATATCTTGCGCGAGTATCAGGGGCGCTCCAGAAAAGGTTCCACGCAGAATTCCAATTCCCGTCCGAGCCAACTTCGAAGAACGAGTCTCCTGATATTGTACGGGCTATCCAGATGTCGTAAAAGGTTGGATCGGGTCCAACATAAGTCCAGTCCATAGCGCAAGTCATGTCTGCGTTGAGACTGTGTCGCTGAAGAGCGAGTTCGAGAATATCTTCTGCGCAGGCGGATACATCGTTGATGAAAAGGACTGTTGTGTCGTCTGTGACTTTCACTTGTTCTTTGTAAAGAGGAGTGAGGGCTAGGTTGCGTAGTTGGGCAAGTTTGCGGATGCGTGCATTTCCTTGTGCTGGGTTGATCTTGGAACTGTTGTAGAAATAGACCAGACCGATATCTTCTAGGAAGGGTTTCAGAGCTGAAAGTACATCGGAAGTCCCGTCAGGTGAGTTTCCTTCAACAATAGACAATGCGCATCGATGAGGTCCGAGGAAGCGAACAGCTTCAACGATGCTGTCCATCAAGCGAGGAAGAATGCCTATACAGTCTCGTAGGTTGAGAGCGAAGAAATAGTCAATTTGCGGGTCTTGAACCTCATCTCCGTGTCGCGATCCCTGAAGGATCTTGTAACGGTTGACGTTTAGAACAGGGCATTCTAGAAGGGGGAGAACCGTTGATGATGGATTGAGTATAGCTGAGATGTAAGGTGATATACGCTCAGCAGACAGTATAGTACCTATACGAAATGAACACAGAGGTCTTGGATAAAGACGCAAGGTATTGTAGACTCACCATTTGAGATCGTTGGAGTTAAGAGTGAGGTTGCAGTTGGAGTTGGCGTATGCGAAGTGCTCTCTTGAATCTTAGCACTTTTTGTAGTGACTGTTGCCGTTGATTTCAGACTAGGGCCTTTCTCTACCTCGTCTTGCTGTACAGGAGTGTAAGAACTCGAGCGCCAAGTAAGGTGATCACGCCTAAGATAAAGACTCGTAACGACAAGTAAGAAGCAAAAGACTGCCAGCAGTGGTGCTATAAACCTGCGATACATGGCTTCAACGAAGCAAAAGGCTCACCACATGAGTTCGTTCATTGCTAATCTAGAAATTTTGGAAAAAAAGAAGAGAACAGACGTGGGCAGAGCAAAGAGGAAACCGGTTCAGTCACAACTAACAACCAACAGAAAGTTCCCTTGTAGGCGACAGGGGATCACCATACCAGGATGTGTATTTTTGGGTCGTCTAAGCGCCCGAGTTTAAGTGAGGATAACCTGGTTGTTTGATCTTCCTGAGAGGACCAATGGTGATCCATAAGGCTGAATGGCATATTCAAGTACTCAACTTGGTGAAGACTTGCTAAATAAATCTGATACCTAATTATTTACATGTATGATAACTTCGAAAGCACAATTTGTCTTCTAATAATTGAGCAAAGTAATGCACATCTTCCTCTTGATACAGCAGCACCCTGGACTCCAAGCTGCATGTTGGTTGTTAGTCGTTGCGAAAAACCCACTCTTGAAATGACAGGACACTACATTGCAACCCACAAACAACATCCCACCATTAAGAAATGACAGAAGGCATGAGAGGGCCTCCTTAACTAATGCAGTTCCAGAGATGTCCCAATGCCAAAGTCTTCTGTCGATAGATGCTTAGATATATGTCTGAGCTCTCTTTCAGAGCTTCATACTGGACGATAGACATCATCAAGAATGTATAATCCTACAGAATAATTCCTCCATATGTTCAAAACGCCATAACAAGGCAGTTATAAGAAACCCAAAACAAGGAAAGACCCAATGGCAGACTCTGTGCATGCGCCCCAAGTCCTCGGGTTCTGGTGGAGGGCTGACTCAACCAACAACTATACCCATGTAAGCTGAGTCTTGGAAAGTGAAAACATGAGCAGAAAGCTTGGATCAATTCAGAATGATAAGGAGGTGTTTTGGCCCCTAGGATCTTCATCGCGAGTTACCATCTTGTCTTCTCTCTGAGTCTCTGACCGTCTCTCCATGTTGGAGTAACTCAACCTTCACGATGAGGCCTCTTTCCTTATATCATCTACTAATGGTCTCTCAAATTTTCCCATCTTCCAGTCTCGCTATTCATGCGGTATTTCCTCCTGTAACGAAAGCCCCTTTTCTCCCACAACCGAGCAACATCCTCGAGCCACGGGCTATGTGGCTATCTAGACGGTGATCCCAAAAAGAAAAGAACTGCCGATTCCGGATTCAACTGTAGAGTTGATACTCGCAATGGCCTCTGGGGCTTTTGTCCTACAACTGTTCTAACAGCTTCGGATTGTGGATTAGCGGGGAGTTGTGTTGATCGCCATGATTGCTCAGACGGATGTGGTATGACTGGCAGCAAGGACTTGACGACATTTACTTGGTACAGTACTAATCTGTATCGATATTCTTGGGGCTTGAAGCACTGACATGAAGTTAGTGGCCGCAAATCATTCTGTTCCATGGCCCTTCTCACCTTCGGCGTGGATCAGACATACTCCTATATCGCCTGCGGGACTAAAGCCACTACTGATCATTACTATATAACCCCAACCATCGGTACCACGACAACCTCCGAGTCCACTGAATTAACCACATCAGAGACATCACAAACACCCTCAGCCACCTCCAGTGATACAGCATCAAGCACCACTGATATCACGCAGAACGCTTCTACAGAAACGATAAGCGGTTCTTCGGAGGAGGATTCATCATCTGTAGGCTCCTCGACTAACCTTGGGGCCATTATTGGAGGACTCATCGGAGGGCTCGTTGTTATCTGTGGTACGATAATTATGGCAATATTCCTGCTTCGAAGAAACCGAGGTAAGGATACTCAGACGGGCACAATAGAGCAAAGTACAGCAAACATTTCGATGCGATATTGGAGACGCAGCAAAACCAAAGGACCACAAGAACTTGGAGGCTGGAATATACATGAAATGCCAACTGAGGAACAGAATGAACGTCAAAATCCCGTGGAACTTGCTGCGTGATTTAGCAGACGGAGGAGGACATCTGATTGAGTATGGTCATCGACTAGGAGGAGTTCAAGCCCATGAACATTGTATTATTAGTCATTCGAGCAGCCATGGGATGTGATTCGTGAAGAAAATCAAATTGTGAGATATATAAGACATAAAGTATACATATTCAACCGAGTAAACCGCCGTGCCCAAGGAGGAGCTGGACTGGTCCGATACGCCGTGGACTGATGATGCTAATAACAAACCCGGGAGCGCCCTTATCATCAAGTGGAATTAATAAGACAAAAGTAAAGAGAGCCGCAACCCGAAAGCAAGCACTGCAGTTTGAGCCATGACCATTGGCAGTGAATTGAGGCAGCAAAGTTTATCATGCCTCTTTTGTTTATCCAAGACTCGCTTCCTCGAAAATGCTGTGGGCCAAAAAGCCCAATGCTCAGGTTTGATTTCTGCTGTGGCCGTTAAAGTAAAAACATTGTATGAGTGGCAACATGAAGGTCGTAAATTCGGCAAATGGGGTATTATATATGAAGACACACTCAGACAGGAGTCCAGTCCTTTAGCCATGGGTGAGACTGGTTCAATTCTGGAATGACAGCAGTGCTGAGGCTGCGCTCTCCAACTATGTTTCCGAGAGAATGGTTGATCATTTGTAAAGTAGCACGGCGGGAAGGCTCGACGGCGACAGGAAGAGCAGTTGGGGGAGGAATTGGCGCAAGAGAGTTGGGAGAAGGGACAAGATCGAGGTTATCTGGGACGGTTGAGTCAAACCGACCAGTCTCCTTGCGATAGCCAACATGCACTAAAGGTTGGAACGATGCATCATCCTTTGACCACCAAGTCCAATGGCGGTACTCTCGACGATGGCCTCGTTCGAGCCATGGGTACAGATCAGGCTCGATAGTTTCTTTGGGAATTGAACCAAATGGGAGCCAGCCATAGAAGAGGGGCCATGGATCGCGAAGAGTCAGCGTATGACGATGCTGAAGTAGGGCAGCACGAGGGACAGCCATGCTGAGATCATGGTAGGCAGTAGCCGTAGGGTCATCTTGATATGATTGAGGTGCCCCTGTCCATACCGCAGTAACAATATCCGGGCGAGACAGGGTATCGTATGAACATCCCTCGTCAAGCGTAGTCAGATAGTTGCGAATAAAATCCAAGATCTTGGAGTTACCAAGAAGGAAGAGGCCATGCCACCACATGGCTACACGAGGACGGCGGAGCAGAAAGATCTTGATGAGCATCTCGAAGTCGCAGTGTTTGAAGGCGGGCTGAATGACGCTGGTGATGGCAGCCAACCAAGGACTAACAAGGTTGCACTGAATATCTGGTTGCCAAAATATGCTCCAAAGGACTGGCCCCAGAGCGTAAGGATGCATGCTCAGCGTCATGTAGTAGCGTGCTTCCGCCGTGTATCGATGAACATTAGCTGCCTGGTCAGCCTCCATGGGGGTGCTCTTTCGTGGTTTCAGAGATGGCCTGGGTAAATGTGGTTCTAGCTTGGCCATACGATAGAATGGAATTGCGAGGGCTGCAAGGAAGGCAGCCTTGATCGGTGACAGGGTACTTGTATCTTTAGATCGGCGGGGTTCATGGCCAATACCAAACAAGTTACAGAACTCGATCAAGAGGTCCGTAGCTTCGGTGGGAGCTGGGGGTTCCACATCGCTGTCAATTGAAACTTGACCTTCGGTAGCAATGATGAAGCGCACGTCACTAGTGAATTTTGCATCCCATGGTGCACATGGCCCCCCTTGGCCATCGGCGGCCCAACCTGACTGTGACGCCAGAATCGCACAGAGCCAATGCACGAGGCGTGAGGATACGCCTTCAGGGAGGTGAACCAGGATCTCATTCTGGGCGAGATCCCCGATCGTGTTAATCGGGACTGGGCGGAGACAGGAGTCGGTGAAGTGGATCTTTCTGTTCTGGAGTTGCAGTAGCCGTGTGGAGAGAATGTAGGACCAACACACGGTCAAGATGGCGAGCCCTTGCGGGGCATTGGAGGCATCAGCTGTGCCAGCTGGATTGCCATAGTGGCAGGCGCTTGGGTCTGAAGAGATGATGCAGTTGATGGGTGATGGATAGCTGAGGCGGAAATATTTGGTGGTGCCAGTAACGTTATCGAGGTCAAAATCAGGTCCGTCCCGAATGTGAGGTTCCGGATCCGGGACGAGCCAGGTTGGGGCTCCGGCCAGGACTCCCTTTTGCGGCACGGATTCGGGGAGAGCAGGCATATCCTGGAGCATGATAGACAGGTCGAGGCCAGGGGGGAAGGTGCCTCTTGGTAAAGCCAGCGCCTGGCTCACGAGTTGCTGCCATGTATGGCGACCATTATGAAAGATGCGACGGACGTCGACTTGCTTTGGAATCAGAGGATCGTCCACATTGTCGGCGACGGCAAGGAATTGTTGCTCGTTCAAGGTCGGGAAAGGTTTAGAGGACCGGAAGGAGTCCGGCGCAGTAGAAGCAGCAGTCAACTCAGTGATTTGGGAGGCATGAGTTTCTCCCTCAACATCTGAATGAGCACTTGCATTTTCAGGCTGGGGTACAATGGCTGCTTCAGAGAGGCCAGTGACAACGGTAGAACTCCAAGCAAACGGGCGATCGAAAGAATTGTCCAGTTCGTAGTCCCCGTTAAGGACCCAGGACCGGACATGGTCCATTCCTAGGTCCCAGGTCATCTTCATTGTGACAGAGGAAAATGTGAGCTTGTTCTAAGTGGTCAACCAGTCGGTGTAAGTGCTCAAGACGACAACAAGTCCACTTGACGCAGGGTGTTGAAGAACTGGGCACAAGCAAAAGTAGAGCCTCTGACAACGAAAAATAGAAAAGGGAAAAGAATAATTAAAAAGGACTGAGGTGTGAGAGAGATTCGAGGTAGATATGAAAGATATGGGGATAAAAAGACAGGGGACAGTGTAACAGAGAAAAGCTGAAGATTCCGGTGGCCACCCACCCTGGGAGACGTTATGTATAAGAAAAGAAGCAAGCAAGCAAGCAAGATGCATCAGAACTGACTACAGTCAAAAGCGCAGAATTTCAGGCTGGGGCGGGTATGGCTGTATCTGGACTATTGATACGCGGCGGGCCTCATCTCGCATGCCCATTGTTTGTGCTTGCCAGTTGGACCATGATGCCTGTGTTTGACATCAGTTGTCCAAGCCATGACAATGTCCTTCCTTGACCATGTGTGTAGAATACCGAGTAATGCGGGTACCAACGCTGGTTGGGTACGGAACGGGCTCAGCTGGTTCAGCTGGGGGTGTAAATCGAGATGGAGAAGGAGATGGAGTGTCGGAGGAGCCGGGTCAGAATCAAGAGAATCTGAAAATGACATGAACAGTTGAGAGGTTGAGAACCGAGAACTGAAGAGAGACTAGACAAAGAGGGCCAGAGAGCATCAGAGACAAGACACGGGAGCTTGCAGGAAATGTCAAAGTTGTGGACATATCAGAACCCCTGTCAAGATTTTGGTCTGGCAGTGTTTCTGCGACAAGAAACAGAGCAGAAACAGTGTTGTAAGATGGAGAAAAGCAACTTCAGGTGGTTCTGGTTGCAGCAAACTAGGCAATTGGAGGGACGGGGGGGAAACATGGGTGTCACAAAGCCAGGGAGCGTAGTCTAATGAGGCGTACAATAACTACGAAGCGGAGTTCAAGCCGTAGGCGAAGCGGAGATGGCGACGACAAGTTCGGCAGAGTAGAAATGAAATTTAGAATTAGCAGAGGCGTTGGAGAAAAAGAAACAAAAAAGAAAAGACGGTATAAGAGGGAGCAAGACAAGACTGAGTCGAGTGGACATGGCTTGATGATGGAGGATGACGGTTTAGAGAGGGTTGAGTGGATGATGGGGCATTCAGCACGGGGCAGGGACAAGGGACATATCGACAGGGATGGGGTCTTCCACTTCTCTATTCTTTCTTTTCTTTTTCCTCTACTTCCTCCACTTGAACACGCACTCACTCGCAGTTAGGTTACACTTTCACTTTACAGGCGGCTGTCAGTTGCGGCGTAGGGAGGTGCCGGACCGCAAGGTATCCCAATATCTCTTGCTTGCATAAGGGCAGTTAGTGAGGTGGATGTGGATGTGGAGGGGGAGGGGCATTCTCGAGACACGTTTGTTAGTGGGAAGTCTTTGCTTTTGCTTGTCGACAAAGAGGCAGTGCGGCCGTTGAACAGTCCACGTTTTAACGCTCTAAAGACCCTTTTGCTCCTCGATCGTCATACAAACGAGGTGAATGACTCGCTAGATGCGGTCAAATAACTCCAATAGTCGACTCCATTTAAGAACCATCCCATTTCAAGGGTCCCATCCTTGATATTGGGACGTCGGAATAATGGAACGGATTCCCCAACCCTCGACCTTTCAGCTGGGTCAATATGCACCATGTTGCGCCTCTAAGCTGCAGATGGCCTCGGCTTGATCAAGATATGTCATATGGGTCCGAGAACCTCCATGTCGGTTACACAGTGGTTGATAGACGTCCACCGCATATTCAGGGTTGACTCAGCATCAACATCAGCATCAGCATCATCTGCAGCTGCAGGCGCAAATGCACCTGGGAACTGGGGTACCTCTACCGTAGCGTAGCGTTGCAGCACGGGATCTGGAGTCTGTAGGCCAGTCACTGGTGCCATGACGGATACCTTAGTCGTAATAGCCGCTGATTAAGTTGAGCTCGTGGACCAAGAGCCCGGCTGGCATTACAACCTGAGACACATCATGTACGTGCGTACATAACGTGCAGCGTGTGTTTAGTGGCATGAATTACGTGCCGGCCTAGAGGGAAATAAGTGAAAAAAAGAAAGGTTCAGACTAAGACAGTCGGGCGAGGAAAAAGAAAGTAGATGGCCCTAGACCCGAAAATGCAGTTTGACAGTGAAGAGACTTGGGTTATAATAGCCTATTACTGGAGACGGATAGGCTATCATTACGATGTACCGCTTTCTAACATGGAAATTTGTACAGCACCTGGTTGACTCTATCGTGGAATACTACAGGTAGATTACCGCAATAGAGTGTTCATTCTGACAGGCAGTACCAATATAGTGGCCAACCAGTAACTTTAGTGTATTTTTATCCATCATATTCCCGGCAGTCAGTATCTCGGCTTCTCCCGCCTTCCCTAGCTTCCCTTACTATTGGGTTGGATTATCACATCAACCCTCACATGAACATCCAATCCTACTCTTTTCTGTACGTTTTGGCACGCGCAGATCGACTCTCCTCAGAATTTCACACCCCGAGTGCAGCCTCAGCTGCGAAACCTTTCGATAGGTTGACTAATAAGGTGTCTACTTGCACAAGCATCAGCGGTACGCTTCCGAAACAGCGCTAGACTAGTTTGGTCCGGAATATTTCCTGCCTCAAAAAAATTGTCCTACACCGACGATCAAGCAAACAGCAGCCGTAAGCGCAATCCTCCCAAGATTATCACACTGCACCTAATAGCCTGTAAGTTTGCTCGATCGAACCATTGTGTGTTTCTTCTTTAAGCCACATGTTTTACATTGCGACGCGGCACAAGTTCACTGACGTGATAACGGCAGATTCTGCATCCAGAGCCCTTCCTATACGATACTATTTCAGAGCAACCCACCTTAATTACCGACAATGAAGAGCAAGCGCGCAAGAGAGGCTGCCGAGGTCGACGATAAGCCTGTTGCTTCTGTTAATTCTGAGGCCCCAGCCAAGAAGCGCAAGCGCAGCGAGGATGATGGGGCTGATCTGAAGAAGGCTAAGAAGGAGAAGAGGGACAAGAAGTACAAGAAGGAATCGCGCAAGGAGCGCAAGGAGAAGCGCAAGAACCTCCAGGACCTCCCCGAACAAGACGATGACGAAGAGGCGGCCGAGGATGCTCCAATGGCTGAGGCTGATGACAAGCCTGCGGATGCGCCAGTAGAGGCAGACAAGTCTGCAAAGAAGGATAAGAAGGCCAAAACCGACGAGTCGCAACAAAAGGACGACGCCAGCGTTGATGTTGAACCCAAGGAGGAGCCAAAGAAGAGCAAGAAGGACAAGAAGAAGCAAAACAAGGCATCCGAAACAACGACCACCAACGATGAATCTGCTGCTGGCCCTGATGCAGAGGCTGCTGATGGCAAAGGAGACCGTCACATTGTCTTCGTCGGCAACCTGCCCTTCACCGCCACTGCCGAAACAATCAAAGCCCACTTTGCCTCTCTCAACCCAGTGTCAGTTCGCTGCATGAGCGATCCCAAGGATAGCAAGCCCTGCCGTGGCTTTGCCTTTGTCGAGTTCGAGAAGGTCTGGCATATGCGAACATGTCTCGACAAGTTCCACCACTCCGAGTTCTCAGATGGTGTCTCTTATCCCCGCCGCATAAATGTCGAGTTGACGTAAGTTGCTTTCGTATTTCTGTCTTAAATGATAACTCACCTCATTGCTTTGACTCCACACCCCTTTCCCTCCAGCCTGATTCAATACAAAAGCACCTCGATCTGTGTAACCACCCTAGAACGACTAGTCTTGACTTGACTCACGCTCACTACTGCCTCACCGACACTCACCTGCACGAACAGCAACTTCATACATGACTAGAAAATACGCTAACTCTGTGTAACAGTGCCGGTGGAGGTGGCAAGACAAAGCAGCGCCAGGACAAGATCAAGGAGAAGAACCGCAAGCTCGACGAGAACCGCGCCAAGCGTATCGAGCGCGAGAGGACGGCAAAGGAAGAGTCCAAAGGCAAGGGTGACACTCGCCAGGCTGGCGAGGATGGCATTCACCCAAGTCGACGTGCCCACGTCCCTGGCAACCGCTGGTAGAAACAGCTTACCAGGCCTCAAGTCAAGGGTGTGAAGCTCAAGAAGGAGTAGGTTTTTGAGGGTCTCTGAATGTGTTTTAATGATTTGTATTGGGACCGGATACACAAAAGTTGAGTGTGCATTTACATGATAGTGAGAGATACCCAAAGCGGATGGACCTTTGACCTCACGATGACGAAGAGCATGGAACAGTAGATGAATTATATTTCTATATCTACCACTTCGTTGACTGATCCTAGGATATTTCTATTTCAGGTGAAGGGTCTACAAGCAGACTGTTGGTGATATATATCAATCAGTGCGAGGTATAGATTCTTTTCTGTTCACGCTCCAGGCTAAGTCAACGTATACTCTATTGAGAGCTCTAAAAGCAATGCAATTTCTTTCGCCCAATTAACACACCAAAGAGACCAGTTCAGAATGAAGACAGATCGATCGACCACTGCTGGAAGAAATCCAACGACTAGACATGCAGAAACGACTTGCCAAAATGTAACAGTCTCGAGATAGTGAATGCCAAATACAAGACATGATAATCAGGGTCATTCAGCATGCCTCCACAGGTAAAGCGGACACTTCTCGAAGAAAACATCACAAAGCAATCGCAAGCAGTCATCTGTCCAAAGTGCAAACCGGTTCTTGAATTACTGGCAAAATCGGTATAAACTCCGTGAGGAGGCCACAGCATGAGATATGAGCAAATAGAGATAAATAATAAAAAGCAACGGTTGGAAACACGTAACCGCAGATAGTAAAACCCAAAATTCATTCAAGAACCGCCTCGCAAATAAAAGCCATCGTCATATGCAGTTGCCTCCGCATGATCGTTGCGAGGGTCATGATCTGGGGACGGGTATCAGGCCTCGAGAAAAAAGCAATAGCCTAGTCCAGCCCAGCCACTCCCAGGGATATTCCGTCAAGAGCCGCCGTCTTGTATCGCTGAATGCCTATTAAGCATTCGTCCTGAGTTCTTCGTGTCGTTTCGCGTCATCCAGACGCTTTCGTTGAGAAAATCAAACGCGTGCTTTTGCCACGCGCGGGAATAGCGTTCATTAGATGGATATCTACAGAATGGAGCACTTGTTCTTCTTTTGCTTCGAAGGTGTGGGTCGGGGGTTAAGAACAGCTCTAAATAGGAATTAGATGCGTACTGGAGCACATAATCACGATTGATGCTTACCGGATGGCCTCGTCAAAAACGCTCTTGAGGTTCCTTTGAGTGAGGGCAGAACACTCGAGGTACTTGTAGGCCTTGATCTCCTTGGCGCAAGTCAGCGCCTGCTCGTATGACACAGGCTCCATGCGCTTTTGTCGAAGCGACTCGAGGGTGGAAGCGTCTTCTCGAAGATCAAGCTTGGTTCCGACAAGGATAATGGGAATGTTAGGCGCATGATGATCAATCTCGGGATACCACTAGAGAAGGTGTCAGAAGAGTCGACGTGTTGTGGCGATAAGGGGGGAGGCGACGTACCTTGGCCTTCACGTTGTCGAATGAAGGAGGGCTGACGATGGAGAAGCAAATGAGAAAGACGTCGGTCTGGGGGTATGAGAGAGGTCGCAGTCTGTCGTAATCTTCCTGACCAGCAGTATCCCAGAGGCCAAGGCTAATAGGCTTGCCATCTACCATAACACTCGCCGAGTAGTTGTCGAAGACAGTGGGGATGTATTCGCCGGGGAAGGCATTTGTGGTGTATGAAATGAGTAGACAGGTCTGGAAGCACAGTCAGCGGGAGGCTCTTGTTGTGAAAGCCATCGCGTTGTAAGCGGCTGTTTGTTGTCCAACGTACCTTTCCAACAGCACCATCACCAGTCACCACGCACTGTAGCAGCGGTCAGCCAACCATGTATTGCGTCAGGTAACCATCGGCTCAACAAACCTTCAACGATTGCACGCCGGGCTGAGCCATTGTTGCGATCGGTTATGGGGAAAAGCCGAAGGAAATGGGTATAAAATCGACGAATTGTGTCGAGGCGCAAAAAGTCGTCGAGGGGCAGATGGGGATGATCGAAGCGACGATTGTTGTGTCTGTACGGAGATGGATGTAATGTAGAGTACAGGTAGAGTAGAGCCTGGAGAGGGGCAGGTTAAACAGGCAGGACTCGAAGGCCGGATGACGGAAGGGAAGAGGTGCGACGATGACGATTTTGGATGCGACAAGCGGCGACAGAACTCGAATGGATCCTCAGGTGAGTTTCACAGCTGCATAAAAAGATAGGTCAGAGAAAGAACTTGACACAAAACCGAGGTGTAGTTCACGCGTTTTGTGCCGCAGAAGGTGAGGCCACAGGAGGAGGTTCAACGATGGGAGCCGCTCCACCTCTATCAGTATCAGTGGACTAGACTGGACTAGACGCCCCGAAACCCAGCAAGCCCAGGCAGGACCACGAGAGAGGCGCCCAGGGTATGCCACCAGTAGCCACCTCCCGTGCCACCTCAGGCCCTGTTCGCAGTAATAAGCCAAGACCTAGCCTCGCCGACTAACTTAACTTATCCGCTTGGGATAGGATAGGCTTGAGGCAAGGCAAGGAGTTGATGGCTATCAAGAGCTTGCTCAAGGCTATAGGCGCCTGGGGGTGGGGGAAATGCAAGGGCCCAGGGGCCAACCAAGCACCGTAATTTGGGGTAAAGGCAGCTCACCTGCTATATCGCTGAACTCCTTCGTGGTAAGGATTCGCGGTTAATGACCGTCTTGGCTAAGATGGACTCTCGGTTGCGGCTGGGGATGAGATTGAAGATGCCGGATTGGATGGAAACCGAACAAGATTCCAGGTTATGGAAAGAGAAGAAGATGGAGAGGCTGTAACAGTTGGGAGAAAAACAAAGGCAAGGAATAATACCCAAGCTACAGCAGATGAGATTATCCCAAGACCACACAAGGCGCGGCTATTCAAAGTGCAGGCGGTGGCTGTCGGTGCAGGTGAAAGGCGGAGAGAGGCTGCGCGATTGTCAGTTGGCGCAGAATACAATAAGCTCTGTACCATAAAGAAGCAGTACCCCCTCACTTATTTTTGAGACAATGCGATCGAACAATTATGAGCTGCGGCGGAGAATTTGAGAAACACCGAAGCCTTCTGCTGCCATGCTATTTATCTGTCCCTATTGTACATGGCAATCCCTAGCTGGGAAGGGGATAAAGGAGAACTGCTACCGTAATGAACAAAACCACCGAATCATGAAACCTGGCCGATCTCTTCAGTTGAATTCAACCTCCATGACTCACGCCAACCTCAAAGCAGAAACAATTGATATCATCACAAGCTCTTTGTTAAGAATCAGGTAGCACTTCAAGACAGGGATCAACAATAAAGAGGTTGGAGATAAAGATATGAAGACCAGGGATGCATGTTGAGAGTTGTTGAAACCTCCATTGGGCGCTTAGACCCTTGTCCAGAAGGCCACTGCTTTCTGTTCTGCTGCACAAATCTACATAACCTAATAGTTTGACGCTGTTGACAAGTAAAAAGGATCGATAGCTCAGTGGTACGAGCGAGGGATTGCAGATCCCTAGGTCGCGTGTTCGATCCACGCTCGGTCCTAAGACTTATTCTTTTGCTTCTTTTTGCGATTGCTTGGCGATCTCATCTTACATGTAATCTCATCTGCTTGCTTACATCGAGCTGTCAGCTTATTTGATTCAAGAATGTTCTGAGCGTTTAATATTTCGAACTTTGTTTTCATTTTTTGCCTAAATACCAATTGGTAAGCGTTCTCTCTAGTTGATATTGTAGATTTGCAGACATTATACTAATACAACTTTAGTAACCGACTGATATCACGAAATGGCTTCAGGGTTGTTTTCCAATGTCTCTCCATGGCATATTCCCGCCATGTTTATGGGCACCGCTTTCACTCTCGGTGGTCTTCTTCCTTTGAGAGCCCCAGACCGTGCTATGCGCGAGTATGGGTTGCCTGAGGGCATCGTCCGGTCAGAACCAGCGCAATTAGCATTCGGTATCTACGGCACTCGTGTGGCTGCTTATGGTGTCGCTCTGTGGACGTTCTATCTTCGTGGTGAATACCATGTAGTTGATACGCTCATGAGCTTACTCTTCCTGTGGGGTGCTGCTGATCTTTGGATTTGCCTCAAGGCTGGTGTACCCAGGACAGCTATTTGGAGATTTGCGAGCAGCATCATTATTGGCGGTTACGGATATCTTGGATTAACTGCGAAGGGATCTCTATGAAGCTCTGCTTTGCATAGGATTGTTTGGGTGGTTTGAGGTATCCTCCAGCTTCCATCTCACCCCATTGACTGGTGGGAATATCAAATACACATCTACAACATAGCATCGTTGTCTGTACAAATCGATTTAATTGCACCTCAAGATGTCTCAAATAATTGTGATCACGTCTGCCATGGTCATTTACCTTGTCTAGCTTGTATCGATGAACATGCAGGTAAATAGTCCGTGCACTCAAGCTCCCCTCGTCGCGTATGGCTGAACCTTGTCGCGTTCCCACTTGAATTGACATTCATCATTGACATGGATCGATAACATCAACAATAACCGAAAATACAAATAATTCTCCGAAACGCTGTGCTCGCATTACGCCCAGGTCTGCTCAACGTTCTATGGATGAAAAACTCAACGATTTCGATACATTATCTGCCAGTTGAGTGGCCGTCGCTCCGCCAGCCACTCCGGCGCATCTAAACAAACACCACAAATATGTCAAGTCTATCGCCGCCAGGTAAAGCCGCATCTCAAGAAACACCCGCGCGAACTCCTTCGAGAACTCCGAACCGTCGCGCTATCAGCGCTGAGCCGTACTCTGGCGTTCACACACCTCTGGATCGTAGCGGCGCCCGAGACCTGCGTGCCTCTCTTCGCCGTGGTACACCAGCATCTGCCGGTCGATCCAATGCGCCGACTCCTCACGCCAAAGCCGCTCGTCGGCTGCTTGACCAGCGCCGGACGGCAATGTTCACGCCTGGAAAGAACCGCAGGCAGAGCATGTTACAGCAGAGAGAAACACCCTTGGATATTTTACGAATGCTTGGTCGAACACTAGCGCCTAAGAGCCAGCCTATACACTCGTCATCTTCGTCGTCTCCAGGAAATAAACGGAGCTCATCGCCGGAACAGAGGGAGGAAAGCAACTTGTATGATGACGACGATGATGAAGACGACGATCTACTAACGAGGCCGCCAAGACTATCCTTGCCGTTAGACATTGAAGATGCTTCTAGTACCAGCTCAGATTTGCCCCCACCAATGTTGTCACAATTAGATGAGGACAATTTTACTATGCAGTCTATTGAGATGCCCCGAAGGATTCTGAACGAGTCTCGGCTATCTCGAGGGAGTCCCGGCAGTGAGCGCATGAGCGACTACTTCAACAATGAAGCCACAGAAGATGATATTGGCGAACCATCAGATTTCTTCCCCGGTCTGCTGGCGGATCTTCAAGAGAGAGCTAGACAGGATGATATGACACTTGAGCCGTAAGTTGATTACTGGCGAATTAAATGTAATGCACTGCTCACATATGAACAGGATAGAAGCGGACCGGACCCGGCGAATGACCGAGGGACGAGGAAGCGACTTCAACTTCGAGTACCCTGGTGGACTTGATGATGGAACTATTTTTCAAATGTCTGATCCCGCCAACGATATTCAAGCAACATCCCCCATTGTCGACCGGTCTGTTGCTGGAGCCGGGGCAGATGAAGTTCAAGACCCCCGCCCCGATATTATGTACGGATCTGACTCCGATGCTGGCGGCGCAGACTTCGGAATGGATGGTTGGGATTATAACGATGGCGGTGTCGACGATCATAGTTCGATAAATGAAGAACCAGGGGCAATACCAGAGCCAACAGTCACAGCTGGGATGCGTCATGAGCCGGCTGGTGATAGGCTACCTCGTGGTTTGAAAGCAAACAAGAAACGGAAACGGATATCACAGCATGGTATTGAGTACCCGTCGCTGCCTCCAGCTTTCGTCAAGCGAGTGGCCCAGACAGCTCTCCAATCGTCAGGTCTCGGCAACCAGCGTCTGTCGGCTGAGACATTAGATGCACTTATCCAATCTTCGGAATGGTTCTTCGAGCAGCTGGGTGACGATCTAGGGGCCTATGCGGATCACGCGAAGCGCAAAACAATTGAGGAGAGCGACGTCTTCACACTCATGAAAAGGTATGTTATCTCACTGGGGTATCAGCTCCGTATTTTGTTCTAGCCAGAAATTCTAATATCGTACAGACAACGTCAGATAGGACCGCGTTCGTCCATGTTCTCCTTGGCACAGAAACACCTCCCAAGAGAGCTCCTCCAAGAGCTGAGAATGCCAGTTCCGCAACCCGCTAAGCAACACAAAGCAAGGCGTGTGTCGGATCGAGGCGACGAGGGAGAAGTTGCAGAAGATGTAGAAGACACATGAGTTTTATACGGTGTATGCATGATGAGATTTACAGCTTACAGGCCCTTCGAACGGGCTACACGACGAGCGACATCGTTTGCAGGCTTTTTGACTACCATCCAAAGCATGATGGATGTTGCGACACAAAGGCCATACCTAAAGCAAGGAGTTAGAGCGCCCGGTGCAGGTCGACATAGAACGAGGCAACTTACCAGGTAAAGATATACTGGGCGTGGTTGTTTCGCAGGTTGACCTCCGCGGGTCGGCCATAGGGAATACCTCGAGTCTCGAAGTCGACCATTTGCATGAACTCGGGTTCTGATGTCGTTAGCAAGGCATCAAGAAGAAATATTATGATGATAGACATACCCATAGTAGCCTCAACCCAGACAGGCTGACTGCCGGTCAAAGCAGCCATCTGCTTCACATCCGGGAAATAAAACATGCCCTTCTTGGGCTGATTCTCTGGTGTAAACATGTTCTTCTTCCACGGCTCTCTTAGAAGTCCCTCCACTGTAACCTCACCCGTCGGTAGTCCATCAGGTCGTGTCCTCTTATCTCTATGCTTCTTGTCGATCCAGCCTCGGTTCACTAGAATTGTCGTACCGTTCTCTCGCTCCAATGGTGTGACTACCATGTATCCATCTGTCCCATCACGCATGCGCGGCCCAATGAGCATTTCTTGATCATGTCGAAAACGGCCCTTCGCTACCACACGGCGATAGTCGAAGTCATGAATGGCATCGGGATCGATGGTTGGTGGGAGGGGTAGAGGATCGCGGATTAGTCGGTCTTCGAATTTGGCGATAAGTTCGGATTTCCAGCCTAGACGCTGAACTTGCCATGTTCCGAGAATGAAGGCAGTGATGGGGATAATAGCTAAATTAATTAGATCATACCCTATTCAATTGATGAGCTCAAGAGCATACCGAGAATGATTAGACCTGGGCCATGGCGTTTTCCAACACGGACAAGCTTGGGTGGTCCATCGAGAATCGAGACGAATTCTGGATCGTCGGCTGATGTCTGTTGCTTGCGACGGAAGAAGGAGGATGTGAATTGTCTCCTTGGTGGTGCGTTTGTGAATCTTTTACACCGGGGGATTTGTTTTGACAAGCGCAGGCTGCGCAAGATTGTATTAGGCGCGTTCATTATGTCTGATGGCGCATTGAAGGCGTGAGGTTAAGGTGATAGCTAGCTTTGGCAATGATGTCGATTGTGGTGGGTTCGGTCGGGAATAGGACCCACCCAGGACGTTGAACCCCCTAGGATCTGATACGGCTCACCAATATATCTTACATCGGGTTACGCTTTTGATATGGCCAAGCAATAAGTCCTTTTGTAATTAAGATTGCAGGCTTCTATTAGAATATGACTTCTACCCACTCTAAGATACATTCAGTGAGCCTTGTTGGATCCTATGGGATTGGCATCGTATTTCAGCCAGATATTGAATAACTAACACCGAGTCTGACGGCTTTTGCACCCAGGAATATAATTGGTTGATACAGTCCTTTATACAGTGCAATACTGCTTAGTCAGGAGGGGTTCCATGTGTGGTGCCATACTGTGTTGTGTAACCTAGCGTCGTTGGAATCGCTTTGTGAGCTCGCGCGGGTCGGTCGGTCAGCCACATAGAAGTACGGTAATAGCGTCAAAGTTGAAGGTTATGAACAGATAAGTTGATAAGTTTGGGTAGCTATGTGGAATCCGTGTTGGATTTGATATGCAGATTGCGATAATTCACCCAGACTGCTGCCTATCCTGCCTAGCTGGCCTGTTTGCCTTGATCTTGGTGTTTGTCCTGGCAATTGACAATCACGTTGCAGGCACAATCTTACACGCTTTATAACATACCCTGGACCCCGAGTTTGGATGGCAATTCAGTCAGAAGTTGAATAACATATAATTGGTTGACCAAAATACAGTGCAATCACTGCTTAGTCAAGAGGGGTTCCATGTGTGATATCGTACTGTGTTGTGTAACCTAGCGTCGTTGGAATCGCTTTTGACATACCCTGGACCTCGACTCGAAATGGATGGTATTTCAGTCAGATGTCGAGTAACACTGCATATGCATATGATCAGTTGAACAAGTTGCTCTACACAGTGCATTCACAGCTTAGTCAAGAAGGGGCTCATGTGTGATGTCGTACTGTGTTGTGTAACCTAGCGTCTCTGGAATCACCAACCTCGATATCAAAGCAAATAAGGCTGCACCGTCAGCTTGCCTCAAACTTCAAATACCCCTTGAATCCCGAAAAAGCAAAAACAGATGCAATACTTGTAGCTTCCTACAAAAGTGGCGAAATAATTTTAGCTTTCATCTTCGGCGGTCGGAGATAGGTTTGTGGCAATATTCCTACTCATCTGCAACCACCTGCGGCCACCCGTGATGTTCAGGACCTTTTGGTCCGACTTCGATTAACCAACACGAAGATTCTCTTCTCTCTTCTTTGGTTCAACAGATGCACTGCATTACAAAAGGTTTTCGCCATAAAACTGAGACATACATGTTGTTGAGATAAGCAAGAAACGCCACGAATCACCTGCGTATAAGTAGGCTGAAGCGCCCGCCTCACTCTCACATCCTCACTTTCACCTCTATTCTTTTCCCTACCAAAGTTTACATGGAAGTCACCATGGACAACCAACCCAAGCGAGTGCGGCTCGGAACAAAGAGCTGTACTGAATGTCGTCGTCGAAAAGTGAAATGCGTTTTCGACGATGACCAGGCTGAGTGTCAACAATGCAACAGACACTCTCTCACCTGTCAGCCGCAGAATGCAGAATCTTTCCCAGAAGATAAAGATGAAATCATTCAAGAGGTTTCACAGTTTGCCGGGCAAGTCGAGGCACGCATGATTCGCATGCAAGCTGCAATCGACACCTTGGCTAGTAAACTTGACTCGCAAACCAACCCCAAGGCAAACCATAGAAGTAATGCAGGCTCTGGAGCCGAGTGCTCTCAGATTTATAGCCAGCAATTTGAGGTTGGTGTCTGGAAGCTCTGAAGGTCACATTGGCTTGAGTAATCTAACCATCTTTGCATCACAGACACCACAATCGCGGTTGACGGCATCGCTCAAGGGGCTTTTACCTGACAAGCAGACTCTGCCCAAGATTCTGGAGTACACTGGGAGGTTCACCAACAATTGGACCTGCTGGCCTCTGGCATTGCTGTCATATCAACAACAAGAGAACGAATTCCTCCCTGTCCAAACAGTTACGCTGTTTGATGCTGGGTTTCCGAAAGACATCGAGTCAGCGTTGTCGTTCGTTGACAAGTCAATGCAATCACCAAACCCCGGTGTTGTCTCAAAATGCACAGTCTGGCTCTGCCTATCCTTCAAAGAACTACCCTGGAAGTTCAAAAAACAAGGCGGCGTTCGAGCACCACTATTGGAGTCAAGTATCCTTATTGACAATTGTATCGCTAAAGTTGAAGCCCTGTATCAGGCCAGCTCAACACCGGTCTGCAACATCGACTTTGTCCAGGCACTGATCCTTCAAAACGAGCTATTCCTCTCCATAGGTCGCCCAACAAAGGCATGGAAATGTATTAGGGCTGGCATCGAGAACGCCATGCTTCTGGGCGTACACCATGGCCGGTCCAACCTTGATCGAGGTATATGGGAGGAGTTGTGGATACGAGACCGACAGCTTTCGCTATTCCTTGGGATGCCCCAGGCAGTCCCAGCGCAATTGTCGCCCAAAATAATAGCAGAAAAGTGCTCAATGACTGAAAAGGAAATCTTTCGCAAGATAGCCACGGTATCAGGCCTTATTATAAGCCAAAACCAAATGAAAGACGACTGCCCCAGTTCCACAATCACACGCACCCTCCAAGAAATGAAGGAATTAGGTGCAATGATTCCGGAGCACTGGACGAAAGGGCACTCGAGATATATCTCTTGTCTCCCGCAAGCCTTTACTCACGCCAACATCAAGATCTTCCACCATACACTTGAACTTATGATAAACTGGCCCTACTGTCAAGTGCCAATCGACGCTATCAGTTTAGAAGCTGGCAAGGAAATTGACGACTTTGAAATGTCAAGGAAGTCCACAGTGGAAGCAGCGGTAGAAATCTTAAAGGCGCACCAAGACATGAGAACCCTGGAAGTCGAGCCGCATGTGGTGATGAGGGCTGACTTCCTAGATTTCCTTGCTTTCAAGGCAGCGCTTGTAATGGCAGCAGCTTTGGAATGCAAGAGAACCCCTTTCTTAGACGACGTAAAGCAACGATGCTGGAAATTGATAGCTGAGTTGGCGGACAGACTAGGAGCGGCAGCTAAAGCATTTGGTAACGCATTTACCAAGCAGGCTGCCCTCACACTCAACATTCTACATGGCGCAAGAGAAGGGGAGATGATATGGTCTGGAACGTATCGAGTAACTATACCCTACTTTGGGAGACTCGAGATTTCTGAAGTATTCAAGGTAGCGCAACTAATCACACGCAACCGCAAGGAGTCACGCCCAAGGAAGATGATTGTCAAGATGGAATCGAACCATGTCACCTCTGGACTGCCGTATGAGCATGTGCCGGAACTGGAACTGGAAGCGGACTGGACCGCAGTGGAATCTATCAGGACTATGGATATGGAGTATGGGTGGAAGGGCGTTTTTGAGTTTGATTGTGTTAATCAGGTGGCAGGCTTCTGAGATGTGTTCTGGGCACCGACCCGTCAATATAGGAGTAGAACTAAATATTGGTCAATTTTGTGACCTAATGAGACGTATGCCATCTACAACTTTTGCAGAACATTGGATGCAGATGTGTTCTAACACCCTTCAGTGACGGAATGACGAAGCATCTATCATGGACATCTCTATTCATTACAGTCCACCTCCCTCCATCGCAGCCATCATCTTTCTCATCTGTGAACCATCGCCTCCTCCAGGGGCACTCAGATACACAGCCTCTCCAAGCATACGCAACTGCATAGGGAAACGAGGATCTCCATAGTAGTCAATGATCTCCTGCTTGCTCGTCGTCGTCTTCAAGTTCTGCCACTGACTCAAGTCCATTCCTAAGTTCTCACACTCTTGCTGCTTCTCTGGTGTCCACCATGAAGGAAGTACTCCTCTTCGAACTGACGCCTGTCGCAAGAAACGTTGAAAACCCCGAAGTCCGTTTGGGGCGCCGCCGTAGAGACTGTCTCCATCTGCTTGACCTTCAAGGTTGTACATATCGTCCATACGGAGGCGATATGTGTCAATCAGGAGTCGATAGACGTCTTTCTCAGGACGGTTTTGCAAGTAAGTGCCGTTATCGAGACGAGTAAAGGGGTTGGGAACAGACTTTTCCAGTCCCTTCTTCGGGGACTGGCTCATTTCGTCTGGATCATGGACGTTGGAATCAGCAAATGAGTCTGCCTGCTTTCCACAGATCTTCTTGTGGGCTTTCCAGTCGGTCTTTTGACATTCGCGAGAGCAGTATGGCGTGGTGGAACACTTGGCACACCGCTTAAGCTGGACTGTAGGTTCTTCCTGGTTGCAGGTAGTGCAAGCAGCCATGGTAGAGTTGTTAGTTGCCAGTCTTAGTCTTCGGTCTTGAGTCTTTGGCCCTTTGTTTGATAGAGTTCAAGTTGATACCAAGAGAGGAGATGTGATTAAGTGATGTGGGTGGCTTAAGGTTTGCGGGGATATGAATCAGCCAGGATCACCCTGGTCACTATCATCAATTCTCGACTCTTCTTCTACGAACAATTATGATATGATATTGCTCTGCAACTGAGGCTCTTTCCGGCTTAGACTATTCAATATTCCCGTAAAAGTGACCAATGGATGTTTCCATTCTCAGTATAGGCGGCTTCTTTGAGAACTGCCCAAGGCACAGTGTGAATGTTGTCAAGCTCAAACAAGTTAGTGACTCCCGTTGAGTATAAGTCTCAACTATGGATACTTTACTTAAAGAACGTGAGTTGCGGATATATATACATAGTGTAGGTTATCATGTAACGTTACTTACTCCATGACGGTTTGCACGGACAGCCAAACAAGAGTGTAGTCTCAGGCTTGTCACCAAGTGCTTGCTGCAGCTTCACATTCTTTGTACATGATTGCCTCACGGTGGCTTACAAGTGATAGCGCCAATCAAGGCAAATTAAGAGGATAAAGGCTCCTTCACACGGCGTCTGAAGTGTCTAACAATACCAGCCTAGGTAGGTGAAGACGACTGGCAAGATGCTTGTTAAGACAAACATGTGTTGGTTTGGAGTCTTTACTAGCAGCTTGCACTTCGTTTTCGTAAAAGCTAGTGACAAACTTGTATGACCTTTGCCTCAGTATAAAGGGAATGGAGGTAAACTAGTTCTGAGCATATCTAGGATTGAGGCTTGGAGAGCTCTTTGCGTTTCTTCCTACACTCTTCAAGCCCAAACAACCTGCGCCTGTTGCCCCAAGGAGATGACCAGACCTACCTCATGACACATATTATTATGTAGTACTTATATCTAAGTCTACTGTAAGTCAATATGTAACTGAGACCATGGCCCAAATACTAGCAAGTGCCAAACAGGGATCTATCGTGGTACAACAAGAGGGAGACTGCCTGTTTCTTCCTTTAGCCTTTGAATGCTATCTAGCGAGCTCAAATCCATGTATTTTGCATCGTGGGTTTTGCCTGTTGAGACATGTTGAAAGAGACCCCCAACCATCGTCATTCGTGGCATAGATTTCTGACGGCCAACAACCTTGCAAACGGGGCCGGATATATTGATTGGACCGGATGCCATAATTACCGCTCCAGGAACCAAGTGCTGGTATGCATAAATGATAGCTAACGTTAAGAGCTTAGGTTGCGATCTGCGATCTGCAAACTGCATAACCGGCAGTAGCTTGATCTTGGCTCATCTTCGTTACTTACCTACCTATCTAGGTGGGTATATTTCCAGCGGGTTAATTAACCCCTGTCATATAGATTTCTGGATGACAATGACTCACAAATGAACTCACCCGCCCGTCTCTTGACTTCCCCACCCTATGCTGAGCTGAAAAGCATCAGATTCAACATGATGTTAGTCAGCGATATAACTTGCGAAGCAATATACAGCTTATCAAGCCTAAGAGAAGTGCTCGAATTTCGGGTGTGACTGGGACTTGTAGGAGAAAGGCCGCTGCCAATGTATTCACCGACCTCGACATCTCCGATGCCGAATCCACCTTGAGACTGGGAAACCAATGTCTCATGAAAAGTACCAGGACCAAGAAAGCCCCCAAAATGAAGCAAAGATGCGGATTACTCGACTTGCCAGTGGAAATCCGGCTCAAAATATATGACCTGCTCCTCGTCAGTCGATTTAACCGATGTGACCACCCATACTGGGCAGTTGGAGACAGTTATCAGAAGTTGATCATGCTGGATGTACTTCAAAATCGACGGCACCGAACAATGGAGCCAGCTATACTGCAAACATGCAAACAAATCTACCACGAAGCAGTCCCAATTCTTTACTCGCGGAACGTCTTTCGCATCAGCGGTGCGAGTTGTATGTCTCAACTTATGGATCAGATCGGGCAGACAAACACAAGGATGATTCAACATATTGATATCTACATACCTCCTAATTGTAACAAGTCTTCGTGGATGCACCTGTTCCAAGTCCTGCCCGAAACGACCCTGTGTCTGAAGAGCGTAGTCGTTAGGTGGTGGGGGATCTATAACAACCTTTGGGAAGAAAGCTTGGGAAAGGATATACCTTTTGCTCAGGCCCTCGCTAGACTTTCGAAACTCGGCATAGAGAAGCTGAGACTAGAGGGATCCTACGCTAAACCCTGGCCTGCGTACTTTCGAGATAAGTTTGGGGCGCAAATGGTTGACGTGGAGGATGGTTGTCCGCGTCCGCTCAGAGGAGACAACGACGATGACGATACACGCAAGTGGAGGGCGGATACTTTGGAGAAATTCAGAAAATACCAGGAAGGAACAGAGTCGCTGAATCCATGGGAGGGAGATCGCCATTGAAGCATTTTGCCTTGGCAAGCATGAGCTTGTCCTTCCTTTCCAGATACATGAATATATTGTCACCATGCGCATCAACTGAGTCACAAGATAGAAGCATACAGCCAGGGTCATGCATTATACATGGCCGGTCTTTGAATAAGTATTCTAGCAAGATTCATGAAAGTGTTTCTATTGTCTTGGTCACCATGGTCTCAATCTGCTGCCATCTGCGCCGCAAGAGTTCGCGCTGGCTACTCGAGCCACTCTCTACCTCATCTATATCACCGAGTGTCTTTTCAATGATGTTCAAGAAATCTTTCAGGGCTGTCAACAATAATTCATCAACCTCAGCCTGTGATGAACGTCCATCGTCTTGAGCATCAAAGAACCGCTGCCATTGTCTTTGTGTGCAGCATAGCATTCGCAGGGCGACCTGAGTTCTGTGACAGCCTATTGTCTGGTCATCGAGAGTGTACCGTCCGAGAAAGTTGATACTTTCAAGGTCGGCACGCTGTGTCTTGTTCAGCCGTGGAAGAATCACTTCATCTAGATAAACCTCGTCCCATCGGTTTGTATCCAGAATGAATCCGTACTCGGAAAGTAAAAAATCATTTGAGTGAGGGCCATACGATACGTAGACTTCCTCACCTTGGCGATAGACTCTGTCAGCTTGGACGCTGTATCCCAGGGCTGAATATGCGAGCTTGCATCCTTGGTCAGCATGATTGAAGAGGTCGGCTGTTGGCATGCAGACTAGTCGGTCAGCATGAGCGTAGCCTTTCATCTTGGGCATGCTGTTGTAGAAGGTTCTGGTGTTGATAAGCACCCAAGAGTATAGGTACTCATCCCTGGTCAACTTTGGGAATGCTTTCAGGACAATTTCGCACTCGCGTCTGAATGTGGTATTCTGATTATCCAGGAGGTCCTTGGCCCTTTTAGGGAGAAGAGCTTGAAGTTCACTCGGCCACATCATGGGCACACCAGCCTCTAGGTCTTCCCGAGTTGGTAGGACTGTTTTCCATACAGAAAAGTCATCACTTTCGTCAAGGGCAATTTCGGCAGCCAAGACGCCATGAACTGAGACTCCTTGAAGGGCTTCGGTGATGTTCTTTGGCACTGTATCAATAGTGCGAAGTGCCTTCATTGGCACACTCAAAATAGTTTCATTTGGCTTAAGAAAAATTAGTATAATTCCGAAAGGGGACTTATTGCTCACCTTGATATCGCGAGTTGCGACAATACCAATACCTCGACCTGGAAGAATTCGAGGTTCAACACCTTTTAGTTTGACTCCTTTACTTTCTGCCCATGGCAGAAAAGCAGGATCAATGAGCATTTTGGGCCAAATCTACTCTCAATAGGAGAAGTTAGAAAGTGAAATAAAAAGTCAAAGCTGTATAAAATATGTACATGTTCCCTTTGACTCATTCATTCACTTTCATGTTAGATCCTTTGCAAAGTTTCTACTGGATGGCGAGCTCAATACCGCTGAGTAAGCCCCCGAAAACCGAAGGTCGGCGCTGAAGCCACGGCCACGTGATGCCATAAGCGTCATAGCTAGCTCTCATAGCTGCCTTCACTCATGATGGTTTGGTTCACATCCATTCAAGCCTTGTTTGACCGAGCATGATCAGAGTTGATTCTTGCCAGTAACTTTTTGTTTTACTTCTTTAACTGTCCGATTTATTTGTTACACAATTAATTCAGACGTTCTTTCTTGTTCATTCACATGACAAATATTCACGAAGTCTCAAGGGAGTAGAAATAAAGACAAGACAACTCTAACCTTAACAACACGTCGCAACTTTATCTTGCTCACAATCGCTCAGTCGCCCACTATTTTTTCAACTTTTCCATAATTAAAGTCAAGAACTTCTCATCGACAACATAATTCACTATGTTTTACGAGGGAACCCTTCAGGAAGGCATCTCGACAGCCGTCGGCCAGCAGAAGCTCGTTCTATGTTTCGTGACAGGTATGTTTTGTCATCACGCTGACCCACGCAATAACTCACATGCCTTTTAGATGAAAGTGATGAGAGCACACAATGGGAAAATGAGTTTCTGGTCGATGATACGGTAGGGATTATGGAAATCTGCAGATCATATGTGATGGGGCTAATTACGGTGTAGTTGAGCGACTTACTCAAGGAGCATTCTATTGCACTCCGTCTCAAAGCTGGGTCCGAGGAAGCCGGATATCTAGCTCAGATCTTTCCTCTACCACGGACTCCGACTGTTGTTATCATTAAGAATGGAGAGCTGAAGGAGTATATCACACCGGGGACCAGCAAAGAGGATTTCTTGCGGAGAGTTCAGACTGCTTTCAACTCCACAGCTGCAGCTGCAGCTCCAACCACCACTCAACCAACCCCAGCACCAGAGCAGGCCAGCCCACCACAACACCAGACAGAGACACCTGCAGCTTCAGAACAGCAGAACACTCCACCAACAGCAGCTCCTTCAACGTCAGAAAATGTTCGTCGGATATTAGCTGAGAGGGCTGCCAGGCTGCAAGCCCAAAAGGAGGAGAACGAGCGCAGGGTGAAGGAGGAGCGCGCGAGGACGAAAGAGAAAGCCAAGGCTGAGGCCGAAGCTGGTATGGATACGGACAATGCCCGAGCTCACAAGGCAGCTGAGGCAGTGAGGAAGAAGAAACAGCAAGACCAAGAGGAGAGAGCGCGAATTCTCAAGCGCATCGAAGACGACAAGGCAGAACGACGCCTACGTGCCGAGCAGCGTGAGAAGCAGAAAATTGATAAGCTCAAGGGTGGCGACGTTGCGGCATCGTTAGTGAGCGCACCAGAGACGAAGCTTTCTAGTTCCTCCAGGACCGGCGCGATAACGGCTCTTCAAGTACGCTTATTTGACGGATCAACGTTGAGGAACCGATTCAAGACGACTGCGCACTTGAAGGAGGTCCGACAATGGGTGGATGAGAACAGAGGCGATGGTTCACAGCCGTACACGTTCAAGCAGGTCCTCACACCTCTACCGAATAAGAACATTGACGAGACTGAGGAGGGCAAGCCGTTAGGAGACCTCGGGCTTTCTCCGTCTTCGACACTGGTGCTTATCCCTGTCAAGAAGTTTACGACCGCCTACGATGATTCACAGGGCATTGTTTCGAAAGTCATTGGATTCATTCTCAGAATTTTCACATGGTTTTTCAGTCTCTTTGGAGGCGGTGATGAGCGCACCGGGCATCAAGGGCCTACGAGCGATGCGCCGGCCAGTTCGCAGGAGCGGGTTCAGTCATTCCAGAATCGCAGAGATCAACAAAGAGATCAACAGTTGTACAATGGCAATTCGGTAAGACCCGACAGCCCACTCTGAATCATGAACTTGCTAACACCACAAAGCTGAACTTTGAGCCACGACCAGAAGAGGAGGAAAAAGATGATTGAAGGGGTTTCCCAATTTGAGTGGGAGTAATGTCTTTTTTTGTTGTATTATACAATTGACAGTGCTGAGATGTAACAGTAGTATTTCCCCGCCAGATTCCTATATGCACGCACGCTGTCAGGAGATATATATCCCCGATGTTGTTTCCCTTCCCATAGTGATATCAAGTCCCTTTTGTTCCCTTTAACCTCTAATTCGTCCACGCTTACTGACCGGCGGCGGCCTGGCAAGCCTTGAGTTGCTCAAGGTACCAGTTGCAGATCTGCATGTTTCCGTTGTTCTCATCCATGCACTTTGTGAAGTTCTGGGCGACACCAGCGCAGTTGTTCTGGTTCCAGGACTGCTCTTGGGTAGCGGCCTGGGCCTGGACGGGGGCAGCAGCCTCGGAGGAACCGCCGGAGAAGAGACCGCCGATGGCGTGGCCTACTGAAGAGCCGATAGCGACACCGCTGAGAACGAGTTAGCCACACGTGTTCGAAGTGTAAGCTTTACAGGTGCTTCGGGGTCTATTGCTCCACCCGGAGCTTGGAACTCCGAAGACACCAATTGTTGTAGATTCGCAAGGGGATGCTTACGCAGCAGTGCTGGCCATCTGACCGAACAGTCCAGGGCCCTGAGAACCGGCAGCCTGGGGAGGCATAGCCTGGGCAGGAGGGTGAGCAGCGGCGGGAGGAGCAGCGTGGGTGGCGGCAGGGCGAGTCTGCTGAGGAGCAGGCTTAGGAGCAGCAGCGGTAGGGCGCGAAGGAGCGCGGCCGACGGATCGTTGACGAGGCATTGTGGTGGTTGGTTGTGAGGTTTTGCTGAAAGATTTGGTGATGTGGTGTTGGTGTTGAAGAACAGAGTTCAAGATGTTGAGTTATGAGGAGAAAGATCGGAAAGAAAGAATACCGGAGGCACGGATTTCGGAGGCGCAAAAGAATCAACCAATCACAAGAGGCAAATTTCAACGATGGATGGGGAAGATTGGCCAGTAGGGCCTCGGTAGAGGCATTTCCCCAAGTACCAGGGGTCCAGAGCACTCCAGGACCTTCCGTTGACAGCCGCTGGGCAACTTTTTAGTGGATACCTCCATTAATTGAGTCATGAGGTTAGTGAAGGCTACGATTGATTACGACCGCTTTCAACAACGGAGATATCGGGCATTTCACTATCGGATATAGGTCTTTTGTAAATGCAACAAACGGTGAGTAAAGCAGTCTCGCAAATTCATTCTAGACGGTAACTCTAGAGCGGTCTGTTCTACTATATCAAAGCCCTGTACTCCATTTTCGTTATACATCTCATAAACGCATCGTTTACGGTGTGCATCTGCCCATGTAACGGGGATACAAGCAAGCTTCTCGCACAGTCCAGAGCTTGAGAAGCCACGCCAGGAAACTAAACAGTTGTCAGTATACATCCAATTGTTGTGGTGCCAAATAACGTACCGCTCAGCTCCCAGACCGTATCCTCCGTGAGGAGTAGATCCGTACTTGCGCTGGTCAGTGTACCAGAAGTATCCTGTTGGATCAATGCCCTCTCGCTTGTAACCGGCCATGAGCTCCTCATAGTCCCAAATTCTCATGCTGCCACCGACAATCTCGCCAACTCCAGGCATCAGAACATCGACGGACTCGGTCACCCGGGGGTCGTCCTTAGCCCTTGACATGTAGAAGGACTTGATCTCGACGGGGAAGTGAGTGAGGAAGATGGGGCGGTTGATCTCGTCGGTCATCTTGCGCTCAGCAGCCTCGGCACTAGTTCCCAGTCAGTTTGGGCGCATTCAGAACTCACGAAACACTTACATATCGTCGCCAAAGGTGTGGTCGTTGCCATCCTCGTTCTTAATACCGCGCTCTCGTAGCCAGTCGATGGCATCAGAGTATCGCATGCGCAAGAATGGTCGAGAAGGCTTCTCGAAGTCAGGGTTGTACTTCTTAATAGCCTCAGCGGCAATAGGGTTGTCGAGGGTCAGGTCAATCACACGGCAGATGACGTGCTCAAGATGGTCCAGGAGGTTGTCGAAGGTAATGAAATCCAGTTCAGCCTCGACGTGGGAGTACTCAGAAAGCTGCATTACAGTCAGATGCGGTTCACTCGGATAAAATATCTAGCGAGTTTTGCCAAAAAGGAGATACTTACATGGCGACGGGTAAGAGACTTCTCAGCACGGAAAGACTTCTCAATGCAGTAGCAGTCACCAAGGACAGGCAGGACAGTCTCGAGGTAAAGCTGACTGGACTGAGTCAAGTATGAAGTCTCGCCATAGTAGTCGAACTTGAAAAGAGTAGAACCACCCTCGACCTGAGTCTGCACAAGGGCAGGGGGGCTGACCTTCTTGACATCCAGCTCGTTGTAGACGGTGTGGAAAGCATCCTCAACGATGTCGCGAACGAACATGACAGCGGCGGGCTTCTCGTGGCGGAGAGTAAGGTGGCGGAGGTTCATGAGGGTGTTGATGTCACCGTCAACGGGGACCAAGTTGGTGAAGGCCTCATCACCACCAGGGGCCTTGGCGATGACCCTGAAGTAGTCGGCGCGAAGTTCGCGATCGAGAGGGGCGTGGGCACCGGCGGGAACCTCCCAAAGCTCACCAATGATCTCGAGAGAGGTCTCTCGTGAAAGGGTAAGAGCATCGTAGGTCTTGGAGAGATCTCCAGAAAGCAGACATTGCATGTAGTTGAGACCGCGGCGCAGGGTCACAAAGATGAGACCACCCTGCTTAGCAACACGGTTAACACGGCCCTGGACAGAGACGCGCTTGACTCCCTCAGTAGGCTCATCCTTGCTCTTTCGGAGTGTACCAATCTTTGAAGGGTCGGTCTCCTGGAGGTTGATCGTAACAGGCTCAGGAAGTGAAGGGTCGTTGGTGATCTTAAGCTTCTTAGCCTCCTCGAGAACAGCCAAACGAGCGGCCTCGTCCTGGGCATCCTTCTCAGCTCGCTTAGCAGCAGCCTCGGCCTTCTTCTTCTGCTGAGCAGCGTAGGCGACAGCCTTCTTCAAGGCTGACTTGGCAGCAGGCTTGTACTCCTCATCGTCCTTCTTCTTAACTTGGTACTCGGACTCGGCTCCGTGGCGGTAGTAGGCTTCAAGAAGAGTCTTGAAGGGGGCGGCCTCAGTGCCCTGAATCTCGGGGAGATCGCTTCCGGCTTCTTCGTCGACGTAGATAACCGCCATTTTGTGCTGTGCTATGTTTTCTGCTTCAATCGATGCGAAAACAGAAATCGCGGCCTTGGGTTGGAACTTGGAGGGGTTGTGGTGCCCCGCGATTGTTCCCCTTGACTCACGTCCGATAATGGTGGGGTGAAAAATTGTTAGTCACCTCAATGTCTTATCTTTCCACGTATTAAAGCGATAAGAGCTCAACTTTACCAGAATCCTTATGCGATGCCGGAAGACAAGGTAGATGCTATCCAGTAAGGAGCTCCTGTAATTTTGATACCTTATCTTAACTTCACAGTATGTGCTAATTGAAATACATATGTATCTCTCCTCTCGAAGCCAAGTTCATGGTATCTAAAGAAACACAAATTTCGGAAGCAAGCTGCGTTTCATAAGAGTCTGATGTCTAATTGTAGATGTCTCATCACTATCTCCCTAATCAAAAAAGTCGATCCCAAGTTCCGAAACGCCATGCCCAGTGAAATCAACTTTTCAAGGAGGCCGTGTAGGCCTCATCCATCTAAGCCCTTTGCGTTTTGCCTCACACGATCTGGGTATCATTGTAAGCCTCCTCCTGAATCTGCACGCTGAAATCAATCATCAACAGTCGGCGCCAGATTCTGTGCATTTTCTAACCCTTTGGCTCATCGGCATACTTCTGGGTTGCGATTCAGTTCTTTGACCTATTCTTTTTGTTCTTCTTCTGCTTCTTCTTGCTCTTGTCTTTTCCTTCAGCAGAAGAGCTAGGTTGAGATGGAACAGGTGACTCCTCTGCAGGTCGCTTTCGGTTCTCGACAGACTTGAGCAGTGCCTTGGCCCGCTCCTCTGCAATCTTTTCGGCGAGCTTGTTGCTGATTGTTTTGTTGTCACCCTGTGAAAAGTTAGTCTTGGATCCGTTGTGATTTTAGAAAGCTACATACCAGGTCCGCCTTGAGGATACGCGCGGTAGCCTCTTGGTTAATAGTCAGAGTACGCGTTTCAGGCTCCGGAGGAGACTCGATGTTCTTGATCTTTCCAAAGTATTGCTGAATTCGCTTGAGCTCAGTAAGAACGGCTTGTGTTTGTGTGTCATTGCCTTCGTTCAATTTCAGCGATGCTATCACGAATGTTAGTATTAATCATCTGGCGTCGTGTGGATTTCGGGAAAGCTCACAAAACATTAGAGATTCGATTGCGTAAGCTGTGAGTGAGAACAGTTTTGCCTTGTCTAATAGGGGCAACTGAGAGGCCATGCCTTCGAGGTTGCCCAGCAAAGGCTGTAGCTTTTCTTCGAGATCATCAAGCTGATTATCCAGCCGGTCAAGATCCGGTGTGATATCCTTGACGTCTGTCATCTTGACTTCGTTGTGCGTGAGTATGAATGTTGAGAGGCGCAATGTTGAGATGTTCACATCGTCGCATGAAAGACTTCGCTCAGGCGCAGAAACTTGTCAACCATGAGACCCAATTAGGCTTAGCGACTTTGGCATTCATGAAGCGAAGTCATGCAACTAAAGGGTAGCGTATGTAGACGAAATCTCAACTTCCTTGGGCTGAAAGAAACAAGTGAGTGTTGAAAGTGTAAGCTCTTCATAAGTTGCGAAGCTCTTTCAGCTTCTATGATTTTAGTTACTAGCATTTCTTTTTCATGATGCTTGTAGTCTTTCAGTATCACTGATTTCGGTATCAGCCCGAACGATATCGGAGACGAGCACCCATTGGCCAATTATTGATACTTCAAGCCCCACCACTGAAGATCGAAAACTTAGGCTCTTGTTACTCTAATTGGCCATGGTCTAAGTCCAGCTAAAGGAAAAAAACGGGCTCGCCTCTGTCATTCTTTCAATGCATCACCAATCTGCTATCGATATCACCACCTTTAAGTCAACTCAACGACTTCACAACCTGACGAGAAAGAAACCCGACGCATCTCTAAGCGACTTTACCAAAAGCCGTGTCCCACAGGCCAGACCTCATCGCTTCTCGCTCGAGTCCGGATGCGCGTGTGCGCATAATAAACTACCGATCTTTCGGCTTTTGAGCCACCTTTTCTCTTCACGACGACCCGATCACTACCGTCAAGCTGGCAATTCTAATGCAACCGCGGGCGACCGCTCAAATAGCGAGGACATCGACCCGATGGCTCCGAAATAGGCTCAATTTCGGCTATACACGACTCTTTGCTTCGGCAGTGCCACCGACAGAACAAAAGAAACCAGAGGCCGTGCCCCCAGAACTGGGCAGTGCGCCATCACGGCCATGGCAAAGCTCTGGTACCCAAGCCGGATCGGTGACACCTACGTCAACAAGCCCTTCGTCGAAATTCTACGTCCCCTCGGTTGTCATTCCAGCTGAAGCAGCGAAATCTGGACCCGTACATAAAATTCATATCCTGGGCGAAGATGTGAGGTCAAGATTCATCGCCCACGCTCTATGCAGTGTTTACGATTCGGTTGAGACGGTACCATTTCGCGAAATGCCCAAGTCAAGATATCGAAATGTCGAAAAGGTTCAACGTGACAGAACGAGGAAGAATGCGTTTGCCGAGAAGAATGCAGCCATGCCCGAGGACAAGAACGAGCCAATCCACGAAGTTGTACCTGAACCTGACCGCTCGCATATCGATGAGTTGATTGTTACCGGCCGTGGTTTTGAAGCTGTCAAGGCGATCGTCTCAGTCAAAGACCGGATCGACGATAAAACATCGATTTGTCTTCTTAATGATGGCATGGGAGTTCTCGAGCGAGTCCGCGAGGAAATTTTTGACGGAACCCAGCCTGAGCCTAACTTTTACTTGGGCCATATGTCGCACGCGCTCGTTTTCAACCGGAACAGGGATTCCGTTAAGCAGTTGAAGACTGGGCGAACAATTTTCACCAAGGCCGATCCGATACTGAATGCGCAGAAAGAGCTCTATACCCCCGCCGAGCAGCAGCCCAGTTTGATGCATTCTTTGAAAAGGGTCAAAGAGCTTAACACAACTTTCAGCACTTATGAGCACTGGCTAAGGTTCAAACTGCCTTCCATGATGTTCACAGCTGCTGTTGAGCCCGTCTGCGTGCTCCTTGACCTCCCATACCAAGGTCTGATGGACAATCGATCTGCTCAGAAGATGATGAATCAGCTTCTGGCGGAAATGGCTCTGGTGACGGAGAACATGCCCGAGGTCAAAGACTCGCCAGACCTCATAAAGTTTCTCCGTGGAGAAGGTCTGAAGAAGTTCTGCTACCGCCGCATTACTGGCAAGAGCAAGGCTCCTAGTGATCTGCTGCAGCGCATCAACAAGGGTCTACAAACAGACATGAACTATCAGAATGGATACTTCTTGAAGCGAGCCAAGATTCTCGGCATAGACACACCAACGAATCAACTGATGGTGCAAATGATCAAAGCCCGTCGCGCTGAACAATTGGCAAAGTTACAGTCCATCATACCAGTCCAGGAGGCATCGCCAAACGATGTTAGGAAGAAGACTCAGCAGCGCATGTTAAGAAATGGCTTTTTGTAGAATAGGGCATTGACGAATTGCATCCTTGGCGCTTGGAGCATTCTATATATAATTGGATATTCTTAAAATAGCACTTTAACTATTCAAACTGAAGATGGTCAACAGTTTCTTCTTTATTAACAGAATATGGACACCAAATCAAGAGTATCATGATGTTTAATGTGTTGCTTGATTTCGCTTACGTAACCCAAATGCCCCTCCTACGATGTGCAAAGCAACCCCGCGGCGTTGGGCTGATCTCGCGACTTACAAAACCGTTAAACAACGTCACGTATCAAGATCATGGATGACGCAGAGCTAGAACAGGTAGCTCACTCTCGTGGCTTCTATCGAGAAATAATCACTGATGTTCTTCACAGTTACGAAAAGCTCGTCTAGAGCAACTGAAGGCTGAGGCTGGTGGCAGTGGAGGCGGTTCTTCTGGTCAGGAACAACAGCAGCAGCGCCAGTCAGTTATCTCGATCCATATCGTGCGATGCTTTCTTACTGACCTTAAATAGACAACAGCAAAATGAAGCTCGCCAACACATCCTCAACCAGATCCTCCATCCCGAAGCCGCCGACCGTCTAGGCCGTATCCGACTTGTGAAGGAGGAGCGCGCCGCCGACATTGAGAACCGACTTATCACGCTTGCGCAGACAGGGCAGCTACGACAGAAGGTCACTGAAGAGCAACTCAAGGAGCTTCTCAATGCTATGTCGGAGAGCAAGGAGGAAGAGAAGATTGTTGTGAGCAGACGCAAGGCGTGGGATGATGATGACGATTTGGACCTGTGAGAGGTGCTTGTGATACCATGGAATTGAAGATCAGAGCGAGGAAATAAGGCAAATTCGTAGGCGGGACCTGCTTTTCTGTCTCGAGTGAAAGGAAACAAAATGAATGTGATGGCTCGGTGCAGAACCTGGGAAATTTTCCTCAGATTGCTGAGGACGCCGATCGGGGTTTCAACCTGTATGGTTTGATGATGTGCATGATTCAATTTACTTCACAGTCGGATTCTGGAACAATAACTTTGGCCTCAATAACAACGCTAATTGGCAATTCTAATATGTGACACCTTTAATACAGTAAAGTACAAGTATTATACGAGAAGTTAGATGGAAGAGGACCAGCAGAGAATTATAGCCCTTGCTCTCTCAGTTCTTTGAGTCTCTTCTTCTCCTCCCTCTCCCTCTTTCGAATGTCTCTCATATCGGGCGGTTGCTCAATACCCAGCTCTTTTCTCAAGTCACTAACGTCATCCTCAAGTCTCTCTTCCCAGAATACATTGATAACCTCTTTGCTCCGTGCTCCGTTCTTCAGAGCCCAGGGTAGATATATCGAGGCGAATCGCTGTCTCTCGCTCCTCTTCATGGTAGCAGCCGCAAAGATACTCAACCCGGTCATGGGAAGCAAAGTATTGGCAAACTCAAAAGCCTTGAGAGCAACTTCACCCTCGCGCACAATGGGCAGGCCAGTCAAAGCGTGGTAGAAGTCGTGGCACTCGCGGTATCGCTGCATGACATATGCGCACTCTTCGTCGTCGATGTACCGCACTGTAGCTCGGGTGTCGGGGGAGACGCCTTCGCGATCGAGCCAGCCTACGTAGGCGCGGCCAACGGAGTTTTCGGGCAGTGCGCGTAGAGCTTCGAGGGAGAGGGTTTTTGAGGAAATTCGGGGTCGAGCTCGGAGGATACGACGGCCGGTTGGGTCGGCAAGCATGGCGTCGCGAAGGCGGTAGATAAAGTAGGGTGTAGCAGTGGCTTCGCCGGTAGCGGCGATGAGGTCTAAGGGAGGTCAGCCAGGAAAACAGAAGGGTTATATAAGGGAACAAATCACATACCATGGCGATAGGGATCGAAAAAAGACATGACGCTGGCTCCAATGGCCAGCCCAGCCCGTTCAACTCTCGTTAGAGGAACATGGCCTGGGTAGTTTGGTGGGGGGCGGTTTAAGCTGGTGAAGCTCCTCGATGACGAAGAACAGCAAGATGCACAAGATGCTGCCCGTATCAATGTGCTAGCATTCCGGGCAGATCCAATTGATCTTAGTTTAGGAAGTGCGCTCTCCATTTGGGCTCGTTATCTGAGGAAGATGGTAGTGGTTCGATGTTTAAGCTCTGGTGGTGATCCGATGGGCTAGGTCATGACTCAGCTTTGAGAATTACCGAGAGAACCATAACGAATCAGCGCTGAAGTTTCTTAGGTGGAACTGTATGTTCAATTTCATCTAGTTTGACGGAAATAATTTAAGTTTTTGTATATCTTATCAAGATCTCGGCAAGTCGACGGAAATAATGAACGAGTCTATTCACAGTATCCGAAATGATATCTTGGTTCTATACTGTAACCAGCCTCGTAAACTCAACCCTTCCAGCAAAGGTAAAAACAAAGAGAAGATGTTCGGAGCAATAAAGGCTTCATATTGATTGTGTAATTGATCAGGTACATTCGGGTCTTGTACTCTAGAACTACCTTATTCAACCCGAGTCGCTGTGGCCAAGAAATGTATCATGCCGAACCCCGGATTTCCTCTTCTCCGCACCCATACACCTTTTTTTCCGATTTGCCAGCCTCCCAATTCAACAACTTCATGCATTTGATGACCTCGCGCCTCCGGCCCCGGCGGCGGCTTCATGTGGACTTGTTTTAGAGTCGGTGGGGCTTGTCGGAGCCTGAGCATATTACAAACTTGCTGCTCCGTCTGTCTGACTATATTCAAGTCACACGAGCAGCCTTTCACCCCTGGTTCAAGAGTGAGAATCTCCAATGACTGGGGGAGGGCGTCATGTAGCATTATCTGTTGCTCTGTACCTTCACCTGTGGATCCAACTAAGTTGAGCCTGCCAATGTATAGATGTCTAAGGCCTGTCAGTTCTCTGAGAGATCCGACGTAGTTATGTGGCCCGGCTAACTGAGGATCGTAGATTGGTTTCGATATTGAAAGCTCGACCAAATTCTGCCCAAACTCTCTCAGAACGGAACCAAAGTCCTCAAGATTGCTTGTAGGATCGTCATGGCCTCCAAAGCCCTCAAGGGCCAAATTGAGATGTTTGAGATTTCTGAACCTCTCCAAGATGCGTTTGAGTAAATAGGGTGTCAACGCGCAGTTGTCAAAGTCGAGACTTGTCAGGTTGCTAGGCACATTGCTATGACACAAACCTATACAAGAACCGCGCAACAGTACAAAGCCGTCAAGTTTCAGGGCCTTGATATTTGGATGGTACAGAAGGCCCCTCAAGGTTCTCGCTCGTGTTGGCGGCGCATTCGGCGAGTCGTAACCGACTCTGAGAGCTACCGTCTCGAGATCGCGGAAATAGCGCGTGTTGGGGACAAGGTCATGGCGGGAACGACCTTTGTCGCTCTCAAGTCCATCACAACCGTAGTCCTCGTCACGGTTGAATCTCTCACTCAAAAGAAACGGCATAGAATTCATGTCGTTAAGTGTCAGGTCGATCTTTTGCAGACGTGGCATCAGAAGCAAGAAGAGCGCTCGCAAACTTGGGTATGGCCTATCCCATATATCGGATTCCAACTCGCGCAGTATGACAGTCCTGAGACCTGGGGGAATGCTATCACAGTCGGTTGATAGGGAAAAGTTTAAGAAATGCTTGGCCAGGCTGTGAATAAGATCAGGGGACGCTATGTGATCGAACCTCCCGATGCAGAGCTGCTTCGTGTTGAGACCTAGTTTAGGATCTCGCTGTAGGTCTGTTGCAAGTTGCTGCCATCGTCGACCGTCGTCCTCCTCAAGGAGAAAAATGTTTGTATAAAGGGATGCCTCCGCAAGCGGACGGAATTTTTTGCAAACGCGGCTCAGGGACAAGAGTGACGAATATGAGGATTTGGGGTCCTCTTCATCTTCCGCATCCTTGCACTCAAGGTTGGAAAAGATGTGAGCCAAAATCTCGTTGGGCATGTGCTGCATCATGGCGATGGTGATTGAGGTAGTGATTGAGGTACAGTGGAATGGAAATGAGGGCAGAGAAGATGTTGGATGCCAATGGATTATGAGCAGGCTGCCAGCTCATACTTGCTTTAAGTACTAAAGGTACTTACGTTAGGTACATATGTTGTGTAACACACGATAGGTAGGGTATCACCAGAGTCACATCATTCACAGGCAGGCTGCGACCAAATCAAGACTATTGCCGTAATCTGGAATGAGACCTTACGTATTCGCCAATTACACCGCTTTCTCTCTAAAGATGTCTCTTTCCTCTTTCCTCAGCTGAAATGTCTCGTGTGTATCACACCGGTTACTCGTAGAGACGTGATGCAATGAATCTGTCACACAACAGTCTGCTTGCTTTTCCTCAAATTGATCATTTCTTTCCAAGCCACATTTTCATATCTCGTTAGGTAGGGAGATCCAATATCCATCCTAATCCCCGCGTATCAATTCAAGTCTCCGATAACGTGGCTCAGTGGTAGTCAAACAGCGTAGTTCTGCTGTGTTCTTGACGCTCCAGCCCTTAACTTTGGTGAAGTTGGTGAGCCTGTCGTCCTGGTCGTTCATATAACAACCATATACGACCTCCTTTAGGTTAGGGAATCGATTGTTGTTAAATAAGCGAATCACTTCGTCGTCGTCCGCAGCAGACTCTTGTGCCTTAGTGTCGCTATGTTTCGGCCAGTACTCGTCCACGAATTCCATTTCAAACGTCTCAAGTGATCCAGGCAAGGCTTCCGTTAGTGGGATTGTGCCCTCGCCTGCACCAAGAAGCACAAATTTTGGAACTGAAAGGTGTCGGAGGCGCTCAAGTCCTTTTAGAGAGCCAATCTCGCGTTGAGCGTACTCTTCGTCCTCGTAAAATCTCAACTTTAGGCTGACAAGATCCTGTCCAAAGTTTCTGAGAACGCTTCCAAATTCTCCTAGATTCACCGCCAAATCCGTATCCTCTATGTCGTAGCAATCTGTAAGATCCAGGTCCAAGTTCTGTAAGGCCTTGCATCGAGAAAGATTGTACTGTAGGAAGGCAGGTCTGATCATACCGGCATCGATTCTCAAACTCTGTAGCCCGCTTTGGAAGTCTTGGGCCATGGATTTGTTAATAATGAAGGAGGGTTCGAAAGGTGATAAGAAGAGTTTCTTGATGTTGGGAAGGAGTAGTAAGGGTTCCATGCTAAAGTTGCTCCAATCTCCAAGCTTGAACGGTATTGGCGACCAGTGTACTTCTTCTAGTTGACCGAGGTAGTTCGCAACTAATTCTGGTCGATCTGATATGCCAGGTTGGGGATTCTTCAACTCTCCCCCTAGGATCCAAGTCAGTGCCTTGGATTTTGTCTGGTGGTCTGTCAATGCGACCATCCGAAGGTTTGGCATGAGGGCCAGAAGCAAGCATGTCTCAATCTCAGTGGTAGAGTGTCTGTCTATATCTTCCTTCAGTAGGTCTCGGAGTCGACTAGGGATTTCAACACGTTCAATGCACGGTGGCCAAAACTCACTGTCGACTAAGGAAGTTTGCCAGTCTCTTGAGTGACTCAGATCGATTGCACGGATTTCCGACCTTAGCTCCGAGTTTGAAAGGAGCGTACGGGCGAGTAATCCCATCTTCATCTTGTTCTGTTGCCTGGATACATTTACACTTGAGATGGTACGATACAGATTTCGCCTAGCCAATCTGTAGAACCTATGGCTGACAAGACACAGTGATGTAAGAGTTGGGATATGAGTGTCTTTGCGGAATGGATACAGGCCTTGATCCGATCCATCATCGAGATCTATGGTATCCTCCAAGTTGGAGAATACAAGCTGCCAGATCTCATTACACAAGTATGGAAGCATCTTTGTGCTAGAAGCTGCGTTAGTCTTCGGTATCTCCTCCTCTTTCTAAGCGACACTTACATGTGTTGAGTGTTTTTAGTGAAGTGGGGTTTCGAGTCGTCAAAGATCGAGGGAGCAGAATTAACCACAACGAGAAGACCGGCTCCCAAAAGCTTTTTATAACCCCCTAGAAAGAAGCTTTTGTGAGCTTCATAACTCTTGGCGATTACCTGAAGCTTGATTTCAAAGTTAGATGCGCCTGAACTGGATCAAAACTCAGAGCTAAGAGCTTATTTACCAACTGTAAATATCCTCCTACGCTGTACCGTACATGAAGCTTCTTATTGTGAAGTCAGACTTCGGTAAGGACATACTCAAGGGAAGTCACAAATGACTGAAGGACAACCAGTACATTAGCTAAGAAAGTCTCACCCCATGTCAGTATAAGGTAGATATGGCTGACGCCCTTTGAAGCGCATTTGTTGCCGTCTAGCGGCCAACACTCAACAACCCAATCTAAGTCCATGGGCTACCAAATACTATCTAAGCCATTCAAGTCTTGCGTATTTATAAATACTTTTCGCTTATCGTGAGCTAATTGAGCTAGGTAATCTTATTCTAACTTCTTACTGGGTCTCATGAGAACGCTTATTCTGTGGAGCATGTCGAAAGAGCCAGGCATTTATACGCAGTGGACATCTGATTCCCAAAGGAAGATTTGTTGAGAAAGGACAACTAGTCTTCATTCTTGATCCTCGCTTTGAGCTCTTGTCTCACATGCAGCCAAAGAACATCATTGCAACACCTGTACTGTACAGCATGATCCCAAGCCCGGTGGGGTTCGCGCAGCAACGTTCAAAGTTACAATGGCAAGCAAGGTCTCTACACCAGTCGAACACAAAACATTACATGATTGCTGACTCGCTATGCAATGACAGATTTGCCTCTGGTACGGGAAAATGGGGAATATTTCCACATGCCATGAAAGCTACATTTCAGGGAAGCATGGTCAACAAGATCAGGCACAATAAGACACAAGCCATCCAGCTGTAATATTGGCCCAGCGTGGGTCAACTACCCCCCTTCTAGAGAGGGGGGCAAAGGGACTTCTCGACCCGCCGGGTAATGGTGGTTTTTATTGCCTGATTGGACGAGTCGAGTTTCTCGCAAGCAATTTTCTCAAAGGATAGATCTTCATTATCTGTTCGTCTACGTGAGTTCGGCTGAAAAGCTCCGGAGTTGTCAGGGATCTAAGTATATCGTGCGACTTGTCAAGTAACCTATCACAACCTCTCTTGCGCAAAAGTGCAATCTACAGCTATCGAATCATTGAGTATCTCGTAAGTCAAACTGTGACTTTGTATAGATAGCATATGCCTAATGACTTCTCAACCAATACTGTGTGCTTCCAGCGCCAAAGGTAGTGGGGGAACAGCCCTCCCTGAGAAAGGGTGCCACCACCGACAACTCCCTTTACCTCGCTGATGAAGTATTTGCCAAAGTCTCAGTAGCTAGTTAGATGTTCTTTTTAATTCTGGCGATACACGGGATTTTGGGCGTTTTCAGAAGCATCGACCAGAGCTTTGCTGAGAACGATGTTTCTCCTTTAAGATGCAAAGACAAACTTTCGAGGATCTGACCGAGTTCATCCTTTCAAAGTACCAGCTCTAAATCATAGTCTCATCTGCTTCTAGCCACTTGGCTCTCGTTTTTATTTTTTTTATTTTTTTATTTTTTTTAAAAAAAAAAAGAGCTCGGTCAGTCGAAATATTCTTCAGTTACTACTCTACCAAGGGGGTTTCCAGTTGCTTTCTGTTCCCTTATCACTTTTTCTGCCCTGAAACTTCGCTTCGTTTAATCACAAAGACTCATATTTTCTATTTACAAAGTAGATGATCGAAATGCTGTGCAGGTCTTGAAGTCGAACGGCAAGCCATACCGCATGATAATTCCAAAGGCTTCATAGAGGAGCCACTGTCCTGGGGGTTTCAAGCCAGACAGAGAACCGATAAATTGAGGCCCATCTCCTTGGATCAACTCATCAGTTCAACGCAATTTAATCGGCGCCCTGGACTTAGTTAATTAGTCGCTGAGTGCAGAGTCTGAATAACAACAATGAGACTTGGATTCAAGACACCTGAAAGCCTTGACATATACCAGCTATTTGCAGTAACTCCTTAACATAATACATGTTGTAGCAATACCAAAAAAAAAGTCTAATAACAATCCAAAAAGCAATTCTAATAGTAAATCAAAAGGCAAGAAAGATACTCGCTCGGGCAGCCTTGCTCAGTGCAGAGACTACTGTTAGTCCAGACTGAGCCACTCTATACCCAAATCTCCTAAACTGCACATCTCTTTCACCTCTCCCCTACTTCCCTTCTTCTTCCTCCTCTTCACATTCAGATACCATACACTGTACTTCACCCTTCTTCTTCCTCCTCCTGGATGGTATCCTCCTTCGCGTGCCTCTTTGCCTCTTTGGTCACCTTGTCGGAGCAATAGGGGCATCGGCGATTGTGCTTCATTGAATAAGCAGATTTACATCCACCGCATATAGCGAGATGTTGTTTCTTCACACATCGGGTTTTGGCACTTTCATTGCACACAGGGCTGTCTTGTCAACTTCTGTAGTCATCCATTTGGGGCTTTACTTACCAATGATGTTTTCCTTGTCGCTTGCATGGCATGATGATAGTTTCAATTATCAGCTATGTGACTGGATTTGGGTGTTTTCTTTTGTGGTTCAAATGATTGCAATATGATTTGATTTGGTAGTTACTTTTCGTGTCATCTCTAGGTAGTACTTATACAAAAACGAACATAAATCAATTCTCTAGGCTTCTTTGTCTCCCATCTAAACTCCTTTCAACCTTCTCGTGAGGGTGTGACTGGCGGACAGACCAAAGCTTTCAACTTGTATTCCAAGTCTTCCCAGTCTTCTTTGTCAAACTCACCCTCGCCAATTTCCAAAAGAACACCCAGACTGTCTTCTTTGTGCAGATTTAGGGCGACTTCAACAAACTTGCGACAGATCTCCAGCCTGCTCATGGAGCTGAATGCCGCAATGAAGACGGCTTCAGCAATGTGGGAGTCTTTCGTAAGAGCACAGTCTCCTTGCCCTGACAATTCCTTACACATCTCTTTGTTGTAGTGCGCTCGATATCGTTGTAGGTCGTCTGGAGAATCCTCAAAGCCTGGCATATGGGGCCAGCCATACATCAAAGGATCCCAGTCCCTAGTGATCCATCCTGGATAAGCGGCGTACCCAAGGTGACGTGGTACCGTCTGGCAATGATCCCAGTCAATGAATCCAGTCACTTTTCCTTCTTCGTCCACAAGGACGTTCTGGGAATCAAAGTCGGGTGGACACAGAACAAAGTGAGAATGAGAATGAAGAAGTGGTGAGTTCTCCAAGAGAATTTTGAGCACTTTGGCCTCTGCATATCCCCAGACGTTGTCTCTAGTTGCAGGCTCCATGCTGCACGCCATAAACTCATCTGTTGAGAAGTATGTGCGCCCAGCTTTAGCATGCACACTGCCATCGTCCTTCTCATCCCATTCAAACACTGGACCGACAAAGATGGAACCGTCTTCTGCTTGCATGAGAGAGCCGATTTTGTCGAAGGTCATGGAAGAGAATTTAGCCATGATGGCTGCGATGCTGGTCAGAATGTTGAGACGAAACTGTTCTCGCGCCTCGGCATCCATTGAGTCTTTGAACCAGACACTAGACACGGTCTCTCCAGTAACAAAGCTCATGCAGATGAAAGGCGCACCAATTTCGTTGTTGTTGGTTGGGTCCCAGCTGTACACCTCGGGCACAGGCGCTCCGGTTTGTTCTTTGATGAAACGCATTGTTGTGACTTGCGACGCAAGGGCATCTGCTGCTGCCTTTGTCATTCCATAGCCCCAGCCTGTAGCGGGGATTCGAATAACGAGCTTGACGGTTTCTAGCTGCACAATGTGGACGATGTTGTAGGAGCCGGAAACTGTTTTAAGAAGCTCTGCATTGCCCGGGAGAACATGCAGCACATCTTTGGCGATTCTAGTGGCCAGAGCGAGGATGGACTCCTCGCTAATGTCAACGAGAGGGCCAAAGACATCACGATCAAGCTCTGAGCCGTCATCAGAGTCGTCATCAGAGTCGCCATCTGAGCCATCGTTTGAGCCGTCGTTTGAGCAGATGTCCGTGAGGTCGTCTGAGTTGATTTCTGAATCAGTGTCTGTCCATGGGTCTGAATCGTATTCCAAGGGGCTCAACATATTGGCTAGGTGAGGTGAATTGAGATTGAGGTTTGCAAAGTGTTGTTGATTGACAATGAGGGTATGGGATCACGAGAGCCCGTTGAGTTGAAGTTGGTGGTTGTTGGGTCTTAGGTCGTGGAGTTAGGTATTTATAGATCAAAGGCCATTGAATCTCTTCGCACCATGTGCTGACCTAGAACAAACAACCAACAACTGTTCCATTGGTCCACACATGCACATCTTGAACACTTTCTTTGTTCAACATCTTTAGCTTGAACATGGACGGACTCGAGTCACATTGCCCAGCACAGACCCTGAACAAATGTTTGCCTTGGAGAGTTTGTAGTCAGCCTTGGCAAAGGGCGGATGAGTTGAATGGCGTTTTGAACCAACAACCACCAGCCCAATAAAGAAATATGCAGGTCGTTGACAATTACAGATCCTCTATCAACTTTTACGAATAACTACATGAAATTATCTTTGTAGAATGCAGGAAACTTCAAAGGAGACCAGGTAAGCCAATGCTGTTCCAATGCACGCCTCCGCGTACAGGGAGGAGGGAATATGCATGACAATTGCAAACACAAACTTCTAGAAGAATGAACTTCATGTTCTAATTCACTGAACAAATTTAAGTAGATTGATTGTTCGTTTGTTTTTGAAAGGAATCGGAAACTTGATGTCAAACCTAAGTTGTAATGTCTGAACAGAGAGAGGTTAGGTGACTGAGGTTAACACCAAGTATCTAGGTAATGGAATCACGATGACCCAATGATACGTCACTCAATCTCTCACGGGCTTATACCGATATCTTCTATCAGGTACCTAGTTCAATTCCTACGATCAAAATGGCAAAATTGAGAGACAGATGTAGCTCCCTAGACCAGTGACTCCCTGGAAGCTGACTGGAGTGATGGTATTACTCGATTCTCACTCTCTTTTAGTCTTCACTCTGGCTTTCTCAGTACTCTTATATTTTTATGCCAGGCCTATCGTATTTAATGTGTCTTTTTAGGCAATTAGCCAATCGCTTCACAAATTGAGTCGTGAGTTCCGTTGATGTGGCTCCGTCTATACAAATTTGAACGGCGACCAACCACGACTCGGATTTCATCCTGTTTTCGGATATTAGAATGCAGCTTCTTATGACTTTTAATAATTCCATATAAGATCTTCATCAATTTGAATGACTATGTCGATACTAAGATTTAACAGTTCCTAATTTAGAACAGTTCTCTCCAAGATCAGATGGCTGAATCACTGAATCATTGAATGACATTGAGAGTGAATCACAAGCAGTAGCAGTAAAGCGCACTGCCAGACTAAAGCTTGAATCTTTCTAGCACATATAATCAAGAGTTTGTTAATGTTAACAGATTTGCATACTTAAAAATCATGCTCCAAGCTCCTGCTGCCCCTGATGCCCCTGAAAAGGGGAGACTGCACCCTCGAGTGCGCTAGATCACCTGACAGCTGGTAGTTGTTATTCTTGACACTGGCAGCTGAGGGAAGCACCGCCTGACGCCTTCCTCCTTCTTTAGGGGCCGATGTCGCAGGCAAGTTCCTTCATCTTGAAAAGCGGTATCACGTGGGGGCTCGCAGACGACACGGGAAGGCAGATGCCTTACATCTGCACTCAACCCACTTGCCTTCTCAAAACTGCACAGCTTCGGTGCCACTTCCTCCCACTTTGATCATTTGAAACAGACTTCGGATTCATCACCATGGATCACAGCCCGTTTCGCGATACAACTGCGGAGGATGCCATCCGTCTTGAAGACGGCGCAGCTCACCCTCTCCGCGAAAATGATCTTCATGGCAGAAGATATTTCGAGTTACTTAGTATGCGCCGGCAGCTTCCAGCCTCAGCAAAGCGCCAAGAGTTTCTCGACCTTTATCATCAACACCAGGTAGCTACACTCTTCACATCTAGGAAGATGGCACTAATACCTGCAGGTGATTATCGTGTCAGGCGAAACGGGTTCAGGCAAAACCACCCAGATACCGCAGTTCATCCTGTTCGACGAGCTTGGGTCATCAAAACCTATCGCTTGTACACAGCCCCATCGACCATCAGCAATTCCAAGTGCAGAGCAGGTCGCCTCTGAGCTAGATGTCAGAGTGGGTGAAGAAGTGGGATATCAAGTTCGCTTCGATAAACGCGTCTCCCGGGTCAAAACACGCTTAAACTACATGACCGACGGAATGCTTCTGCAGCTGGTTCAGGGCAATGGTTCCTTCGGTAAATACGTGAGTATTGTACCGAACGCCTTTCGCCACTTGCTAACACCTCCTGAAGAGTTGTGTCATCATTGACGAGGCCCACGAGCGCACCATACCGACAGACCTGCTTTTAGCACTATTGAAACGTGCCTTACCACTCTTTCCTGAACTGAAAGTGGTCATCATGTCAGCCATCCCTAACGCGGATGCATTCCTGAAATACTTCGGTCAAGGCAGTCATCTCCCTCTATCCGGCCGAGAGCATCCTGTCGAGATCCGGTATCTCCAAGAAGCGACCCCTGATTACGCTAGTCTAGCTCTTCATACTGCTAAACACATTCACGAGACTACCGGAGATGGTGATATTCTTGTCTTTATGCCGTCTACTGCCGAGATCGAAGATGCTTGTGGACAGTTGCGATCGGCAACCTGGGATCTTGAGGTGTTACCCCTTTATTCTCAGTTGGCCAAAGCTGAACAGGAAAGAGTCTTCAGACGATCGTCTCATCGTCGGTGCATCATCTCTACCAATATTGCCGAGGCCAACGTGACTGTTGATGGTGTTGTCTACATCGTTGGTATGTTGGCCATTATCAAATTACTATTCAATTCCGAACAGAGCGACTTACCATGATATTGAGATACTGGGCTGGCCATTGAGTCCCGCTACAATCCCCGCGTAGGCCTCCAGACAATTTTTACCGGGCCAATCTCCAGGACTGCAGCAGAGCAGCGAGCCAGTCGCGCTGGCCGAACTAAACCAGGCGTATGCTATCGCCTTTACACAAAGGAGGACTACGATGAAATTCTTCTTCCGACAACCCCCGCTTCTATTCACACTAGCGATCTTTCTCGTTTGGTCCTACAGATGAAGGCTATGGGATTCGATGATGTAGCCAACTTTGACTTTATTGACAGGCCTGATCCTGAAGTCTTCTTCCGTGCTCTCGAAGATCTTCTTTCTATGTACTGTCTTCCATTTTCTCATCTCGTTCTTTCTTGACACTAACTGAGAATAGGGGTTATCTTGATGATACTGGGACTATCACTCCAAAGGGTGAGAAGGCTTCAAAGCTTCCAGTCCATCCAGTATGGTTCAACGCCCTTAAAAGGGCTCATGAACTTGGCTGTAGTAGCGACATGATAACTATCGCAGCCATTCAAAGCACACGGCATCCGATCTTTATCCGTGGCCATGGCCCCAATTCCACTCCAGGTCCAGCACAGCGGTTTGTCTGCTTTACATCTGATCACATCACCCAACTCAACGCAGTGGACACATATATGAAGAAGGAAGACGAGGCCGAGGATCTCAGGCATGAGGGGATTTACATCGACATACAGCAGTGGTGCTCGGATAATTCTCTCAGTATGCGTGCCCTTGAAGAATTCAAGCGTATTCGCATGAAGTTGAGAAAGTCATTCGCCGATTTATTCAAGGATAGGCCCAAGCGATTCGCGCTCGAGGTCTCTGAATGTGATGACAATCTCCGCCAAGCGCTTGCTTGGGCCTTCAGTCATCACGTCGCTTTCAGCGACGTTGGCAGTGGGAATGACCGCTACAGAGTTCTCCATCACAACTGGCACGCTGGTTTATCTCCTGAAAGCAGTCTTGAAGGGATCAACCACAGGTGGGTCGTTTATGACTCCTTCCGCATGACTAATTGTCAATTCCTAACAACAATCACGGCCATCGAGCCCGAGTGGCTCAGGGGCGCTAAGAACTTCCGGGAGGTGAGCTGGGCGTTGAAACGTGGGGGCAAGACTGGCCCGTACAAAATGCCACTCGCAAAGGCATCCTTTGAAGAGGCTTGTGGGCCACGCACCAACGATCAAAAGGATTGGTGGTAATGAACATGTTTAGCAGTGGAAGATGTTATGGAGATTTGTTGTATTAAGGTAGTCACATGTGTTCACATGTATGTCAAGGAGCTTAGCTTTGAGTCGCCCAGATTATCGATTATCTTTGCCCTAACACTTTTGCCTAATCCGTTGACTATTTCTTATACACTTGCCCTGAGCCGTCGCCAGGTCCTCCTTCGTATGCCATTATAAACTCTCCATCTTGTCGACAACATTGTTTCATGAACAAATCTCAGCATCTGTCAAAATTACCCCCGTTCAACCATCACTAACATCAATATCACTCATTCCTTTCTTCAGTTCTTGCTCTTTTTGACTTTCTGCCACAAGTTGGGCTTCTTGAGGGTTCTTCGAGATTCAATCTTGGTTGAATCTGTGCGTACGATATGAAAACATCCCGTCATCTCGGAAATGAAGCTCATGTCGGGGGAGTTCGATTGCCGAAACCTCTGAGCTCGCACCATAGACTTTTCAACCTATGTGGGCCATTAGTTACTGGTCTTCCAAGGGTCTCAAATCAAGTGCTTGTTCTTACCTTGCGGCCAAGTAGCTGCCACTCATAGAAACGATCAAAGTCACCCCAGCCAAGTCCAACTCCTGGAGGGCGCTTGTATGAAACAATATGGCTGCGGCATGTCGCCGAAAGGATATTGGCGCCCATGTCTGCCGGGTTGATGAATGTTTCAGAATGAGAGATAGTAGCTCCCTGCTGGGAGTCCGGCCCAAGGACGCGGCCGGGTTGCCAATACAGCTGAGGGAGTGGTTCGGCCATTTCTATGTCCATGCTTCCATCCTGTGACTCCTATTTCTCAGGCCTGGAAAGGGCTACTGCCCCGTCGGGAGGGGTCTGTCCTGGGTTGACCGTGATTGCCAGTCCCGATATCTTGATCCCTTTCGCAAAGATATTTGCTGTGCTAAGGAAGGGTTTACCTGCTTCCCAGACATCCTGCAACTTTGGAATGTCACGATGATCGAGATGCTCTGATTTCCTTGGTGGGAAGCAGTCTGGATACTGCACCTCGTGGTTCACATTCTGCCGGAAGGATGCAGCTGGTGGTGGAAGGTTCCTTGCCGAGGGGTAAAAACCAGGATGCTCGGCAGGGCGGTGATGATGATGTGATGAAGGACCCGGGTATCTAAGCACCTCGTAATCCTGGAAAAAGGTATGAGGGTTAAAGCTTTGAAATTTGTTCGAGAACGAGAATGGGTTTTCTCGTCGAAATGGATTGTCATAAATTTCTGGGCGGTCTTGGAAGGACGAAGGCCCGTCTTGAAAGCGAGCCCGTTTCTTTAGGGGATGTTAGTTAAGCCACTGTGAATCACTCGCACGCTGCATCTTTAGGAAAGCATCGCTGGAGGAGAAACTCACAGAGTTGGTAGCCACGTGCCCTGTTCTTAGTATTCTTCCGCAGAAAATGGCGCCGTTGAGATTGTTAATCGCATAGCTCGCATGGTCGTGGCGATCGAACCGAGCCCAGCACCAGCCGCCGTGAGATCTTTCGCCGGCTTCAGGCCAGTAAACAGTGCACGATATGCCGCAGTCCTGAAGAAACTGTTCGAAGTCGATTGGATCGGCATCGTAGTGGACGTTTCCAACATAGATAACAAGGCCCTGAAATTTATCGTATTCTTCCACGTCGCGAGGACGCTTGCGCGTAGCCATGTCTGTCGGAATCAGTATGCACGAGGAGATTTCAGAAAAGAGCGCTGATGTTGTTCCGACTAAAAGAGTGTCATCTCTGCGCGTGGTGAGAGACGGGAGTGTTGGGGGGGGGGGGGGGGGGGGGGGGGGGGGAGGTGTTGAAGGAGGGGGGCGCTCTTTCCTTTTGAAAGATGAGATGAATCGGTGCCTGCCTGCCTTCCACTTACCGCTGGGCAACAGTGCACTGCCTCCCGGCGGGGCAAAAGAAATCCAGGCGTTGAGTGACGGATTTTAATTGATACATTGTTTAATTCGGACTGAGATGCCCTGTGTTCAATACATATATGGTAACTTGGGTAATCCAGACTGTAGACTGCATGACAGAACAAACAGAAAGATTATACAAAGCCTCACACGACTCAAGTCACTTATTAATACTCATCGCATATTGCAATACCTAACACCTAAATCTCAATTTTCATGGCTCCTGATTGTGATCTTGTAGCTGATGTCTGTGGTTGCCGATCAAGTGACGCACGTCTGCATGACTAACAAAGCAACCACAACAATCCGCATCAACAACTTCAGCCTCCCCAACATAACATTTATTTCTCTATTATTTCATCTCAAAATGACAACCAGGAACCTCAATAAAACCTGGAGAGACATCGTATTCGAGCAATACCAAGCCGATCTCGAGGCAGATTCCCCCTTTCCCATTCGCTACCTCATCTTTCTCCACCGATGGAAGAAGGATACCTTCATCAGCATCCCAAACAAGATCGAAATAATGACCTTTCGCCGCGCTATCTTGGACTTTGTACGCTCTAGAGATGGGGAAGAAGATCCCACTTTTAGCAATGAGCATATTTCGGTGTGGCCGCGGAAGACGTTTCGCGAACGTCAGGAAGAAGAGGCTGCAAAGGAGGGCAATGAGACTAAAGAGACTGGGTTCTTGGATTGAAACAATGTCACATATTCTTCTTAACGGCAATGAGCGCTGTCATATGCCATTCATACCCCATGTATGCAATCCTCGAGTTATCAAATAAACGCTAGATTCAGAGTCTGCGCTGTGCTATCTCCTCGAAGTTGACTTCTCTCGACGGAAACTCAAGTGGGATTCCACCATCAACCACCCTCTGACTGAACGTGCTCCTGTGTCGTCTCCCGCAGTATTCGTATCCCTGATGCTAAGCCATATCTTCTAATCAACAGTCTTCCCAGTGAATGGCCAATTGTGCTCAATATGAACCACAATATCCATCCACCCCCTCTCACGAAACTCGGACTCAATACCATCAATGATACCATCCCACTTGGTCTCGTCAGACTCTTCAAGGCATCCAATGTACACGGTGATAGGGTTGTCTTCGGGCTTGGAGAAGCCCCTTCTGGTGAGGGCGAGAGTGCTTAAATGATCGCGTGTTGCATTGGAGGAGTCGAGATGGCGCTTCGCAACAGCACGAATGTCGTCCCATGGTAAATCTTCCTCGACAACGCCGATGTACACCGTCTCGTAGTTTTCCGGTGCTATCATCTCAACGTGGAGACCTCTGTGGATTGCGCTTTGGAAGTGTTTTTTCATGGCATCCACGATTTGTTCGACCGTTTGCGCCCACTTTGTCTTGCTGTCTTGCTTCCATGGTGACTTGATCAAGACAGTTGGGTTCGTTCGACGTACGACCAGTTCGATTTCAGTCTCTGGCCCTGAGATTTTGTTCTTCTGGAGGATTTTCTCAACTCGGTCGAAGATCTCGCCTTGTCGATCGTAGATACTGGATGGTAGTTGCGCTCGTGAAACGTCTAGGGGCAGTCGTGGAAGGGAAGGCCAGGCGGCGCGATATCTGATGCAAATAACGGGCTGTTGAGTGTCCATCGCGATGGGCGGGTAGATTCTGGGGGCGGGATAGTCCATCTTGATCGATAATTATGTGTGATGACAAAACTAAATCAATCCGGGAGAAGACTTCATGTCCCTTATATACTCGAACTCAGTCCAGGCAGGATCACAATTCACGCAACTTCCTCTCCAGTGACTCACGAAACTTAAACAAAACGCTTTGTTGACGCCAATGCCCTAACCTTAACATCCATAAATCTATGTTACACGTGCCCAGTTACTGCTTTCCATTATCCCTCAACCTTTTTCACTCGATGACACATTCATACGGGTTCGCAAACTGCCCAAAACGCACTCATCGTTGGCCTAGAGATCGGAAATAAATGCACACATATCAGACTCTCATTTCTGTCCCGGTTTCCCTTTGTCCGTGCTTGTGCTTGTGTTTGTGTTTGTACTCAGAGGCGCCATTGGAATCGTTTGGCGCGGAATATTAGGTCCAACGACGGGGTACTACTCTGGTCGTGGTCTCTTCGCCCCATGCGGGTTGCCCCAGTCGCCGCCGCCCTGGTTCTGGTTGAAGCCAAAGCCGGGGTTGAAGTTGGGAGGCATGCCTTGGAAGCCTGCAGTATATTAGCTTTGCACTCAAATAGGCTCGTTTGTCGGGCACTAATAAGGATCACTCACCAGGCATACCGTTAGGTCCCATCATGCCCATGCCCATGTTTCCAGGCATACCCATAGGCATCCCACCCATAGGATTCATACCCATCATGCCTCCTCGACCACCTCGCATACCACCAGGGCCTCCGCGCATGCCCCCTCCCATCATACCTCCGCGGTTGTTGAAGCCAAAGTTACCACCACCGCCACCGCCCATGGGTCCATTGTATCCACCTCCCATGTTATTGTAACCACCCATATTGTTGTTGTTGAAGTTGCGATTGTAACCACCTTGGGTCATACCGCCACGGTTGTAGCCGCCACCCCTTCCTCCTCGGAAACCACCACCAAAGTTACCGCCCATATGGCCGCCTCGGTCATTGTTGTATGAGCCGGATGGTGCACGGCTTTGATCCTTGCCTCTGGCAGGGGCATCTTTGGGGAGGGTTTTGAAGGGGTTGTTGGTAGTGGCCCAGTAGGTCAAGGTGAGCTTCTTCTGGGCCCCTTGACCTTCAGCTAGAATCTGTTCGATACGACGCTTAGTGGCAGTAGATGCTTGAGGCGAGTAGAACTCGATATAAGCTTGGCTACAAATCTGTCAGTCATCTGGGTCCCGACACTTGGAGCTAAGAATTTCGTACCCCTTGCTTTTGCCATTGACCTTGTGTTCGCTGAAAGTGATATCCTTAATCTCATCTTCGCAATCGGCTTCTCGCGCCCAACCTCGAATGTCATCATCTGTGTTCCACCAGTTAAGTTCCGAGATCATGAGCGCAGTTGTGGCAGATTGGTCAACTGGTCGGCCATCATCCTCCTGTTTCCTCTTGGTCCCTTGTTGAGAGCCATGCGCTTGATGATGACTTGAATCGTGGCTGCCCCCCGCATGGTGGTGGTTGTCGGCATGGTACTCTTCCATGTTCTGGTCGCCATGGCTATCCCTTCGATCATCGCCTTGGTGATGACCCTGGTTATTGTCATCGCCTCGGTGGGCATCTTGTTGATGGTCGTTGCTCTCATCGCCGTAGATATCGATCTCAAAATCTTCTTCAGCCATGTTTACTGACTAAAAGCACTTGGCACAGATTAATGCCGTGCAGATATCTGGGGAGTAAAGAGGATATTGTCAAATGTGATAATTAGGCTGCCTGCGAGATACAAGAGTTGGCCTCTGGTCTTTACACATAAGTTATCAGCCATTGAACGTTCCATCGCTAACAAACGCTGCCCACAAGACTCAGAGGCCTTGTACACCCGAGAGAAATGAATTGGACTGGAAGCTTGCAATACGTACACTCCGCGTAACAAGATTGGGGTCCTATTATAGGTATAACCCCCTGATAAGATGGTTCTTGACTCAAAGATGCGATACTGAGGACGAAGCTCTGTGCTTGCAATCCTCGCTTTCTAGCTCCCGATATTCCGAGCGAGCGCTCAGATACAGATGGGGAGCAACGGAATAGAGGATGCCGTCAGCCCGATCAATCTCCTCCTTTCCTAAACCTCGATTTCGAAACAGACCGCGATCGAATTCGTTTGCGAAGAATCGCCTAGTTACAGGGATCTACGTGTGTTAGTTGTCCCAATGTTCGATCGCCAACGGCCGTGTTCAAGCGTCGATTTTGGCTGATGATTGAAATCAGGCTCTGGCGCGCTCCAAGCTTGATCGCAAACAAGAGAGGTCGAATGGGCAATTTGTTGTAATCAAAGCGTGAGAAACACTTTGAAGCTTCGGCCTAGGCTCGTTGTGAGAGTGGAGGAGGATGGAAAGATGAAGGGAAAGAGGGTTAGCGGATGACGGAAGAAAGAAGAGAGCTTCACGCTTTCTTTTCTGGGGAAGAGCTTCGCAAGCAAAAGCACTGCAACTCGCGGAAGCTGGCGTCTACCTGCTAGCGCCTGCGCGTTTGGGGCCCGGGGAAATAAGCTGGGAAAGAGAGCAGGCACAGGCACACAGATCCTTCCCCACAGGCCACCTGACTCCACTGAAATGTAACTGTCAGACAAGTCAGGTCCAGGTCCCGGGTCATCTCTCGGGCCGAGCGAAAATCAATCTGGCCTTGCCCCAATTGGAAATTAGGTAAGGTAATTGTTAACACGTCGACGCATCAGAGGAGAGGCCAGAGAACAGAGCTGTGCTGTCCATTAGATTAGCTAGGATCACCACCAAAAAGAAGTCCCCTTTAAACTTCAACTCTCCTTTCTTCAACCCCTCGCGACTCCGACTCAATTCGACGATTCTGCCTTTTCTTCTACTCAACAAAGCTACATCTCTTCTTTCGCGGCATCTAATTTTAATAACTCCCCTTTCTTTTCCACATACACACACAATATGTCCGACCAGGTTCAAGAGATCCTCGAGGTTCCCTCCGAGTTCGTCAAGGACGGAGTTCAATTCGTGCGACGATGCACCAAGCGTATGTCGACTCATTGCGCACTCACACCTTTACTTTTACTAATATACTACTCTGCAGCTGACCAGAAGGAGTTCCTACGACTCTGCCAGGCTGTTGGCGTTGGTTTCCTCATCATGGGCGCTGTTGGCTACGTTGTCAAGCTGGGTATGATATCCAATTTCCTCCGTGTGTAACATTGTCTAACACGTTCCCAGTGCACATTCCCCTCAACCACGCTCTCGTCGGTAGCGCATAAACGATCACACGATCAGGCGATGAAGAGATTCTGGATAGTGGCGACTTGACAATCCAAAAACCCGCGCTGCGGGGGTGGAAACGAGGGCGATCACAACAATTTTCTTGCTGCGAGTACGTTCAATGGGGCGGAGTTAAATGAAATTATGGCGGGCACGCGACACACTTCTTACGCTGGAATTTGATCGAGCGCCGTGAGGATGAGAAGGATGTGCTTTCACGTCTAAGGCGCGGTTTGCATGGGGTTGAGAGATATCCTTTACAAGACTGCTGGCTAAGGTGACCAATTGTACAAAATATATCCAACGTTATTTCTGGCAAACTTGACCTAATGCACTCCATATGTTGAGTTCTGATATAGCTCAGGTTGTTCCTTGAGCAAGTGGTTGACACTCTGGCCCATTGGTGGTTCTCCTTCATCGTCCATGTTCTCATTATGCGAATGTAGCGTGCATGTTCCTCTTGCCATGTTATACCCATTCCAAGCAGACGCTATTGATGTTAGCTAATGTTTTCAGGTGAAAATGGGGGAACATACCAACAAGGAGAGGGGCAGTGGGATGCCAGCTCGCATCGCGGACGCAAGTGCCCCAATTGCCTGGCTCATCGAAATGATAGAAGCGATGTCGATTGTCCATTGGCCGAGTGCGCATGGTAGCTTTCTTGACATCCACAATTCCAGCCAAGCTTGCATCCATGTTCCAAATGTATACCTTGCCATCGGTGCTGCCTGAGTATACGTATCGTGAATTAGTGGACGACGGAGGTGAAAAGTGGCATCGAATAAGAGTTCGAAGGACTTTATGGCCTCGGAAGGTCACAAGCGAATTATCATGGGGGTGCACATCCCAGTCCTCGTCGTCATATATGCCACCCCGGTAATCGAAGCCACTGGTGTTCACATGTGCTGTAGGATCAAGTTCGTTGTATCGATCGGTTGACATAGCCATACGTATATCCCATAATTTCATCGACTGGTCTTTTCCGTTACTGAGAATATATCGTCCATCTCCCTTGCTGTCGATGTATGTCAAGCCTTCGATGTGGCCGACGAAAGCGCCAGCTTCTCGGTTATCGCCCATGCTTCGCCGATCCCAGACTTTGATCGTTGTATCGTCGGAACCCGAATAAAGAATGTGCGGTGACATCTTGTCAGCAAAACATACAGCGTTGACATCGTCCGAGTGGCCGCGGACGTGGTGGAGAACTGTTCGCGACTCGATGTCATATACCACGATTGAGTCCGCGCTTGTTCCAGCCACCAGTTCTCTTCCATCACCTGAGAACCTAACAGACCAGATACCGAAGCCACGTCGCCCATGCCATCCGTGCCGTGGCGGACCGTCATCCAAATCCAGTGTATAGGGATCCCCAGTATCGCTGGGATCTGTAGGAGCTATGGAGACCATAGTCTGAATAGAAGTGTATGCGAGCCATTTGTTGTCAGGACTTAGAGACGCATCTGTGAGTGTCCATTGTCCCCAAGGGTAGCTGACTGTCTTATAATGCTTCCAATTGTATGGGCTGGAAGTGTCGTACATTCGAACTTTGAAGTCTTGAGAGCAGGCGAAAAAGAAGTTTCCATCGTCCGAGAACTGTCCAGAATACACAGGGTCATCGAAATGAATAATTTTTTCGGCTCTCGTTTTTGGTAGTAAACTCTGGACACTGTCAGCCAAATCGCATTGATGGAAAGGTATGGGTTCATGCCTGGTTGATAAGAGCATTATTTCGTATCCGATCTTCACGATTCCCCAAAGCCAACTCCCGTTCGAGCATCCTCGTAGCAAGTGGCCTCCTCGCTCTGAAGTTATAGTTATTTGCACCAAATGCTCCTGATCGCATAAGCTTCATGCCCTGCTCACTTGGCACTTTCGGAAAGCGATTTGGGTCCTTGGGCGTTCGACGTCGGTTGAAAGGCCAATTATTTAAGAACTCGGCGTCATCCCCAGGATTATCTTGGAAAAGAACACTGGTAAGATCCGGGCTCTGCATCAAGGCAATAAGTTGTCTCCGAGTTAGTAGTCCTGTTCTAGCACCAGCTAGTTTTATCCCCAGTGTCAGTCATATCTTTCAGAATCATTGAAACCCCGAGACTTACTCCGTACAATGTTTACGAGCCGTTGCGTGTCAGTAACTCCTTCAATGTCGTCCTCGTCTTCGTCTTCGTCCTCGTCGTCATCACCTCCATTCTCCATCAAGATTTCGATGTCACGATCATTGGCACCTATATGCTGCGATTAGTGAAACTTGGTATGACTCAAGCAACGGTTTAATCTTACCTTGAAAGTCGTCTTCATCTTCTTCATCGGGTTCATCCTCATAGTCTGGGTCTTCCTCATCCTCTTCTTCATCTTCATCCATTTGATAGTACCAAGCCGGTCCCTCCGATGATTCATGTGTGCTCTCATTACGGTTCTCTTCGTCACTTTGATCCACTGAAAGCGGTCGCGAACTCCTCTCTTCTTCGAGAGGAGCCATGTTTGAAGTGGGTGATGTTTGGTGAGACGTATGAAGGTCGAGATGAAAGCCAGATAAAGAATGCTTGCTAAGCACGAGACCTTGGAAGGGCGATACGGTGAAGATAGTAGTGAATGTGATCGAAAAAATGATAAAGGAACTATTTTACAGGTTACATGCGAGTTTCGGGCAATACTGGTCTTCACGGAGGTCACGACGGGTTAATAAATTATCAATGATGCGATGAGTGTGATGCTTTAAGACAGGTACTGCATCTGTTGGGTGAAGTCAACTTAGAATGGAGGAGCTCCCGGAGCTTGTGACGACATCAGCCGGAGATAAGATAAGCCCCGCGATAAGCTACCCTGGACTCAACATTCTGGCAAATTGGAGTTTACAAGAATCTCATGTTTTGATATCAACTGCATATTTCTGGACATTTCAGGCAGGTAAAAGGATACATAAATTACACAGCATAGTCGATTAAATAGTATGCAAAACTGGTGGAAGGTCAGAACTACACCAATTTTCATTTGGGAGTGCAACAGAATAATTTGATGACATCTACATTATCATTGTACTACTGAGGATATGTGCTAAGTTGACCAATATGTTGACTGGTACAATAAAAAAACGAGTTTTGTCAACTCACCAGAATACCTGATATGTGCTTCTTGCGCCTGACTGACCTGGAGTAGTTTACCTCAGTGCAGATTGGTTCAGGACTCATTCTTCCATCACATTGAAAGAATACTTTAGACCACAGTGATCGCTTCAAGGAACAACACGTCCATCCTGACCTGTAATATTATGAGGGTGTAAAATCTCAATACCAACCGACCGTAGCCTAAGCATAGCGACCTTGTCCAATCGACGAGCTGGGAACCTTTGCTTTCCATCAACGCCCCAAGTGAAGCCTGGCTGGGAGTTATGAAGCTCAACCCAAGCATCCACAAGGCCATTGTCTTGAATCAGGGTATCGTCCCGAGGAAGAACGGCGTTGAAGTCACCAGCTACCAGGCCACGCCCAGCTTCTCGCAAAAGTCCAGAAACGATTGACAGTTGTTCAGAGCGTTTCGAAGGCTGAAGAGGGTGTGAGTCGAGGTGCACATTTATAAGTCGCAACTGAGATGTCTCATTTGATGGTGACGAGGGTACAGAGGCATCGCAACAAAGAGCGTCCCTACCAAAGCGACTGGGATACTTGACTCTCCAGACTGGTCCTAGGCTTGAGCTGTTAAATCGGTCCTTTGATAATAGCATCATGGTCGCGAAAAGATGACCTCCCCAGTTAGTCAAGTCTTTCTCGCTTGAGTACCATGATTGGCGGATCCGGGGGTGCTCTAGGTGCAGGCTTGGAGACTTCTTGGAAAAAACATGATATCAACGTGGTGTAAGCCAAGAATATGAGATACGATGGCTTCCGAGCGTTCAACTGAGAACTTTTCCCCTGCGTCAATGTTCCAAGAAACAACTGTGAGGTCCAGAATTCTATTGCCGACATCCGATGCTGCTTGGCAGCTCGTGTTTGAGGTTTCAACGACAGCCCAAGATTCAGTTGATGGAATGAATTGGTGCCAATTTTGGTGCCACGATTCGTTAGTGGACGCAATGCCTGAGGAGTCTCTGCCGAGAGCACGAGACTCGTCGTTCATGATTTTAATATCAGGAAATTGCTTTTTGCATGCAGCAAATAAATGAATAGTGTTGTTCTTCGGATGTGTAAATGAATGACCCCCTGTTTAGCATCATGGAAATGCCACTTCGGCCCCTGAAGCTTGGGTAAAAATACCTGGCCCCTAGGCTACATAAGGCTTAGTGCTCCACGGCTGGGGCCACGTCGCCACAGAATTCGGTCGTCCTAGGGTCCTTCTCCAGCAGGGTGATACCCCTGTAGCCATTATTTTAGGCCCGTTCAAGGCTGCAGCTGTTGGGAAGGAGCAGGGAGAGAGTTTCCTCCATCGTATCGAGTACGGAGCGGATCTTCCATTTGATTGCCCCTATGTAAATCCAAACCAATCCAAATCATCCAATTCAATATCCAAACCTCCATCTTCATTCCAGTTCCAACCTTTCAACTCCCTTTTTGTCTCTTTAACTCAAGTAGTCAACGTGTAGCTCGATCTTTGCTCCGCACGTTGATCGCCTTGTGGGAGACCCCTTTCTCATTCCTTGGTGTCTGTAACTGTCGGAAGTCAGCATCAGGGCCATCTCCGCAAAGTTTATTCTACCTACGGCTACCTTACACGCGACTTCGATTGTCGCAAGGTTGTCGGCTCCAAACTTTACTGATCAACGATCCTTTTCGACACTCTGCTCCTCCTTTCGAATCGCGGCCTCGACCGCCGACAGTTTTTGCGACCTAACGATCGAATCTCTGTCTTGTCAACTCAACAATAACGATCCCAACTGCCCATCATGAAGATCCGAACCACACACTCGCCTTTGATCCTTCTCCTGCTCCCTGCTGTAGCAAATGCGCTTTCTAATGACATTGCCGACCTACCTGCTCCAGGAGCTGCGATTACAGAACAGACCGATGGCCTTCCGCAGGCTGGCGTAAAGCGTCATGATATTCCAACGAAATATGCCCCGGTTGATGGCAGAGACGGAAAGCCTCACCATGGACCCTTTATCGAAATAGATGATCACAAGAAGACTCCTGAAGTGGCCCTTGATGCTGGATCCGATACTGCAGCGGGATCTGGCCCAGGAACCGGAGCTGGTGCTGGAGCTGGTGCTGGAGCTGGTGCTGGAGGTGGTACCGAATCCAAAACTGGAACCGAGGCTGCTCCCAAAATCGACAGCAACCCAGATTCCCTTCCTGGACTTAAAGGCCGACCCGAAGACCCGACTGTCGTAGATGGCGAAAAGATCCCCGAAACCAATGATGGCGTCATGTTTGACACTAACCGAGTCCATGCTCAAGAAGGCACTACTGGAACCGAAGGCGGCGTGACTGAGAGGTACAGAGCCCGAAAACTTGAAGAGGATCTCGCTGGCGAGGAGACCTTCAGGAAACCCTCATCACCTAAGGAGGCGCCCCCTCTGCCACACAGTGAAGAGGAAAAGATTCGCGCTTCTGGTGGGGACAAGGTCAAGGAGCTTGGCGACGAGACTGGCAGCGCGAAGCCAGAAGACGTTGTGCCCAAGGCTGCAAAGCCTGTCATCAGCAATGACGATAAGCATGACTACACCGCGGGACTGGAGGTAAGCAAGAACTGCCATCCGTTATATCCTAAATCAATAACTAACATTTATACAGAAGCCTGCCGATCTCCCCAACCGACCTGTTGGACAGAACACACCCGTCCAAGATTCTACAAAGACTGAGCCCATCGATCTGAGCCGAGGAAAGACACACGATGGACACCATGATGAAGAGAGTATTATCCAACCATTCCACTCTTTTGTGCTATCCTTCACCATGATTTTGGTCTCTGAAGTTGGTGACAAGACGTTCTTGGTTGCAGCTCTCATGGCTATGAAGCACGACCGTATGGTTGTATTCACTGCTGCTTTTGGCGCTCTCCTTGTCATGACTGTTCTTTCGGCTGTTCTGGGTCATGCTGTTCCTACTCTCATTCCTAAGCGTGTCACCAGTTTCCTCGCTGCTGGCCTCTTCTTCGTTTTCGGTGCGAAGCTGATGCGAGAGGGTATGCTGATGGACCCTAATGAGGGTGTCTCTGCTGAGATGCACGAGGTTGAACAAGAACTTGCTGAAAAGGAGAAGGAAATGGGCCGAAAGCGAGGTGATTCGGTGTCTGCTTACACTCTTGAGATGGGTATGAATGGCAATGGACGCAGGTCTCGACCTAGCAACCGTCTGATGTCTCCTCCTCGATCACCTTCTCAGTCTCCTGTACGAGACGCTCGCTCTGGCTCAGGTGCTGTTGCCAGCATTGTTCAGGGTGCTACCAACCTATGCTCTCTGCTGCTAAGCCCTGCTTGGGTTCAGACCTTTATCATGACCTTCCTCGGCGAGTGGGGTGATCGAAGTCAAATTGCTACTATTGCCATGGCAGCCGGTCAGGATTACTGGTGGGTGACCTTGGGTGCTACGTGCGGCCATGCCATCTGCACTGGTGTTGCTGTTATTGGTGGTCGAGCTATTGCTGGCCGAGTTAGCCTGAAAGTTGGTAAGTTAGCAATCTATAATTTTCTTGTTGAATCAAACGAGCTAACATACTTTAGTCACTGTCGGCGGTGCCGCTGCCTTCCTTATCTTCGGCGTTATTTACCTCCTGGAGTCTCTCTACAGCTAGAGGTGCCCTCTCGAATGCCAAAATTTCTTTTCTCGCTAATAGACCACGGTTTGAGGACCTATCGTCATCTGAGACCATTTGCCTACTTGACGCCTAACTCGTTGTAATATTTAACGGCCTCTCTCTTTTTTCTGACAGGAACAAGCGACCAAGGGACCAAGATCTTCAGGCGTACTCTGCTGGGGTAGATCTTTTGTATAATTACGTGGCTGAGACAATCTCAGCCTCATATTCGATTCAGTGCACATGGACACTGATCCCCTTAACCAAGACGTGTGGCTTGGAGTATTGGGAAGGGGAATGAAGACTAAGAAAACAAACGCAAGGGAGGAGCACGAACTGGAAAGGAGGTGAAAAAGGGAAGAGAATCAATTGGACTGTTCACCAATTCTTTGTACGAAATGTTGGGAGTTGCTTCAAGCCTTGTACGAAATGGAAAGGAATGAGCCTGAATGATATTCATGGATTCGAGCTACGATTAGTTGTAAATAGCTGCTGTCTCGGTATAGCCGTGATGATACATTAATGTACGACGAGGCATTACAAGACATGTCCGAACAAGAATAATGACTCGTTTTGACATCACGCACATTTGCATATAGGCTTCTATGGGGTCATCATCATCAAGTCACTGCAAAAATGATATTGAAAAGGAGCCGGTCATTTATTCCACCCGCCATTCATTAAATCTGCCAGAGGTATATCCTTCTATCATCTGTCCTTGATCAGCGACCGGACCCAAACATCCTTCAAGCTCGCATCGTCTCCCTTTCCATTGACACACCCACCAACAGCTAAGCACGACTCTGACAACTACCTCAGATCTGGGCCAGAAACCCCCAGCTATGAGCAAACTTTGACAAATTCGTCACCATCAGTGAGTGACCTTTCATTTTCTTCATGATAGACCTTTGCAGTCTCTCTTTTCCCACCGTAAAACAAGGCAGTAAAAACAACATAGCAAGAATGAATAAAAGCAAAGCAAAAATAAACCTCCTCAATCATCATCAAGGTATAGCACGTTCCCGAATTTCCAACATTGGGAATACATGTGTGGTATCTGACAGTCGATCTCAAACATCTTGATGTGCTCTCACATGTCGTTACTGAATCAAATAAATTCTCGTGACAATTGACATTGGACTGGTGGCTTCGATATCTCTATACTGGAAAAGATGCGCTTCCTTCAAACGTTTCTGTCGTCATTCGTATTATCCTCCCCCATCATGATATGGAGTTCTGGGTATCGTAGTCTGACGCTCAATCCTCATCCTCTTCGTTGATTGGGGCAGGAGTTCGTCGCTCCGTACGCCTCTTAGGTCGTCGGTGTCGTGAACTGCTGATGTTACTGGCCGAATCATCAGGCATGATGTCGACATCATCAAATGCCCAGTCATCGTCACTTCCCGGATCACGATCGCTTTCGCCAGCCCAAGCCGGGCGCTCATAGCCCGAAGCTTGGGAGTTTCCGGAGTTGGGGCCGGACAGCACGTCAATACGACGGCGGTTTTGCAAGTTCTGCATCAAAGCAGCTCCTCGCTGACGCAGTGCATTCCGGACAACTTCGGCCTTCTTATGCAACTTCTCGAAGGCATCCTCCAAAGTCTCCATTCCCTTATAGATCTCTCGTTCAATTTCTGCAATGGCTGCCATCTCCATCTCCTCATCGTTTGAGACGGCCTGTCGACTTCCGGGCATCCCTGTAGTGTTGACACTGACGAATGAGGCTGGTGTTGTGCCTCGTGAGTAGACTGAAAAAGGAGTCGTGTTTCTCGAACTGAACGACGATGAAGCTCGAGGTCCAGGGCTCATCGTTCGTGTGTTGTAATAGGCACTAGCGGGGGTCGGTCCGCGTGATTCAGGGTGAGGAGTTTGCGGCACATCATCATCAGCTCCTGACCAGAGGAAGCCATCGAAGCGACCAGAAATAAGAATCTCCCATTCTGAATTGTTGATGTTGGAAAGTGCAACGAGGAGATCATGCGTATGCGGGTTCTTAACCAGATACGTAGCCGATTCAGCGTCTCGTGGTACTTGCTGCAATCTGTATAGCCGCTGCAGGGCCAGGCCGGTCTTGATGAGGAAATCTGTTCGTGGTCGATGTCCTGGTGTAGGAGCACGAACTGACGACTTCAGCTCCTTCGAGCCGGTCATGATAGCGTTAAAGTAAGGGCGGTCCTCTGGGTCAAGGTTTGTGAGAATAGCAAAGGACAAGGTCTCGTCATCGACATCTTGGGGAGGTGGCACTGGTGTTTCTCCAGTGTTGGATAGCCATCGGTCCACAGCAGAGCGAACTTTCTTCGACTGGCGGAGATAGTGCTCCCTAAACTCCTCCGCAATATCAGGGTCCAGTTGGACAGGCGACTGAGGTCGAGGAGGCCTATCACCGGAGATTTCAGCAGCCTTGGTGCCAACTTCGGCAAGATCAAAGGGCGGCCACTGCGGGAGGTCAATTCGACCGCTCACCCACTC